AGATGTTTTTCTATGCGTCTTGTGTAAACTATATACGTCGCCATATTTGTTCATTGTTTACATTGGCAACATCGATGAGACTACCATGTAATCATTGAATTGTATATTCGATTGAGAATTAAATTTGAATAATTGCAAAATATATATTTAAGAAATAACATCGGCTTGAGAGGTGTATATCGGCTATTTAACACCGGTTTGGAGTCTTGATGCGTAGGAATTGACCACGAAGGCCGTAGGCCTGAGTGGTTAATTTTGTCGCATCAAAACGACAAAACCGGTGTTAAATAGCCGATATACACCTCTCAGGCCGATGTTTTTTCGATTCTAACACGAGATAAAATATAAGGAAAATCACTAATGTTATTTTCTAAGCGGAAATAACTTCCGGTGCCGATTTCCGTATAACGCTGTTTCGATTTTCGCACCCTACTGTTGCGAAGATATAGAAATTATTAAACCAAAAGAAATAGTAAGAAAAAAACGTTATTTTGTCAAGTTTCTTTTTTCAACAATCGAAACTTACGTCGTGTTTACATCAGTGCCCCATTTATCATTCTTGTTATGTATGAAATAACGTCAGCTTGTTTATGAATTAGTTGTTTACTTAGGATGACGTCATTACGCTGCTAACGGATTGGCGCCGTTTTGTTTCAAAATTATTTATTAACTGATATGGATCTAAAAATGTGGCGTTGGTGTATGTGAGATATTATTATCGGTATTGTATGAAAAGAAAACATTATACAAACTGAAAATATAAATAAAAATGCTTTTTATTGTTGCTTTTTGCTTTAAAATGCTTTGTAAACTATACAATCGAGGGTGAAAACATAACAGCGCATATACAAGTAGTCCCTAACCGGTGTTTATTGGCAGTTTAACACCATTTTTATTTTTCCTTCTTTGTCTATAGTGACAAAATCACGTGAGTGTTAGAATGTTTTATATATATTTTCCAGTTAATGCCCGCCGTCAGACCAGCTTATAATCCTCAATCCTCAGTCGACGCACTTATAAACCTTATCTACAGAATCATATAACAGTTATATGAGAACCCATACTGTAACACTGGTGACAAAACATGGATTCATTTTTATGAGACAAAACGAAATCACCAAAACAATATTTGGGCTACAAAGGCAAAAAGGACCATCAGTATATATATAAAGAAGATAACGTATGCCATTTTCTTTACATCTTAGTGTCCCGAAATTTAAATGCAAATCTGACAACGCGTCATCACACAAGGCGCCTATAGTGCAAGACTTTTTGAAGCAGAAAAAAGTCGCTGTGATCCTTATCCTCCGTATTCACCCGACCTTGCCCCTTGTGATTTACTTTTGTTTCCAAAACTTAAAAAAGTACCTTTCAGATCGAAAACTTGCCCAGCGCAAACTGATTGTGTCCATTAATATCTTTGTTGTCTCGAACTTTGAAGATATAAATACCTGAAATAATGAGACGCATTTTAATATTACCAGATACATGGATTTATGGAAAGAAAGAGCAACATCAACTTTCCAGTTAATACAAAATGATGATGATTTTGTTTCCTCGTCTTTAACAATTAATGTTGTGGCAAAATTGTTTTCACATATGTAATTAAAAAGCACTGTAAACTGTTGTATAACTTGAGACAGTATTTTTATTTTTTCTCATTTATTTGCTTGCGAGAAAAAGACACTCTTATTTGTTCTTACATATTAATAGGGTGTTTTGCCGACGTTCATTTTACTTTGTAACGCTATTTATTTATAATTAGTTTATTATGTTTCATGCTTAGGTAAATAAGAAAAGAGACTTCTTTGTAATGAACAATGAGCTTTTTGAAGTTAAGCCATCTTATTAGAATATTTTTATAATTACCAAATCTTATCAGCCAAAGGAGACACAATTTGAACTAACTTCATTATTTTACGCTTATACGCTCTTCGCGTACGCGTTTGTCAAGATTAATTTACGCATTTGTCTTGCGCATTTGAAACTCGATTAAATTCGCTAGTAGTAAGGGAAATGAAAATAATTTGCTGTTATTTGGACGCGGGGAACAGACGCTAAGAAAGTTTGTACCTATTAGTGCCACTATTACATTGTTGAAAAGGGAAGGCCAAAACATGTTACATGTATTAAATAAGATATTTTATTTGACATAAATAATAGAAATAACGAGCAAGTTAAAGATTTTTTTTATGGATCAATGATTTGTTATAGAATGTAAATAAAATGTCATAATTCATTTATCAAGAAATTAATAGTGACTATAGATTATTTTAAGTGCAGCATTTGTTTACTTGAGACGATAACAGTTTTTGAACTGTATAGTCATTAAAAATTCCATGTGAGGAAACTTTAATAATTTGATGGATCACAATATAAGCAATATCAAGTAACAAGTACACTGCATAAAAAATGAAATTATTAACATTTGTAACTAAAAATAATGCATTTCTTTAACCTTTTAAGTGCTGGACCCGAAAGCATTAAGCCTGACAAATTTTAAATATTCATATTGATATCCCTAAAATTGATAATGGACAGTCCCAAAAATGGAAGTGGGACAAGTCCATTTAAAATTTTCAGCATGTTCAGGGTTAAACCAGGCGGACAAACACCAACAATTATTTCTGTATTCAAAACCATGTTTTATTCATCAGCTCGAAATCGAGTGCGTTACAAAAAAGACGCGTAAAAATTATGCCCAACTTTATACTTCCGGTTCTACGTGAAGATAATGGTGGGACAATTAACACTATGCGTTATGTGAATATATTGAGCAATGAAAGACTAATGTCTAAATACTAACATCGAATCTTGTTGCGCTTTTCCGTATTGAAGAGACTTATTATTTACCAAATAGGTTTTAATGTTCGTTGATGTTCAATGTCGTTAATCGGTTTAGATGAAATCTTTTGTTATTCTTAAGTATCTAGAAATTCTTAATCGTACAACATAACGACCTAAGCGTTACCTTTAAATAATCCTCCCATTTATTTTACATTTACGAAGATACTTCAACAGAGAACTACTACAGTTATTTAATCTTCTTTGGCAAAGAAGCAGACACCCAGTTAGTTTTTTTCTGCATGTCTGACAATGGAATCAAACATAACAAAATTTGGTGTAACAGATGTAAAAGAGAGCTTAAAAATGACAAATAACCTTAAGAAGTTGTTCATAGTATTTTTAGAGATTTCTTTGAGTATTTGAGAATGGTATAATTACGTTATCATTTAAATTTCGATAAGTAAATATTTAATATTAACGGCATTATTATTTAATTTCCTTTTCATTTTTAAAGTACAAATTGCACTCTTACCTACTAAGGTTATGTACCCTGCAAGTAAGAATGACATACATACAGAACATTTTTCAAAAATAGCAAATAGTATTTTGTAAAGATCGCACATTGTTTTAATTTTCCCGTCTAAAATAAAGTTAAGGCAAAATTGATGGGGACAGTTTACCGTATCATATACAACACCAACTAGAACTGATGCTTTCGGTTATTTAACTGCGATAGAGAGGGTATCAAAAATGGACCACCATCTAGCCGTCCAACAACAACAAACTCCAAAAAAAGCTGCTGTAAAGGAAGATATTCACTATACAATGTAGGAAAAAAATATGTACATTTGTAGCATTAATACGTGACGCCGTCATCAGTTTTTCATATATTGTCAGACATTTTGAAGTTACGTAAGGCTTCGCTTGATGGATATCCATCCTCTCACTGATGACTAAAAAATGTAGCGTGTCCGAAGTGTGTCACAGCTGTTCCGTAAGTACAAAAATGTTGACCTTTATGAAATCGTGACTGGCTGTAAAACATTGGTTTCAGAGCCAACGGGATAAGGGAGAAATGGCGTGGATTTGCATGCACGGGATCAAGCTTGCTCCTTCAAGACAAGACAGTTGCCCATAAAACATCTGTATTAACGACAGCAATTAGAGCACGTCCACATCATCTTCGATACAGCCCTCATCTCGCTCGATGTGTTTTTGACTGAATCCCTATTTAAAGAACTAAGAAGTTGTCATTTTGAGTGTCGCCACGCCGTCAGCGCCATTGACAGCGCGCTTTTCCAGTGCCTAAATACAATACTCAAAGAAGCCTTTCACAATGCTGGTGAAATTAGTGGCTTGGAAAGAGGATCCGAGTAAAAGAGGATTTTTTAAAAGGGTTTGACATAGAAATATACGGCCTTCCAATAACCACATTGAATAATAATTTTCAAATACCCCCCCCCCCATAATTATAGGCTAGAATAGATATCTAATATTGTTTCTATTGTTAATTAACATAATTTATAAGTCTTTCTAATCTAATTATAACGATACCGTCATTGGATATACAGATTGTAATGTTACAATTCTATGTAATCGATTTTTCAAATTTTATTTGATACCATTTGATAGTTTAAGAAAGATATAATTGGTTACAAACAATTACAAAAATGGTTAATATGATAACTTTTTAATCATAATATATCTGTAGGAGAACGAACAGATGTTCACTTTACCAATAAGAATTAAATAATAATAAATTTTGAATAGTTAGCGAGATCAGGGCTGTATCAAAGATGATGTGGTCATGTTCTAATACTGTTGTCGTTAACACAGATGTTTTACGGATGAAATGATCAGGAATCACGAATAACTTGTCAATCCAGCCACAGTAATGTTGGACAGAACACATTATTATACAGTAGTGTTAAGTCACAGAAGTATAATGGTAAACTTGTAAATACACATTCACCTTATGTTGGAAATGTTTTATTGGTCGAAAGATGGACTAAATTAAGCGTGGTCAGAAAAACACCAATAGCAATATAACGGTACCACACCTCTTGTCATGATAAACTAATCCTTGTTCCATTTATATAAGACATCAAAACATTCTTTTCGAAGAGAAAAAAACAATAGAAAAGAACATACCAGTTGCCTTTATTAAGGACATTTTGTAAAGCACGGACAATAGACTATTCACTAAAACAATCATGGCGGTAGATAGTAACCTGCAGAGAGGTTCAGATATTGCTCGAATGATTTGGATTGTGGGATCACCGCTTATTTTTACCGTTGGAGTTTTTGGTAACATCATGACGATTATTGTACTTACCAGTAAACGGATAAAAAAGACATCATCTACCATTTTTCTGGCATTTTTAGCAGCCGCAGACTTGTTTATGATAAGCTTGATATTGCCAAGATGGTGGCTAATCTATCTGTTTCGTTTTGATGTCCGTCATATTCACGACATTGTGTGCAAAGTTCAATTTTTCTCCTCTTACTTTAGTGGTGGCTACTCGGCAGCTTTATTGGCAGCTGTTACAATCGAGCGCACCATATATACAATAAGACCTTACAGAGTAAGAACAATATGTACAGCCCGTATTGCGACGATTATTTCTCTTGTTCTCGCGCTAATTTTATGTGTGATTCATGGACATATTATTTTTGGTATAAACCTTCATGAAATAACGTACGACGAGGCGTCAGATAATATGATGTTGTTTGCTTTAGATTCAAACGAGCGCTCTGCAAACACGTGCCAAAGTTTGCTGAATCAGTTTTACGATGCCGAAAGTGAAGCCGATGCCAAGATAAAATTCATGCCAGAAGATGAGTGTGAAGGTTTATTCAATTCAAGTGTTCAAGAAAGGTCAGTTAACTCCGTTGTGAACAATGTTTCAAATGAGGTAAGAAAAATCAAAGTATGCTGGTATGATAATTCAAGATATGGGCATTATTTTTCTGAAATACATCAGATTGTAGCGACAGTTTGCTACTTGATTATTCCTGAGATAATATTCTTTGTTGGCGGTGTCATTATTGTAAAACGTTTACATAAAAACAAGAACTTACGTACACGAATGAAGACCAAATATACACAAACATCGGATAGTAAAGCAACACCTGACAATCGAGCTACACAGATAACATTGACATTACTTTTGGTTAACATCGTCTTTGTTTTTACTACATCACCTGCATATATTTTTCTGATGGGAAAGTCAAGCTGGGTTGATGAAGATACCGGAATGACAGCAGCACAAGAAATCACATGGGCAGTTGTAAATATGTTATTATGCACAAATCATGCAATTAATTTTATCTTGTATTTTCTAAGTGGGTACCGATTCCGTCGTCAAGTGTTAGAAAGGTTTAGATGCACAAAATGCGGTACAAGTGTCCGCTTAAATAAGCCTAAACTTTCTTCTGTATCAAATAGCTATGACATAAATTTTACTGAATAATCAATTTTGTACTTTTGTTTCTATTTGGAAGTATTTTGTAGTGTTGCTCTTATTCATATTTATATTTATAGATCTTCTAATATGTAATTGTTTGTATAAATTCCAATTTTATTTGCCAAATTATTAATGGGTAAACGCTTTTCTATACCAAACCAGTTTTTAAGACGTCTCATACAATCGTCAGTAAAAACGTTTTGTACGTAAATAATATCTGGTGCGGTGCGTGTGTACACGCTCGCGCGCGCGCGTGCCCGCGTGTGTGTGTGTGGACCTTAGATATGTCCTACGTTGATATTTTGTATTTTGATTGTACATTTGACAGTTTAACAATGGTGTCTAGGCCGAATTAATACTAACTACTTAACTACGAAGATTAGGGGATTAAATATTCATATTAGGCAGTTTGAATGAAGTAACAAAAATGTTAATGTATCAGATATTTTTTACTTTGTGACGCTGAAGTTACAGTAAATAAATCAGTGAACCAGAAACGTCTTTTACAGTTTGAAATTATCTAGAGAGACTACAAAACCTGATTCTATTAGTTAAAGATATGCCTTTTTTATTATGAAGGGTGAGCAGATATTGATACTTTCTTATTCATTCCCGTCGATGAGAACGAATGATCACACTGTTGTGCTTGATTTTAATTTTATAGATGTTGACATTGATGTGTAATTTAAGAGAAAAAAATCGTCTTTTTTAAATTGCACCAATTAAAATGAAAATAAATTTCAACTAATTGTGTTGTTGATTACTTTTAAATTTAAAATCTGTATACAGTGTCATATTCCATGAACATTATAACCATAGATTATATACCAAATTCATTTATTTTTATTTTTCTTCTGAAAACTTCATTATTTGATGTGTATGTACCATTTAGCTTTTCAAAAATTGATATCATTTTCTGCTTGAGTCAATGATAGGGTGCGTGGACGATAACGCTGCCAGACACGATCTTTCATGTTTCTAATTTTTACTGTTTCTTACTTAACAGTTTCAAATTAGTTTCAGTTATATTTATTATTCTGTTATAGATTGATACCGCAGTACGGACATAGAACAGTCTTTTATTTAAAGTTTTTTTACAACATTGAGTGAAAAACTGTCGATTATAATTCCAAAAAGGTGTAATTTTGCAGCTATACTATTCGGAAAACTAAAATTCGGACATGGCATAGTTTTATATTCATTACAATTTAACGCGTTGTACTGTTTTCAAGATCACGTGAATATAATTTGCTTGAACAGAAAGCTTCCTGGGTAGTCAACATTCATATTTTCTTTAATAATTCTTTAATTATATTCTATAAATATCTAGTTCAACCATTAAGCAAGAAATGTAATCTTTGTTTCTTTTCCTTTAAATAGCTTTAAATATATCATTGATTTTGTGGTATAAATATATCTCAATGAAATAAGATTAATATAAAAAGATGTAAAAAAATTGTGATAAGGTATTCCTCATCCTTATTAGGAATATTCAGACCTCGCTGTCTGTCTTTATCTATTTCGTTATATCTCCAAAAACTTTTCCGAGAAATTGCGACTTGAACGTAAAAAGTAATATGATATTATGCCTAATCATAAAAGATCTTTTCGCCTACCTGGCGCTATTTCATTAACGGTGACCTGTAGGCGTAGATAAAACGAAAATGTGACCCCCTATAATTAAATATATACAATAAACTCGGAAAGATTACCTTCTTATAGGTACCAAGCCACATGAGACAAAGAAACACCAGACAGTAATGCCATTGTTATTTCTTCATTTCATAGAAATTGCTCAGCACCCTTTATATTTACTGTTAAATTTGTTAAATGTTTGGGAAAATTTAGAATATGTAACTGTCTCGGCAAAATGAATAATATTTTCTTCCCGTGATCATTCCAGAAGAAGAAATGTGACATCGTCATTCGGACATTGAAATGAATGTGACTGATATAGAATCCAAATCAATGGCGTTTGATAATGATATATATATATAAAATAAACAGCAGAAATAAAACTTTGCACGTTCATAGAATATGAAGTTTTATTAAATGTGTTATTTGGTGTCATTAGATTTGAGCTGTTAGTATATAATAGGTCATTTTAACGGCAGATAACATTAACATAATTCTGTATAATGTAAATTTTACATTTGTTTTTTCACATTTATTTCATGGTCAATATACAAAACATCATTCATTAAAATAATAATTGCAATAATTGAAATAACTTATTGGTATTATTCCTATAATCATCTGATATTAAATTTGAGTTGTTAAAAGATGTGACACATGTTTTCATTTACTCATTCTGGTTTAAAATATAGTGAAGCCGACATTGTCACATTTGATGAAACGGAGTTTACATTTTTATAATAGGCGTCCCCGATTTGACACTTTGTTCAGTAACTTTTTGAATTGATTATAATTGGTTATCTATTCGAATTTGACTTCAGATTTTAAAAAAAAGTCTGGAGAAGGAGAGTGATCCTTTGGAAGCAATGAAACTAAAATATAAAATGAAAATATGAAGACTCGGTTTAATCAAGTTTCTTATTAGCGATAAAAAAATTCATGACCCCTAGCACCGACTTAAACTTTATTCACAGCATTAAGTTATTCCTAAACTAAGACAATTTTACGTTTCTGTAATTGATTTCCTTTCTCATGACAAATAATTAATTAATTCACTTTAGCGATATAAAAATGTTTAGCAAATCGCTTAACAGGACAATAATTCATCTGCTTCAATAGTTTTCTATTCGACAATTTTTGTTGAGGAAATCTTTCCTATGCGCATCTAACTCCTCCCAATGTCCAGTAAGAACTTTTCAGAAAAATATGCATAATTAATATACAAGAAAGTTCTTTCAGGTGTTTTTACGATAAAGGTATCTTAGAAAAAATAATTTGATTGGACAAAGGATTAGAAATGCTAATGAGACAGGGTAAAAGGAACCAATAGAAATGACCGTATAAAATGTAAGATTCCACATTTCTTCTTACAAGTCTAACGTCTATATGAGTGATTTAAATAAGAACCATTTTCATATGATGTAATGACAAAGTCAAGACAGTAAACTAATTTATAAGTAATTTATTTTCTATTTTTACATTATTGTATATAGCGATGGATAGTAACCAGCATAAGGGTTCAGATATTGCTAGAATGATTTGGATTGTGGGATCCCCAATTATTTTTACCATAGGAGTTTTCGGTAACCTTATGACAATTATTGTACTCAACGGTAAGCGAAACAAGTATACTTCATCTACTGTGTTTCTGACATTTTTAGCAGTCGCAGATTTGATAATGATGGCTATAATGTTACCTAGATGGTGGTTAATCTATTTGTTTGGCTTCGATGTCCGGCATATTCATAACATCATTTGTAAAATACAATTCTTTTCAACTTACTTTGGCAGTGGCTGGTCAGCTTCTCTATTGGCAGCTGTAACAATCGAGCGTACCATATGTACAGTGAAACCTTACAGAGTAAAAACAATATGTAGTGTACAAGTTGCAGTAATAACATCACTTTTCCTAGCACTTACATTGTTTGTAATTCATGGACATGTTTTGGTTGGCATTAACCTTCATGAAATAATATACAATGAGGCGTATCAAACAAAAACTAGTTCATCGATGAATGATTCAATAAAACTTTCGGCCAATACATGTGAAAGTATGCTGGACATGCTTTTTGATACTGAAAGAAGTATGTTAATAAATACTTTAATGTTAGAAGAGGATTGCGGTTCAAGCGATGCATCAAGAATTGATGACTCCTTTGTAAACAAGATTTCAAATGATGAGCTAAATGATGTTAGAATGATCAAAGTATGCTGGTATGATGATTTACGATATGGACAATATTTCTCCGGAATTCATCAAATTGTAGCAAGTATTTGTTATTTAATTATCCCTGAGACAATATTCTTTGTCGGCGGCCTTATTATAGCAAGGAGTCTTCATAAAAGTAAAATAATGCGCAAGGGTATGAGGACCAAATTCATGCGAACATCGGGCTTTAAACCAGCTTTTGATTCTCGAGCCACGCAAATTACCCTAACATTGATTTTGGTCAACATAGTTTTTGTGTGTACGACATCACCTGCGTATATTTTCTTGATGGGACGATCAAGCTGGGTTGATGAGGATACGGGGATGACAACAACACAGGAAATAATATGGGCGGTTGTAAATATGATGATCTATATCAATCATTCGATCAATTTTGTCTTGTATTTTTTAAGTGGATACCGATTCCGTCGTCAAGTGTTAGAAACATTTGGCTGCCTCAAAAGCCCGGATGTGGTTAATGGTATGGGTGTCTGCACTAAAAAGCGTAGAACCGCCTCCGTATCTCATACTGATGACTCCAATTTCAAATAGCGTTTTACTGATATTGTTTATATTGTTTTTTGCTATCATTGTTTGCTAATGATGCATGGAAAAAGACAGGAATATTTTTTTTGGACACAAAAGATATTTGTATGTGATTGCTTTGGTTGCATTTGAAATATATGAAATATGTTATGTATATATTTATCGGATGCTATAACATATGCAGATAATCATGTTGGATGACTCTTTGGACAAAAATTTGTTTCATAACATATTGATATACATGTATATAACACATATAATTGTGTCTCATTATATTAAATAAAGCATAATTCAAAATAAAGAATACATTCGCGTCTTATTATAAATACAATGTAGTTACTAACATACACCCTTTGTCGTTTTTGAATATTCGTCAAGAATTGCTCATTTCCTTAATGTAATGAACGAGATGCATTTCGATAAAAGTACACAATCCTTGCTTCTTCATTTGCATATTTTATCTAACATTATTATCTAGCATACACTGAATGTCTAAAGTACATGTTTTTTCTAAATAAAGTATAAAGCAAAGTCATTGTCTTTGTTTGACATTTAAGTAACGGCTTGTCGTTTACAAATATCTCCTATGCTATTTTTGGAATTAGAACAACAGAACAGAACATATACTTTATTTAGAATGACACAGATTACAATATACAAGTATAATGTAATAACATGTGAACAAAGTCAGTATACAAAATCAAATAAAATGGGTATGAAGAAATGACAGTCATATTATGTGATGCAAATAATCTTTGAAGGTATTTTTGTTATATGGGTATTGCAGTAAATAGTTTTATCAAACTGTAAAAGCATAAGAAATTTAAAACAAGTATAGAGATTTACACGCAAATTTCATTTTCTTGATGAATGTGTATTACAGCCGCGTGGTTTTATTGGATAACGAAAATCATGATTTGCGTCGCATTGCTATTTCATTCATGATAAAAACACAAACAAAATTATAGAGCCATGACTGTCTGTACTTCATGAGGAAAAAAAGAAACAAACAAGTAAACAAAAAAAACTTACAATTTCCTCTTATCTTTTGAAATGTTCATTCAAGTGTTTGACGAAATATGCTAAATTTTTTAAAGTAGTTCCGAACGTACATGAAAGAAGAGCTTTAAATTTGACAATATTAGGCCTTTGATAGAATCTTTTTGGGATAAGCTTTGACCTTTTTTCACTGAAGAAATGACACTAGTAAATAATGCATTTCGTCACCAAGACTATTAATATGGCATAACCGGCACTTGCGCTGTTCATGCGGAATAAATGACTAAGTCCAGCGGCCTATTTCAAGAGGAAACCTATGGTTTCCGGTGCGAAATGGATTAGGGACAATCAGGGAAAGAAGATATTTCTCAAAGTTAATATAATCTTTATAACAGCTGTACATTCTGCCTTTATTAGAAGTTTCTAATTTTGAGGACCACTCCTATTTAAACTGATCTATTAGCGTTGACTTGATCAGTTTGTGGACGTTATAGCCACGTATATTATGTTGGGTTTGCCAGAAATACGAATTACCTGTATTATCTAAAATGTTTTAACAAAATGTATCCACTTATAATTATGATCAGACTGTATCATGTAACTATAGCACATATGTGATATTTTCGATTCATTTGACAGGATTAACTTATTCCAGAATTTAACAATTCGAGATTTTATAATAATATCTATGGGGTAACGTCCTAGCTCTGCGTACAACATGTATCGGGGCGTACTCTTTCTAGTCTTAGTTATTTTGCGCAGGAAATTAACATGAACTTGTTCAATAAGGTCTAAATTTTCATAACCCCAAATTTCACTTCCGTAAGTAAGGATAGGTAGAATAGTTTGGTCAAAAAGCTTAATCTGGAGATCAATAGGAAGGTCAAGGTTATTTATCCTCATATCTCTTCGTTATCTCGAAGTCTTCGGGACCGTCCAAAAAATATCGAGATAACGAAATGTCGAGATAAACGTATGAGGGTTTGAACATGTCAAAAACTAATTTTTACAGAAGACATGCACATACCTTATAAGTCAAATAAGTACGATGTTTCATAATCTTGTGTCAATCCTTATAATAAAAAATAACAATTTGTTACATAATTTAACGGATGTTTACCAGCGGAAATACAGCATTTAGGTGCTATGTGATTAACACATAGTGAGGTTTACTCAGTTATACACCACTAAAACAAAAACGTTGTTTTCTAACTTTATTTATTTATTTAGTACTTTAACATTGCATAATAACACATATAAATTACATGAACACATTTCATAGCAATCATTTTGTGAGAGTAATAGCACATTTATAAAAGCACACAATTTATGAATAGTTAGCACGTTTATTTAATTTAACGATTATTCGATAACAAGTTTACAAACTGATATCACTTGCAGTAAAGTTTATTCTAATGATAGCACACAGTATTAAACACATTTTAATCACTTTTCTTAAAGAATGATGTAATGTCCGTTTGTTTTCCGCATCTGACTGCTAGATGTTTCCTTGAAATGTATCGCTCGATGTCATCGAATTTGGAAATGATATGGTCGTTGTTGTCTATGGATTCAAGAAATGCTCGAATTGTGTCACATGCCTCAGTCGCCTGTTTAGTAGAAATCTGTGCTGGAGTTGGATCGTGGATTCGATCGTATCGTCATTGTCAGAATCATCATCTACTGAGCGAGCCTCCAATAATTCAGACAATATGTCATTATCAGAAATTGCTTCAGTTGCCTGAAGTTCATCGTCGATGTTGACGTAATCGTCCATTGACACCCTTGTGCCAAGAATGCTAGCGAGCTGATTCAAAGGAATATCATCATCAGCATCATCTTCAGACTCAACATCTGTTGTCTGAGTAGATGTAAAGCCAGCATGACGATAGCAATTCTTAATTGTTGTGCTGGTGACTTGAGACCAGGCATGACGCATCATACGAAGAGCGTCTAGGACAGATATACTGAAGTCCTTGTTGTTATCAACTGCTTTTATCTTTTTAGCTACAACCTGCTTCCTATAGTGCACTTTAAGGTTTTTTATAACACCTTGGTCCATAGGTTGAGTGACACTTGTGGAATTACGAGGAAGAAAGACAAGCTCTGTAGCATGCAAATTTTTTATCTTTTTGGGATGTGCCGGGCAGTTGTCAATAACTAGGGCTATTTTACGCCCTTGCTTGTGCATTTTCTCGTCTACCTCTCTGACCCATGTCTTAAAGAATTTTGCAGTCATCCAAGCTTTCTTATTTGCTTTATACTGAGTGGGAAGGGTGCGAACATTTTTGAAGCATCTAGGTTTTTCTGACTTTCCTAGAACAAGCAATGGCAATTTTTCTGTGCCACTCATGTTTGCACAAACCATAGCTGTTAACCTTTCTTTATTCACTTTTCCACCATGACAAGCCTTTGTCTTAAACTCGAGCGTCTTATCAGGCATAGCACGATAGAAAATTGCAGTTTCATCTGCATTGAATACGTCATCAGGCCGATATTTTTCCAAAATGGACGGGAGTCTGGATTGCCAGTTTTTCAAACTCTTCACCTGTTATGTCAACAGAGTTTGACTCACCGCTGACTTAAGGCCATAGCGATTTTTAAATCGTTCAACCCAGCCACTAGAACACTCAAAGTCTGAACTAGGGATGCCAAGTTGTTCGGAAAACTCTCTCCCTTTCATCTGAAGTACAGGACCTTCAACAGATATGTTTTGTGACCTAGCATTTTCAAACCATTTCAACATCGCTTCATCTACTTCTGGAAATTTCGCTGTACGTGACTTTTTTCTATCAGGCTCAATGTCTCCCGATACATACTTTGACTTAATACTGTCCTTGTTTTTCAGCCAGGTCGATAAAGTATTTTGCGGAACACCATATTCTGCGGCTATTTGCTTTCTGCTCTTTTTCCCTTCCTCAACTTCTATAATTGCCCTGTATTTTTCGCTGCATGACTTGGTATTCAATTTTTGTTTGGCACACTTACCACCAGTTGCTGAGAGTCTGGATATCCCCCGGATTGGTTACAAGGTCCTTCTCCAGATTTCTCAGCTGTGATTGATCCAGATATCCTCCCGGGTTGGTTACCGGGCCCTTCTCTAGATCGTTAACCTGGTGTTAGATTCTCAGACAACTTTATATTATCATCTGCCTCTGACATTTTCCCAATGTGTTTATATAACGTATTTATATTTCGTATCGTATTTCTTGGACTTTTAAAGTAATAATGAATTAAATACAGTGTTCGTATGTTTTATACATAACGGAAAATTCACTCATTTTCGACATAAGTCAATCAACACGCTAATTAGATAAACAATACTTTCAAAACACCTTGACTTGTTACAAACATATCATCATTAATTATTATGACACGCGCTTTGAGCGATAACCGTCCGCTTTGTGTTTTTCACACCTCTGCGGGAGGGCGCAGACGAACAATTATTTGTCGAGATAAACAAAGGATTATAGTGTGAAAATAACTATTGGGACTGAAATATCACATCGAGATACTGAAAAAATCGAAATAAAAATATCGAGATAAAGAAATAAATTCAATATAGATAAAGAAGGGGAAAAAACGGGACTTTCAGAATTTGATCGAGATAACGAAATATCGAGAAAAGCGATGTCGAGATAACGATAGTTGCATGTAGTTTGTTCTCTCTGTTAAAGCCATCTGTTACCATTTGTCATATGCACTCTCTTAAATAAAGCTATTTTTTAATTTTACGTTTTCAATTACTGAGTAGACAACGGGATATAAACACGTCCATAAATGTCCCTCCTTACAAAACTTAAGATGCTTTGGCATCTAATTATGTTGATTTTTCTGCTTAAGGCTGTGCAGTCTTTAGATGGCATTGATACTTCTGGATGGTCGTCGGAAGAAGAACGAAACTTATTACATTTGTTAAGCAAAATGTTTTCAAAACAATGGGGTGAAGTGGTCGTTCCGGACAAAGAAATGGACATCATGATGTTTGTCAATTGGCAATCACTGCCGATGTACTTGGAAAAAATCTGTAAGTTTATTCATTTTTCTTATTCTTTTATTTTTCATATGCATAGTATAAGGCCTTTAAGCAAACGTGTACCGTTCTGTTCCGTAAAGCTTTTTGCTGTAATGATCGTAATATAAAAAGTTGTGTCTACCTAAATTGTATATATGCTTAATATAAATTTAATTTTATTGAAGCGTAGATATATACAAAGATATATCAATGTAGCAATACCATGTGATCTTGACGCCATTTTCGACATCATTTCGAAGACAAAAAATGCTTGCTGGCCATAAAGTAATTTATTTCAGCGTCAAATTCTTGAGCATATGCGCCAGTCCATGGGACAAATAATCTTGCAATGATATATTGGATCCCCTCAGTAAATTTGCCGTTTAATATAACACTTTGAAAAATTTTGGAAGTTGTTTTTATAGAAGCGGACTTTAAATACAAGCTATTTCGTTTTCTTTGGAAATGGTTCGTAAACTGAAGCATATCCCAATGAAATTTGCCCATAAGTAAAATACTTACGGCTATTTTCTTTTTGGTTTCAAGAATTATTTTTTGTCTTTGAAATGATGCCGAAAATGACGTCACGGTCATTTGGTAATTCTATGAATATGTAAATAACATTCTAACGGATCAGAATAAATCCTGCCACAAATTGTAAAAATATACATGTATCTTAACATAACAATGATTATACTTTCATAATTTATGTCACACAAAAGGATCTTAATTTGTGCAACATGATACCGGTCGGTCGGTTTTTTCGTGCCTCCGTTCTCAATTGCCTCCGGTCTCAGCCCTCAAACTTGAGGTACATTGGTCTTGGCCATCAGCACTATTGACTTTTGTGTAGAGGAGTCAAAGGTCAAAATCAAATTGACCTTGTTTGTCAAAACAGTTCCCGACCAATAACACATCAACCAATAAGTCATAGATCAACAAACTTCTTAGAGGAATTATCTTGGCCAACCCGTATTGATTTGACCTTGAAAAACAAAACATTTTTGGACAAATAACTTTACAACCAATGTCCTTAAAGCCCAAATACATTCTACAAGAATTGATCTTGGGCAGTAGGTGGCCCCTTTGTTTTTTTTGAATAAATGTTCAAAGGCAAAAATTCTTCCACATAGCAATTGTGTCACTTATGTTCCTGAATCCCATTAGTTCAAGTATTTTAAGTATCTATGGAGAAAATCACTTTGAGCAATTGAACCATATATGTAAGATCAGGTCAAACAAATTAATTTATCCTTATACAAATAAGTAGTCTAATCTTGATTTTGATCAGATATAAAGGAATTAAATATACAATATCTCGTCAAAATAACTCAACATCATGCAATATACAACATAAGCGCAATCGAAATGTAACTGCTCTTATTTCCTACTGCTCTTCTTTTTAAACTAAAAAATATCTGTCGGTTAACGATAGATTTATTTGAAATTCCATGCATTATAGACACGATGTTGATTTTGATTATAATTTTAAAACTCTTTGGAATAAGTAATGCATAATTGTTTCTTTTGATAGTTTGATACAGTAACATAAGTTCTGAGATACGCTTAAGCTCGTATTGTTTAAGACTGGAACGGAGAATTGTTTTTTGTACATGTTTTCTGTAGTAAGTCTGCGCTTTTCATTTTCTTTTGACTTTAAATTGATAAAAGTCTATTGTATGAATATTGAACTGACCTGTAAATGAACCGTATTGTTTTGAGGGTCAACAGGTTCTAGGTTAATGTAATATTTACCTTTTATTTCAAACAACCATGATTTTGAAAACCAATTAGCCATTGCCTTCAAACTTTTCAGGTACTTTGGTATTGGCAAGAAAGTGATTCCTAATAATTGCTTGGCCTCTGGGTCAAAGATCAAAGTCACCTTAACCTTTATATTAAAACGGGTTCCGGCTTATTACTCAACAACCCATCAGCTCTTCGCCCTCGCTTTTAAGTGAAATAGTCTTTACCAGTGTATGACCCTATTGATGTTGGGAACAATGGGTAAGGGGTTGGTTACATGCACCAAATGGTTTCCGACTAAAAACTTGACAGTCAACTCAGGGGGCTCAGATTTCAAGGTCATTTAGACTTTGTAGGCCAAGACACTTGAACAATCAATACCTTAATAATAAGCTGGCAGTCGGTTATAGGCAGGTGGGAGAAAAAGAGTTTACATATTTTTTTACACTATAAATTAGCCAATTATTTTAGCTATAGAACTAAGTTCATTCAGTGATATATGCTTTTGTTCAAGCATGGGAATATGTTTCCTGACATTTATTTCTACGTCATGTTTCAGTTTTAATTCGAATTTTAAGAAGTTATGTCAGTATGTTTTAATCTTCTTTTAATTTACACTAAATCAATTTGATTTTGAGATAAATTAGAAGTACTTGAATGAGGATATTTTTTCTTACTAAACATTTATCTAATTTAACAAATATTAGAATTGATTCACGATTTTCAATATGGATAGTGAAATATGATAAAAAATGATGTTAAAAAGTAATATTTGCTTCAGACAAAGGATTTCCTGAAGTGAATCAATCTGGCCACGAAGGTAGATTTAAGACTATCAATGCAATAGTTCACCAAACATGTGAGCGCTTACGGAAAGGCACTATCAGAGTAGGTGAACTAAAGTACTTGTCTGAGCACAAACTCCGCTTTCGTGACATTGCACGGCTAATCGAATGTCCACATCAAGATATTACCGATGTCATTGATAGACGCATATTTGAGTTCAACCAGTTTTGCAGCCAAATAGAAAATCTGGAGTTTTTGAAAACCTGTTGTCAAAAACTAAAAAGTGGTATGTGTCTTTTTATTTAACAGACATCATTTATTTATATGCTTAGCAAAACAAAATTTCCCTATGTTAAAGTGGTGATATATTGTAATTTCAAAAACCTCAAAATGTCAATGATCTAAATGTATTCGGTCGATCGATTATGTGTCCGATAAAACAATTTGTCACCACGATTTTAACACGTTTTGCAGGAGAAACCAGCTGACCGCTATTTTTATATGCATGCTAATAGACAAATAGATTTGTGTATATTTTAAGAAATTTTTCATTGTTATTGAAATGAAAATGAATGCCGTCGCATTAATATTGTAAGTTCTCATCGTGCTTTTCGACACCTAAGTAAAAATTTTCAAGCAGCAGGACGGCCGCGCGTCACGACATATGTCCAAGATCGCTATATTCCGAACACCCACCTGCATAATTGCTTCCAAATTGCCAAAGCCACTGCTGCTAACACCCCTTGCTAACACATCAACAGTATATCTGCCCAAATTGTGCGCTATCTTTTGTGCCATGGATGGCTACTTGGACGTCAACCATACGTTGGCTGTGTTTTGAGGCGACGTCATCACGTAAAACGTCTTAATTAAGCACGTACATACTAAATCTGGCTTAGACAACAATGGAAAAATGGAATAGAGTTCTTTTCTCTGTCGAGTCGAGGTTTTCTATTCATCGAGCTGATGGCAGGGTTCGTGTAAACCGTAGTTGGAATGAACGTTATGTCAACTACCGTGTACTAGAATGAGATCGTTTCGGGATTGGGGTTCTGTCTAAATCTAGACAGGCATTGCAGATGGCTTTTGCACTAAATTCGTCGTTATTGACGAATATTTTAATACCCAGCGCCACTAAAATGAAATTCTTGCGAGGCATGTTATCCCACTATTTCAGATAATGATAATATAACCCTTTTAAACATAATGATGCCACAAGCCATACAGCTACGAACATTGTGAATTTCCTCATTGCGATTAACATTGCATTTATTAATGATTTGTCTGTTTTTATAATTGATTGGCCTTTAAAAAGCCCTGATCTAAATTCCATTTAACACCTTTGGGACAATTTTGACGTGCGTTTAAGACGACGCCCTATTCCACCGTCAAACGTCATTAAGCTAATACAAGCTAATAAAAGCCTTAATTCAGGCATGGAAGAACAATCCTGAAACCGAAATCAATACGCTCATCTGTTCTATGCGACAACACAGACACTTGGGTATAAATCTCAAAACCGTTTTAAATTCCAAATGAAATTTATATTTGTCAATCCTAGCACATGTATATATAAACTTAATAGAAGCCGTTTTGATAATAAATCAAATTTGAACGTCTATGATAATACACAAGATAAAAATTTTCGCCGGAAAAAATCCGCACACCTACCCTCAAACTCACCGTGTATTTTATTCCAATTCCATTATTTTCACATAACCCTTTTGTCCATCGACACAGAAGATATTATTCCCCACGATGATGGTCAATTTCAAACTCCAACATCAATATAAACAACGCAACAAGTGAAATGTTTCTGTGTCAATGTTCTTTAAATCTTTATTTTATTTTCACAAAGTTTTTCCAATACTAAAAAGCATTTAATGCCCCTTAAGTTCTTAATCACATTTCCATGCTAACTTCTATAAAAGTCTTAACGGGATATGATCGCATTCAGCGAGCTTTACTTTTTAAAAATGTTTTCCTGGAGATTTTTTTTAGTTTCTGGAGGAAATAGTGTCCTTACATTTCAAATTTTAAAAAAATGAGGGTTTTTATGTTATAACGACAATGAAATTTCATGTTTTACAGTTGCTGAGTTTTAAATATTCAAATGCTCAGTAACATATTGATTATATTATTTATTATAATCTGATTTTGAATGCTTATTGTTTAACAACATTTTCCTTTTAAGTCAACATAGAACCTATTTTTGAGATATTAAGCAAGCAGCCCGATTCATGTACTCTTGACACCCTTGTTAATGTGACTGATGAAGGGACATTAGAAAACTGTTCGAATACGGACAGAGTAGAGATAGTTTCTGAAGTTCCTGCACTGTGCAGATTACTCGATTGGATCAGCGATTATAGAAATAATCCATGCTTTTGTCGTTGGTGGGACGAGGAATGCACTAAACGCACGGATGATAGTTGCACAACATTAGATGACCTAGTAGAGCATGTTATGAAACCAGTTAATATAAGGCAAGAACTATTTATGAACATTAGATGACAGCCTGAATTGGATGGTTCATGTTTTTGAGACTAATCTTATATTGTATAATGTAGTAAGGAAAGTCCCAAGGAACGAAAGAAACTTAGAAATAACAAGTAATTTCCTCTTACTTACAAAAAGGAGGGTTATCGTTGAAACGTTTTTTTTACAGTAATCAAGGATTGACGCCTTTACAAAGAAGAACTGTTTCTAGTTATATATTGTTTTAAAATGTTGATTACAATAATTGAGTGTATATAACATACGCATAAAATAAAAATAAAAAAGCTGGACAAACATCCTTTACTATCACTTAAAATATTTTATAGCAATCCACTTTTCTTTAAACAGATTGCATACCTTGTCAGACAACATATTAAGTGGAGTGGTAACATTTAGGGAAATCGAAACACTGTTTGGGGAGCTATACCACGACAGATATGACATTATGAGAAAAGAGATAACACAGATTTGTCGGGATGGAGATTGTGTAGATAAAAGAATCGACCAGCTTAAAAAGTTCCGAAATTACCTGACAATGAACGACGTAGCACGTGTTATGGTAGACTTAAAAGAAACATATGACATGAAAGGAAACTTTGGTCCCTTTGAAAACATGCAAAGTGTAAGAAAATAACTGTAAAACACTTGAATTTCAATACCTTTATCAGAACTTAAATAGGAGAACGGTTCATGTCATACTCTGTAAATCATTGAATTGAAAAAAAAATAAAACAACAAAACACTAAAGAAGTTTGAATTAATACTTTTAATATGAAAATTATTGATCCTCTAACTTATACAAACTTAACAGTGTATTTTGTTTATTTTCGTTGATGAGTTAATATATTTCCTTTTGTTCAAGCATAAAAATGAGGACCTCGCTTTTAAAGACTTTGAAGAGTCCCTTTCCGAAGTTGGTGATTTGTTAGAAGGAATAACTCAAGAAAGAATAATTAGCCTTCAAGCCTTCATACAATCTCACAAGCTAGTTAAATGGCTTAATGACTCAATGAAAGAATGTAAGTGTTTAAAAGTAACAGTTTGGTAGTATTAAAAGTTATTCAACATTTTTTATTATTGATGTTCTTTTGTCCTTTTACAGCCAAAACAGATTATTTTAATTAAAGATGATTTATATAGTTTAATTGTGTGATGGATAGAATGTTTTAGATCTTAATATTCTCAAAATTGGTTTAATTAAAGTGAAACACTATTGAAATGACATATAATTTGTTGTATATTAATTGGAAGTTGAAATAATACTGCAAATGAGACTAAATAACCGCAATATACTTTCATCCTACCTTCTTTATTACGTATAGTTGGATTGAAAGAATTCATTGTATTTGTTGATCTTGCAACAATCTCTGCTGGCGAGAGTACCGAAAAAATGGCAATGGTTAAGAGCCTTCATGCTGGTGTTATTGCCTATTCCCCACTCATATTTGATATGTCACGGAAAGATGATTACAGAGATGTAATACAAAAATGTCAGAAAGTTTGGGAAACTTTAGAGGAGTCACCGAATATAAACGAAAGCCTTGTAAGTATATTACAAAGAATATTAATTATGTCAAAATGTTTTTGCTCTTAAAGCCCCCTTTTTCGTAACATTGTTTGGCACTTATTAGCCATCAATCATTTTTAGCTCACCTGAGCTTGCTCAGGGTGAGCTTTTAGGATCGTTGAATGTCCGTCGTCCGTCTTTCGTCCACACTTGTTCGTTAACACTCTAGCGGTCACATTTTTGCCTCAATCATCATCAAACTTTGTCAGTATGCTTATCTAGTTGATAGCTCGGATGAGTTTGAACACGGGTCATCTCAAATGAAAAACCCCGTCACAAGAGCTAAAAATAGAAAAACCTTGTTAACAGTCTTGCGGTCACATTTTTGCATCAATCATCATCAAACTTTGTCAGGATGCTTGTCTAGGTGATAGCTTGGATGAGTTCGAACTTTGGTAATCTCGGATAAGAAACTAGGTCACCGCAGCTAAAAATAGAAAAACCTTGTTAACGCTCTAGCGGTCAAATTTTTGCATGATCATCAAACTTGGTCAAGATGCTTATCCAGTTAATAGCTCGAATGAGTTCGAACATGGGTCATATCGGATGAAAAACTAGGTCACCGGAGCTAAAAATAGAAAAAACTTTTAACACTCTAGCGGTCACATTTTTGCCTCAATCATCATCAAACTTGGTCAGGATGCTTGTCTAGTTGATAGTTCAGACGAGTTCGAACATTGGTCATCTCGAATGAAAAACAAGGTCACCGGAGCTAACAAAAGAAAAAAACCTTGTTAACACTTTATTGGTCACATATTTACCTCAATCATCATCAAACCTGGGCAGTATGCTTGTCTAGTTGATAGCTTAGATGAGTTTGAACATTGGTTATCTCGGATAAAAAACTAAGTCACCGGAGCTAAAAATAGAAAATCCTTGTTAACACTCTAACGGTCACATTTTTGCCTCAATCATAATTAAACTTTGTCAGGATGCTTGCCTAGCTCAAATAAGTCCGAACATGTGTTATCTCGGATAAAAAAAACTAGGTCACAGGAGCTAAAAATAGAAAAACATTGTTAACACTCTAGTGGCTACTGTTTTGATCCAAATATCCTGTATATTGGTCTGAAAGTTTGTTCTGATGATGTCTAGGTCAAGTTTGAATATGGGTCACCTGGGGTCAAAAACTAGGTCACACTGCCCAAATATCGAAAAACCTTGTTAACATTCTAGTGGTCACATTTTTGACTCAATTATCATCAAACTTGGTCAGGATGCTTGTCTACGTCATTGCTCGGATGAGTTCGAACATGGGTCATCTTGCATGAAAAACTAGGTCACCTGAGCTAAAAATAGAAAAATCTAATTAACACTATAGTGGCTACTGTTTTGATCCAAATATCATTTTAATTGGTCTGAAAGTTTGTTTTAATGATTTCTGGGTCAAGTTAGGACATGGGTCATCTAGGATGAAAAACTAGGTCACAACGCCCAAATATGAAAAAACCTTGTTAACACCCTAGTGGTCACATTTTTACTCAATTATCATCAAACTTTGTCAGGATGCTTGTCTAGGTAATTGCTCGGATGATTCGAACATGGGTCATCTCGGATGAAAAACTAGGTCACCGGAGCTAAAAATAGAAAAATCTTGTTAACACTCTAGTGGCTACTGTTTTGATCCAAGTATCCTGGAAATTAGTCTGAAAGTTTGTTATGATGATTATTAGGTCAAGTTTGAATATGGGTAACCTGGGTAAATAACTAGGTCACACTGCTCAAATATGGATAATCCCTGTTAACACTCTAGTGGCCACTTTTAACAGATGCATTGGTCTAGGCCAATGTATGACCCTTATTAATTTTGGTAGTAAAGGATCTAAGGTACTCTCACATTGATTTTTTATGTCAAAATACTTTCCGACCAATGACTATTTAGGCTCTAAAATTTAAACTAAAATGCATAGATTTTGGCTAGTAGGTGACCGATTTCGAAAATTGGGTCAAAAGGTCACAGATATTTTGTAAGACTAATTATTGACTACCAATAATTGGAAAACCAATTTGCCCCTAGTCCACTAACTTTACAGGTACATTGGATTTAACACAAGATGTCCCCTATTGATTTAAGGATGCAGGATTAAAGGTTATAGTCAAATCGACTTTGACTGTCGTAACATGGTTTTATCCAATAACTCGACACCCGATGGGTCATTGGTGCTCAAAATCCACAGGTGGTTTAGGGCGGTAGATGACAAATTTTGGTGAAGGGTTTGAGGTCACTTTGATCTTACATTTCCTTGCAACATTGCATACAACCTCGTGCCAACAAGAGGAGCATCAACTCTTCTTTTTATTCATTATAAACCCATGCCGCTTTTGTGACTCCATGAAAATGTTATGACACGATGTTTCATCATTTGCGTTATACAAACATTACGTTACATTATATGAGTGTCAATTTAAATGATTGTTTGAACTAAAAGCGTTTTTGTTAATCTTAGTATAAGTATAAGATATATAGAATGTTATATTCGAGTTGGTTTTTAAATTGAAAAATTTCAGATTTCATATCAATGCAGATCGACTTTTATGCAATTGTCAAGACATTGAAAAACACATTTTCCTTTACTTATTAGTTTCATGCGTAAAACGCAATCATCAGAAGTGTAAATTGTAAATGGTATATATATATATATATATATATATATATATATATATATATATATATATATGCAATTGATTCACACGTTATCATATTTAAAGATAAACTAACTTTATGATAATACTTTTTATTTTGGACCCTTTTCGGTATCTTTTATATAAAATGCAAGATAAAACGGCAAGGCTTTTATTATTTTGAGGAATCATTTGCAAGCTTTTTTGAGGCATTACATCTTCTTGACATTTTCATGTTACGTTTCTATGGAAATGTTTGTATTTCTAGTTTTTTTTTGTTGTTGACGATTTTGAATCTGTAACTCATTTTAAGTATTTTCTTACACGTCTTTCCATTTTAATCGGAATGTGTAGGTTGAAATGATAATGTTTGTCTTGCCATGTAATTAAATGAGGTTTAAGAAACATATTAGGGTAGGAAACATTTGATTCTTGCAGTAGTTACAATATAAGGGGCAATGACCTTGAAAAGGGAAAATAACATTTTAACAAATAGATTTATCAGAATCATTATGTACAACGCCGCACTTCAAAGCATAAAAGCTAATGTAAGGAGTAATTAAATCTTTACAACTTTAATTTGCAAAACCTGGAATATTTTCAACAGCTTTGATCAAATGATTTATATTAAAAAGCGGTTTTATTATTTTAATTATTTGATTGTCGCTAAGATGAGTTTATTACATGATTGCATGTTTTGCAAAAACAGGTGTTTGCAAACCAACATTTAGAATGGTTCAAACATGTAAAAAATACAAAAGGAGTGGTGGAAGTTACATCTTTTATGGAGGCAAATGCTATCAATGACTTTGGAATATTTACAATCGGGAAGAATGCTGGAACACATGTTCAAAATGGAGATCATGATGTTACTTCAAACACAGTGAGCAAAACAGTTATATTCCTTTTCTTTAAAATTTTATTAAACATATTTCAACGGGCAACGTGTTTCATCTCTATACATAGAAAATTTGAAATTTATTACTAGTTAAATATTAAGGTTGTTAGTCGACCGCTTGTACATGTTCCGGGACAGAATTCTGAAACTACAAGAGATATCAACAAAAAACTTGGTAGTTAGAAACATCTTATTTGGTAAAAGTGCAGTGCAGAATAACTATAACTCTACCTTCCCATATGTTGGAGTTATTGCCCTTTGTTTATTTCCACACTTTGAACTTTGCTCGGGACATAACTTGAGAACTAAAAAATGCATCAATCTAAAACTCCGCATTGACTAATTTTGGAGTAATTGTCTTTTGCTCATTTTTACACTTTGAATTTTGTCCGGGATATAATTCTGAAACTACAAGAGATATCAACTTGAAACTTTGTAGGTAGATCGATCTTACTGTGTAGATGTGCAATACAAATAAACCCTCGTTTCCTTATTTTGGAGTTATTGCCCTTTTTATCATTTTACACTTTGAATTTTGTCCTGGACAATAACTATAAAATGTATCAACTTGAAACTTTGTAGGTAGATAGATCTGAGAACAAGTGTAGTGCAGCAGAACCGTATTCATCTCTACCCCAATTTTGGAGTTATTGCCCTTTGTTTATTTTTTACACTTTGAACTTTGTTCAGGACTATGAAAGGTATCAGCATGAAACTATGTATGTAGATCGATCTAAATGGGAAGAACTGCAGAAATCTCAGGGAGAAAGAACGTATTGCCTTTAAAAGAAGTCATGAAAACTTAAGATCCAAACTTTGATTTATTTAACTGAAAAAGGACGAATAATTCCAAAACATTTGAAAAAAAGCTATGAAGTTATGCATTTTCCTTATAAGACACATCTTAACTAAAAGCATGTATTCTGACAAGGGAGTGTCGGGGGTATTCGGCACTTGTGACAATTTCTATTTTTTTTTCCAAACCCTGCTTTATCATTTATGATCAGTATTCTGTCATACTAGAAAATAAAATTAATATAACATGAAAGATTATGTGACTTTCAATTGTGAAATTATATATAAGTTTTACATAGCGATTAACTTTATGATAATATTCATAATAACCTTTGCGTGGACACAATGATGCACCTTATTACACTTTGAAAACCAGCGGAGTGAAGAATTTTGACATCTAAAGCAGAATTCAAACCCGAAAACGTTTATAGATAAGAGATTTTAAGTTTTTAACCTTATCCAATAGGCCAAAGATATCCATATCTCATTTCTTTCAGCACCCCCTGTAACTCATGCCTACACTTTATTTGTACCCTTCATGGTGAATATATTTGGCCGGGATATGAATTCATGATTCTGATATTTCACATGAAGCGACATAATGTTTTATAGTATTAGACGCTTCATCGGATATATACACTTAACATATCTTATAAGTGTGCATGTATAAATGGTTTCATAGGTGTATCAATATTTGCCCGGTCATGCTGGAATTTTCAATAAATACAGAAAAATGACATGTTATCATTTTTATTTATTTTCTATTTCATTCAGGATAAAAGTTCAAGATGTATTTCTAAAAAATGTGAGTGCTCGTCGAAAGTCGATGTTGCAAAATGATGTCTTAATACAGTATGTGCCCACCCTGACTGTGTATTACAGCCTAGTAGCGTCGTCACATCGATGCTACACACCGTTGTAGATCATATTGGTATTGGTGAGGAAGGTTACTAACGATGTCAGTTGCTTTGTACTTAATGATTAGCATTCTTAAAGTATTCCGGTGTACACCCATGCGAGGCGCAACCTACAAATGATACAGACATGTTATTAATAAATAAAAAATATGCATTTACGTTCGTCTTAGGTAGAAACTGAATTTAAATGATATTCGGCTTTTACAATGCAAATGAATTAAAATAATATTTAAACAAATAAATTGAGTTTACCACCTCTGTTTGATGGACACCAGCGTTGACCAATCCTAGGGCTATACCACGCTGTTGTAAAGCTCATTTACCAATGTGGTGTTTTTCTGATATGTGGATCTCTATTGTATCCGTGAATATCATGTGCAATTTTTTTTCACCCATTCTCACAAATTTTTCGTGCATTGTGTGAATTTCGTTCGTTCATGGTTGAACGCACCTCATAATTAAAATTGACATGCTTGAGCACGGGAAAAGTGTGGAAATGCAGCCAATAATCAGAACGCAAAATTTTGTAAAAATATAGTGATAAACGAAAAAGTTATAAGGACATAAAAGGTGCACACTTATAAGATTTGTTAAGTGTAAAGATTTTGCAAAGGTAAATAAGGTAAATTACAAAGAGCAATAAAAATCTTTTTGAGTGATCTACCCCTGAATATGAGATATTTGCTCTTGTTCGGTCATTTTCCAGGACATATAACTCCAAATTGTTTTAAGCATTACCTGATTTGATTGGAAAATTGTGTGTGTTATTCTCTGCCATTGTGCAAAATGAAATGCAATTCTATGTGACATATTTTATTCTGTCGTTGCATATGCGAAATGTTGAAATTTGTTGCGATTTATGGCACGTCTTTGATAGAGATTTGTGTATGTTTACATGTTTAAACATAGCAACATATACTATGATAGCATCCTTTTGAAAATTTGTGATGAAATAAAGTAACAAAACTTAATGCTAAATAAAAGAAAGTACCGTTATGCATGTTTATTAGTTATCTGCTCATGAAAGTAGCCTAGAAGAGTACAAAAGCCCCAAAGTTCAGGGACAAAAGACTTAAAAGTATGATGGCGAACCAATAAATTTTCATAAATTAGTTTAAATCACAATTCTAATCGTTTTTTCTCTCAAAAGTTACCTTCTTTGCCTTTAAAGTTTATGAAAAAATATAAACATATAAAATCGAATTTAAGAACTTATACTTTAACTGTTTTTAATATTTTAAATAATCGTAAAAGTATATTTCACTTTATGCTTTAAAACACATGGTTTTGAACAAACGCACTGATAAATAGCCTTGTTAGTATGCTTACAAAAATACAAACTGCATTAAATATAGAATGTTTTAAATTCTTCAAAATATATTACTCGGTTATCTGTAAGAAGTGATCGCAACTTTGACCTAAACATACTAATGCTTTATCTATTCTTGAAATAGCCTGTTATTCATAGCAATTTAATATATCGGGCCTAATTTTACTGACTGTTTGCTCGCAAGACAAAACGGTTAAATACGGGACTTTAAATAATTCTACTGTAAACGGTATGTATATCATAGTAATTGCAACAGTACAATTGTTTGAAAAAACCTTCATACATGTATATCTTTGTCGCTATTTGTCCGGTTAAAGTAATATTTTTAAGTTTTTTATTAAAGTATATTTTACTTAAACGGAGATCTCTTAAAACAGGTGGCAGTCACTGAAATATTTTATTTTTGGTAAATTATTTTAATGTTTCTAGTTAACGCAAACATTCTTATCTTCTTGACATGTCTAGTTTTTTTATATCTTTATTTCAGGCGTTGTCTCATGTAATCAAATTGACAGTTCCCGCTGACAGAAAAGCGGGTAGGATAGAAGCTAGGGAATACAGTTTGAGTGAATTAGAAGAGCTTCAAAGCAAACTTATACTTGTTGCTGGTGAGGCAGAAAAAGGGCAAGCATGTGTGGAAAGATTTTCTATGGTAAGTTCTCTGAAAGTACGGACATAGCACAAAAATGTAGAAAGGAAATAGTTTCTGTTTAGTTCATAAATATTTCATTCTAAAGTTAAAACTATGACTACGTAGCATCATTTACATGTGCTTTCACTCAGTCTGTAGGTTCACAAAAATAAAATAAGGGAGAAAGAAATTCGATGAAACGAAGAAGGCCTTGCTGAAAACTGAGATAGTACACTCAACATTCCATTTATGGTAATCACTGTTATTTGTAACACGTCAACTGGTTAAGTTAAACGACATGACTGTTTTTTTTATTTAGAGGTATTTGTTTTGCTTTCTTTATTCTAGAAAAACGAGGGTTATGCTTTCAGCGAATTCTAGCAAAATGCTTACATAAAGTAACATGCTCCAGACTCATGCTGAGTTTTCATGAAAAGTTTTAAAATGTATTTTAAGGTACTATTGTGAAGTGACAAAAATGTAACTTACACATTGCAAACAGTACTTACTATTTCTGTAAATAACCGAAAAGAGACAGTAGCTCTTACTGCATAATTCACATATTAGAATAATACGATGAAATATATCGTAAACTTAAATCATCAATCTTTTTACTTTTGTAAAAATCTTAGTTGTTTTCCTGCAGAATAATTTTCTTGAAATTTTTGGGTACACGTCAGCCGTATGTCATTAAATCACACACAATTTGGAAAAGGCATATTGAGTCGACAAAGTATAGAAATAAATGCGTGTTTATCTCTATAAGAGGCCTGTGCTTTTCTGTTGTCGATCTTTATCAGGGCATTTTTCTAGCATTTAATGGTAACAAGAAGAGATAAGAAGCCTAATCTTAATAAAGGGAAATATTTTCTGTATATTATGTATTCTCGTCAGCACAACAAAATGCTCTTTGTTAGTTGAAAGAATATAACTTTTCTGCTAATATTTTTTGAAGACTTAAGCTGAACATCACTTTCTTGTTCATTTATTAAATATCTTTTTGTTTGTTATCAGAAATCAGAAATTGTTATGCTACCCGAAGAGAGAGCAAATTGTCACTGTTTGTCCGTCCATCCGTCCATCACATTATTGTCAGGAGAATAGAAGGAATAAAATTTTAGTTTAATACTAAGAGTATTGTTATTGCATAATTATCGCCCATAGCAGGTCAGTTATAGTCCGTTTCGAAAAAAAACTCGCAAAGCAGTCGACGGAGTATATAACGTAAATTCAGTTCACAGACTTCAATTGTAATATGTAGCAAGTAACTGTTGTTAATTACGCAAGAAGCTAATTCTTTTTGCCGATTGATGCACGTACTTATTAAGTAGCGCATGTAGTAACTGAGCGCTTCAAAATATTTTGACAAGAACTAAATGGTGGAGTAAAGTTTTATTGTTGGCTTTATGTTTTGACCACATGAATAAAGTATTAGGCAAGAGAGGAAATATTATTTCTATATTCATAGCTGAACGGGGATTCCAAGCATTTTTGGAAATGCTAATACCTGTTATCTGTATTTTTGTGTTTGTTCACTCATCTGTATAATTAGATAAAATTTCAGTTAATAGATAATGCAGAATGTTTCGGACATATCCCTTGCGTTTTTATTATTATCTAACAAATTAAGTGGTTATCTAGAAAAAAGGTTTCTGTTACCAGTTATACAACGCATCGTATAATTATATTATTTTCTACATAAACTGTGTTAGTTAGTTAACTGCTTCAGTATCAGATTATTATCTGTATAAATAGTATAATTAGTAAAATTTTCAGTAAAAGATAATTGATAATGCGGAATACTTTGAAAACTTCCCGGGGTAACCTTACCAAAATCTACCCTATATTGAAATTAAAAAGTATTTATTTTTGTATCATATATACAATAGAAGGATACTGTATTTGTTCAGAAAAATGTCCGATTTGGGAGCATTCAGCTGGTGCGACATGATGTAGTATCCTACCACTGATATATGAAATTTAAGTTTAAGATTAGTTTTCTTATTAAAGGCATATTGTATATTGATTCAAACATTACGTTAACGTCGAAAGATTTTCTAGAAATTACATACAAAACGTAAGTCAAGTTAATTTTCAAACACCCTTACGGCAATATTATTTTCGTAAATAAAACAATTACAGTGAATAATACATGTAGCAAGTAAATTAATTAAGCTGAAAGGACATTATAGTTTAGAATTGCAACGCATGGAATATACTCGTATAGATAACAAATGACAATATTGAAGCGAATTCATTACTCCTGATCATCTACCATTTCGAGTCAACTTTATTAATTGCTTTTGTTTTACATCCTAATATAATTACCTTCTTTTTATGGAAAGTTGGCTTGATATTTTCATTTAAATTTGCATTTGCATTGATTTGTTAATTGTAAATAATTGTTATTATCAATAATAATTCTAAATGTTCAACAAACACAAATGAATTGTTGACAGAATATTGCCTAACTTTTTGAGTCACTATGAAGACCTGCTAAACAAAAGTGAGATGTTGGTTTTAGCAAAGCAAATTTCGGTTATCCTTTTGACCTATATAACTATGCCGTTGATTATATCATATTTAAAGAGATACTATTTGTGAAAACAACATTTGTTCCACTGTTTTCATTCCAAAAATAGCCAAATTAGCGAATTTAATATGACTGCGTGAAACAACAATTTTGGCTACTGTAACATTATATACTTTTAAAGGCTTTGTAACTGGAAAATTTATTATTATGATTTTCATAATTAACTTTGAGGACATGCACTGTGATGTAATGCAGTTGAATCTCAACGGCATGTCTTGATGCTTCTTCATTTCTTTGCTTAAAGATATATATCAATTACTTTCAGAAATATTTAATCTCTCACTGGTATTTATATTTGCATTGTCTTATTCCACTAACTTGTCTAGCACTATTTGAGTCGTTTAATGTTTACCCAAATCAACAATATAATCCATTAGACGTCCATTGTTATAATTCCTCATTATGTTATATCAAAAATGTTCAGTGATTTCAAAATAGTTTCATGAATGATCATGTTAGAAGGTTGTTATGGCAATATATAACAATTTCCTTTTCTTAACTTTAGGTACTTGATGGTGTTATACGACTTAGTCAAGTTTACATAAGACTCGTGTCATCCGGTTGTGTCATATTCACCAACTTTGCAATAAAGCTGTTTTGTGAACCAAATCTAAATACACCAGTGTGCGTTATTCTCGAGTTCAAAAATGGTGACGAACTAACACAATTAAAGGTAATTTATAATTTGTTAATGAAATGACAACATCAGAATTCAAAACTTAATTGTTGCGATAAAAAAATAGTTACTCATTTTAATTTTCATGGTATATTATTATGTACTATTTTTGTGGTTAAATAACAGAATAAGGTAGTTAGCATGCAAACATAAAGGGTTTAGCCTACAAAATGCGATAACTTTGATTAGTGTTGTCAGCATTATTAAAGAGACACTTAGACTAGTTTTACATGTCAACTGAACTCGACGAAAACGATTTGTTTTTACTTTGTTAGAAATTATACTTTTTTTTGGTAATAAAGGTTTATATACACCAAACTTTATTCTTGAAAATACACGACTGTTGTCATTTGGAAAGAAAATTGGGTCATAAAATGATTGCTGCAAGTAAGGAACATAACTTATTATTAATGTTCTACTTGATAGGATATGTTAGTTCCTATTATTATCTGTTCTGACTGGTTTCGATTTTGGTTATTTAGTACGATAAGGCAATCATTTTGTTATTCCAGATAAATTTGAAAAATTGATCTCTAAATAGGGAAATAATAATAATATTTATTATGTTTTTTTAATGAATTTTGTTATTATTTCTTCTATCAATTGTATAATTATTTATCAAATTATCATACATACTAATGTAAACTAATGCAAATGGCCGTACACAAACGAATATCAGATGGCTTTAGAAAATAATAATACGTCAAAAGCAACACTCCCTTGTTTGATATCTCCATCCTTTTATTAAAAAAATATGTGTTTTTGTATCTTTCTTCAGTTAAATATCTGTTATTTCTGTGCACTTAAACACATTATTGATGGTCAGACGAATTTTGATGATGGTAGGAATAAAGATTAGAAGTACATGTCGACTGGTTGTCTGTTATCAAGCTATCTTACGGTTTCAGGTGGTTCTTATCAATTCCCTGTGTGTCTGAATGATGCACGAGGATCACCTTGCATTTTTCTTGACAAGTAGAGTTGGAAAGTTTAAATTTTGTCATATGTCAGTGTGACCAAAACAAACAAGCTGTTACTTTTTGTTTCAGTGAGCACATTGGATATGCAAGCTACGGAATGCCGTTAGGGCCATCGCCTATGAATGTGTTAATCTGAAACGCGATAGTCGATAGTACGATGGTGAAAACACGAAATCACGAAACTACGATGGTGAAAACACGATACTACGATGATGAAAACGCGATAGTACGATGATGAAAACGCGATAGTACGATGATGAAAACACGACAGTACGATGGTGAAAACGCGATAGTACGATGATGAAAACACGACAGTACGATGATGAAAACGCGATAGTACGATGGTGAAAACGCGATAGTACGATGATGAAAACACGACAGTACGATGATGAAAATTCGAAATCACGAAATTACGATAGTGAAAACGCGACAGTACGATGGTGAAAACACGATAGTTTATCGCGTTTTCATCATCGTAGTATCGTATTGTCGCGTTTTCATCATCGTACTTTCGCGTTTTCATCATCGTACTTTCGCATTTTCACCATCGTAGTTTCGTGATTTCGCGTTTTCACCATCGTACTATCGACTATCGCGTTTCAGATCAACACATTCATAAGCAATGGCCCTAACGGCATTCCGTAGCAAACTCCTAATGTATAGATGTATGTTATTCTTTAAATTGTCCTTTAAAGTGTTTGTTTACAAATGCTTTACTGAAACGTATAATCGTAGATTTTCGGCGGTTAAATAGAAAAAAAGAAAAATATAGATTAAGGAATTGTGATAAATCGCAAGTCCAAAAAGAGTTTTTAATTGCTTAACTGATTGCATATGGGGTTTTATTCTAAATCTTCGTTTTTCTATGGTTTATATGCAGTACATTAAAGGTAATGTATTATGTATGGACTTATGCCATGAGACGGTGTTGATCCGGTGAAAAATTTAAGTCCAGAGTTCAAAGTCATATAAAGCATTGAAATGATGCAGTATCAAGTATGCAATAACTTTTTCTTGAAGTGTCGAAAAACAACAGATGAACGCCTTGAGAATATTATGCCGAAAATAGCATCACAAATGGAGAAATGTTTAGCAAATTGGATTACATTTGTTAACGAAAAGCGAACTGAGTACCTTCATCTCAACTACTACACAATGGACCAGTTAGTGATCATTCAGAAAGAGATTGCAAATTTATGTCTACAAAAAGAAACATCACCTAAGCTTTTCCCATTACTTCAGTGTGTAAAGAGCGATTGTAAAAAAGGTATGAATGTCTGTTTGCACAAGCGTGCCACATAGAAGCTTGCATGATTACCGCTGCATGAATACATCAGCGTACGTTTCTAAATTCAGAAGTTCAAGCTTTTATGTTTATTTCTTTAAAAACCTTAAGTCGTTAGTAGTGTAGAACCTCATGAACATACATTCACATTTTTTATCTTTATTTTCAAACATATTTTTAGTTTAATATAGGCGCGTCCGTTGCCGAGTGGTTAAAGTCAATGTCTTCAAACACCACTTTCCCAGCACCGCTTTGTGTTCGACACGGACTTTAGATTCTTTCAAATCAGGAAGCAGCCCAGCTTACTAACTAAACGTCAGTAGTTCTACTCAAGTACCTGTTTGTGCCTGAAATAATGCACGGAACGGCATCCGGGATCTTCTTCCATCATTAAAGCTGGAACGTCGCCATATGACCTTAACTGTTTCGGTGTGACTTAAAACTCAATCAATCAAACAAACAAAAAACAATTAATTTAATGTTTTTTTCCATGAGAACCAGAATCTGTATATTGTACTGTCCAGTCTAAAAACAAAATTTAACTTTAACCTGTATTTATTATTTAAAATATAAATGACCTTTGCAATGGTCAATTTTGTCTGTTTTTTAAAAGTAAATAAATCGATATTTCTAAAAAATTCTTTCTCCCTGCAATTTAGTATACTTTACTGACAGACTGATTGTCTTGTAATAAAAACTTGATGCACTTCACTAACATTTTTTTCTATAGATGATGTTATCTGTGCAAACCAAAAAGCAGTGACAGAAATTAAAGCAGACCGATCAGATAGAGATTTGGAGCAAGAATCATCAAATTTAATGGAGAAAGAAGATCCGAAACGAGACAAATTTATCAAAAAGCTAGTAATGGCTAAATTTGAAAGACTTATACCATTTGCATTAGAGAAGTTTCCAAACTTTGATATTAGTAAAGGTATATTTCTAAAACAACAACTAAACAAATGACATGTTTAATATCGATACATTTACTAAATAACATTTGTTAGTGATTTGGCAAATATATGATAAAAATGGCATACATGCTAAAATCTCTTAAATGTATTTAATCTCAAAGTCGGTTGTCTATGTTATCATACACCGTATTAATGACTATGAATGAGTTAGCGTCCGAAAATTATGTTTAGATTATTATCTGTTTTAGATGCTTTATATTGAATATTTGTTTACAAATTGATAAAAGGTTCACGTTATGGCATCATTGTATCGCTTTATATTATTGCTTTTGAAAATGATCGTAGAAATCTATGTCTTGTAACAGAACATCATATCTTGTCTTTTAAAATTCGTACTATTTGATTTCAAAATCTCCAAAAATGACCAAGTTACGGATATAACACATAAATACACCATAGATTTGGGGCTGCGTTCTGAAACAGTCGCCTTGCCACTTTGATCTTTTGTTTTCTTTTGCATGACACCTAAGCCAGTGACTTTGACTTTGAGAAAGCTACAAACCTGAATTTATCATTCGAAACATCATTTCATGCTGGTCATTACTTGTGCTTTATTTAACGAAATCAAGAAGAAAAAATCAGTCGAGTCGGCTTTTTGGACATTATACATGACTTGGTGCTTAAAGCTACAACCTTTATTATTGCCTACGAAACATCACCAAATGACCGTTTGAATAGATCTAGCAACTGTAATATCCTTCAGGCAATGACACAGTTATGGAATGACACAAAACAATGCTTCAGGGTTGGCTTCAAACATCTACTACATTAAGCGAACAAAAATATAAAATATAGTTAAATGTTTTGGATCATGTTCTTCACTTTTTATACTTTTCAGTTTTGACCGATCTTAATTAAACTTTATACTTCATTGTCACAGATATATGAGTTGGATACAAATGCCTACTTTACGGGTTTATTTTACGTTGTCAATTTATAAAAAAATCTATTGACGGATCATTGTTTTTATAAGCTAAAAGCGGTATAAGTTTGTCAAAAGTTATTTTAGCTGCTTTGTTAAAAAATCTCTATCAAAAATGTTCGTGTTAATATTAATGTTGCATGCATTATTTTATGTACTTCACTATCTCAATACTTTATCATCAATAACAATATTGATTTTAAATGCCAAATTGTAACTGATTTAGATTATTACGTGAAAGATGTCTACTGCTCTTGCTATATATATTAACATTTATACGTAAAGGAAAACAAATAATTAAGTTGCAGACAATAACTTGAGAACACAAAAATGTGTGTTGAATTGTATTTGTATTTCGTATTAATATATCTTCCTCTCCTACCCACTTGTATCCATTTGTATTTGGATAGTTCTGAATAGGTGAATGATTTGATAAATATTTATGGGATAAAAAACAAATGCGAAAACTTTTTTGCTCCTACTTCTTATTTTACTGTTTGAAGCTTTGACTTGGTGCATGAAAAACAAGAACAACGTTGAAAAATTTGAGACCGAACGAAAATCACGGTTGTCAAAAACTAGAGGAGATGTTACCGATGATCTTGCAACTGGAGATACCCAACCAACAGATACCTTTGCTACTTGGATGAGCAAAGCTATGGCTAATGAAGGGTAGGTGTTTTTATGATAATGTAATAAATAACTTTGTTAAGTAACCGAAGGAACACAGAAACTTAGTTTATGCACCAGCTCTCAACTCCTCCTTTCATTCTATTCTATATCTATAACGCAGAACATTATGTGTAAAGCTGTACTCTTAGATTTTATATTGTTTTCTTCCATGTCAGATATTTTCTTTATTTCTTACATTAGTTTCAAATCAGATGAAGGAGAAAAAGTTCAAAAAAGTCTTAACAGACTTACAAGAATTGTACATTATAGATCAATTGGCGGACGAATGACATTGTTCATTATGAACTTTGGTAGGCTTGCTAGAGATTAGAATATTAAATGTATTTTCTTTGGAACATAAAAAAACTAGACAAAATAACCACAGTATGTTTTTTATTATTATAATTGTAACAAATATACAAACATCATATACAAATAGTAACAAAGGGGACAAATATAGTAATATTACATACATCTTGTTCATGTCAAATTTTAAAAAAAGGTTTCTATTAATACTTGGGAATTAAGATACTATGATTATATTTCAAGTCCCAGATAAACACTGAAAAGAAAAATTTTGGATGAATTTCAAAAAGACAAATTTCTGATTTTTTTGTTATACACGTTAAAAAAATAATTGTACATTAAAAGTCATGAATAAGTTTGCTTGGCATGTTTATATGGTTAAACATTATTTATAAAGTTAATGGAAGACTGTTAACTGAAGAGATTGCTCTACTAGTTTGTTGAATTATTGCTTCAAAATCATCATCTGACTTTGTGTTTACATTTCTATCAATAAATTCATAACACCTTATGTTAAAACTGCAGACAAAAGTTTGTTCTGTTAAAATCTCACAGTACTCGACAAATCAGCATTCCACTCAAACCTCCATAAAACCGATTGTCTTCAAACAAAATAGAATCAACTTCTTTCAGCAAAAAATGTGGAAATCAGGGTCGATTTAAATATTCACGGTAAAAATGTCCATTTAGGGTCGTAAAAAAGAAAGGAACTATTAATAAACCGGAACGGACAATTTCAAAATGATAATACTATGATATAAAAATTTGTAAAAAACGTTTATAAAGAGTGCAATTGATTGTAGAATATGTTTGCATTTCATTTCCTGCAAAATTCTCCACTTCGTTATTTATAACCATATTGCGACACGAATGACCGTTTCTTTGAGTTTCAGACTCAAAACTAAAACTACTTCTATACATATATTTTCGTGTTGGAGATACAAATTTACGAAATGAATAACCAAATTCAAGTTTATTTTTTTTGTTTTGTCTTTTATCTGCGGTTGAGGCGTGAGATTTGTTCCCGTTCTCATTCATTAATATGACATGCTGCAAATCACCGAAGGGAAAACCAACATACATTTGAATGCGGATGAAAAGAATGAGTCGCAAATAATTGAAAAAATGATAATCGTCAGAAAAACTGTCTGAAATTAAATGTTGTTTATTACGAAATTTTTTTAACAAAACATGGTTTGTGATGCTAAGATATCTTGTTTGTTTCCACATTCAGAGCAGAGTTTTTAAAGGTTGCAGTTACTTTATTGTTGATAAATATACTGGACTCATTCTAAGGCAAAACATAAAATATTCTTAATCATTCATATAAAGATATTTATTTAAGAGCTTGGTTTTTCTATTGTCTATGATTGAATTTTTGAAAGTCCAAATATCCTTAAAATTTGTTAAAAGTGTTTTGATGATTTCTAGCTCAAAAGCCATTATGGTTCTACCGAAGTCAAAAACTTAGCACACAACCCAAACATCGAAAGAAACACTCTTCACAAACTGTTTGTCAATATCCTTGACATTGGTCAGAATGAATGTTGATATGATTTTAGCTCAAGGTTAAAAGGGGCATTTAGGGTCACAAACTAAATGACTTTGAATACTCATATGAAAAAAAAGCCTTAGAAGTAAAATTAATATTAAGAAAACCTTGTAAACACTATCAATGTAATATTTGCAGCCAAAGTATCCTTAGAATTTCTCAGAAATGATGTTTAGATGATTTCTAAGTTTGTATGTGTGTGTGTGTGTGTGTGTGTGTGTGTGTGTGCGTGTGCGTGTGCGTGTGTGGGAAACAGTCCGTTTGTTGGAAAAACCATGTTTGCATTTGCATAATATCAGGTGCAAATACGAACTGTACGATATTACTTTGAGATTTGATATGCTTTTCATTTAGAGATTACAATATTTATTAAGAGTTTTATAAATCAAGTGAGCGATTTAAGGGCCATAATCGCCCTCTTATTACTTGTTCTCATGTGACCATCATTGTCCTCTTGTTTGAACTTGTTAAGACGATTGTTTTCACCTGATTACAACTAAATATGAAATATAAAATAAATTGTATCAAGAAAGTACAGCTCTTTAAAGATCCGAAGTGTAAATTATATATGATAACGATAACCTTAAATAATTGTTGTTCAAATAAAAAAAGATATTTTAACTTTTCAAGATCCTAATTTTAATATCATGCATGTATTGTAGTCAGTATGACAAGTGTGAATTTATGCTACTGAAGTTCGATAGAATATGGCAGGACTTTATCCAGGCAATCATATCAAATCTGCAAGACTTCATTAGTTTAAAACAGCTTGGAGTTTTATTGCGACATCTCGCAAATGAGGGTAATTTTGTTAACTATTTCATGTCTTTTTATTAAAAATGATAGGTTTGAATGATATTGCTTATCTTAAAATCTAATTAAAATTTAATACAAGTTACACTTTAATAAATAGATAAGATAAGTGACTTGTTTCATCTTGTTTTAGAATTTTAAATGTCATCAGCTTTACTGTCAGTATAACTGTTAAAAAGTTGAATAAGTTCTACAAACTGATATAAACCAAACGTTTGCATTTTTCATTGAAAACATATTTGTTTCAGAGAAAAAGAAAGTGAATAGAACATTTCCAGATGGTTACATAGAATCTTCTCCAAATCTAGTTATTTGTTCAACTGGTAATTATGTAAATGTTTCTTATTTTTATTATCTTTTTCATTGTATATGCATTACAATAACATTTTCTGTGAAAACACACTTAAAATACCGGAAAGTTTACAGTTGGTTAAAAATCTATAAAGTATGATGCTAGGATAGTATTTTTTACACGTATCAGATGAAGTTCTACAAACTACGTTATCGGTATACATGATGGGCGAAACTGCTGATGATATGCCACTTCCCCAATCAGATGAAGTGCTTATGTGTTCAGCAAAAACGTCCCTCGAGCAGGTATATCATATTTGAATATTTTTTTTTTTATAAAAAATGTAACAATTTAAAGTGTTTTTGGCAAACATTTTTTTCTGTTAGTATGTTTTCTAATAAAAACGTATACAATCAAACCTGGCATGCAACATTTTTAGTTTTGCCTTCCTTAGCGTTTTTGGGGTCACCTTTTTGTAGTTTAACCTACAGTCATACAGAACTTTCATCAACAACCATATAAAAACTGCGTTTTGATTTAGATTTAATATTCTTGCTAATATCGTCCCATGCTGTTTTGCTTATTTTATACTAGTTTGAGATAAATTTGCATTGGTTCTTTACATAAATTTTCAGTGTTTGTCATAATCAGAAATAGAGTCTTGAATGTTTTAGATCCTGTGATAACAGTTTTGGTACAGCAACCGATATATTTTGTTTTCTATTTTTATAAATATTGGATTATTTCACATCACAAATTAAAAGTTAAACTGAAGAAGCTTTATATCTGTCGGATGTTTGACTTCCAAACATTGGCTCATCTGAGTTAAGTGATTTTCTTTTTGTCAAGTATGATCTTAAAGCTTTTTAAAAAGGGTTGGAATAATTTGTCGGCGACGACATCGTTTAACGTTATTTCTTTAAAACAAATATAATGGTTTTCTCTATATCAAAAAGCTTTATTTCAATAATAAGAACATAGGTGTCCCTAAAATTTATCTTTTGCAAATGTATACCGCTGAAATTATTGTCTAGTTAACGTTAAGTTTCAGCGAAATGTTTCAGCTAGACTCCATTGGCAATGAACAATTAAACGGGACTTTCATGTATTGAAACTATATCTTCGTCGAAATTTAAGTAGAATTGTTCGTTTATTACACCAGAATTGCCATTGAATTTCTTGTTTTCTATTAACTTCAATGATATGTTTTGTTTATACCCATCGTTTTTCTAATCAGATACTCGGCCTACATATGATTTACATCTAATACAAAGTATTCTAAACCTACAGCAAAGTTTAATCGCAGATGCATTCATTGTAAATTTCCAATCTTGAATTTAATAGATAAGGGTATAGGTTATAATAAATTTTATAATTTACAAAAGTATGAATTTTCAAGTATAAAATAATACTGCGAATAACAGAAGTACAATTTGAACACACTATTTATTTGCTAAATTGGATGTGAAAAAGGTGTTTGTTTCTTAAAACTCTTGTTGATTAACAGGTTGATGTATTCCTCAGGCGAAGCGTTTTCTTTGCAAATGGAAAGATTCATTGCATAGTCAATGCTGATTTAATGGAATTTAATGTATGTGAAGGACTGCATGATCTTCTTCAGGAATACATACGAAAAGTCGGTTCGGATGGTAAATTTTTATTTCTCGTTCAAATAAAAAAATATGAGGTTAATGCTTCATTATTTGGCCTTAATTTATATTCTTTTAGAAGTTGTTATGTTCGTCCAGGTCACAAAGAATATGGTTTGAAAAATCTATGTATTTGAATTGCTATAATGCTTCATTTTTATGCTTCCGAAGGGTGAGCATATAGTCGCCTTTTTGTCCGTCCGTCCGCTTTCCTTGTCCGGAATATAACTCTCAAATAACAAGAGGTATCAACATGGAACTTTGCAGGTAGATAGATCTGACCAGGTATATGTGTAGTGCACAAGAACCATAACTCTGCATTGCCCTTTTTCATTTATACACTTAAGCATTGACCGGGACATAACTCTTAAACTATGAGAAATATTAACATGAAACTTTGTAGGAAGATGGATCTCATTTGGAAGATGTGCAGTGCAAAAGAATCGTAACTCTGCCTTGCCAAATTTCGGAGTTATTGCCCTTTTACATTTTCACATTGTGAACTTTTTCCGGGACATAACACTAAAACTATAAGAGATATCAACATAAACTTTGTAAGTAGATAGATCTCATAAAAGTGCAGTGCAACAGAACCATAAATCTACCTTGCTTAATTTTAGCTTTTTTGCCCTTTGTTCATTTGTACACTTTGAACTTTGTCCGTGACATAACTCTGAAAACACAAGAGGTATCAAAGTGAAACTTGGTAGATAGATATATCTCATTTAAAAAAAGTGCTGTGCAAAAGAACCATAATTCTGTTTTGTCAAATTTTGGAGTTATTGTCCTTTGTTTATTATAACACTTCGGACTTTGTGTGGGACATAACTCTAAAACTAAGAGATATCAGCATGAAACTTTGTAGGTAGATATACCTCATTGAGTAAATGTGCAGTGCAAATAAACAATAACTCTGCATTGCCTCACTTTGGAATTCACCGATAAACACTAGCAGACCACAGGCTATTCTTATCAGTTATCGAGTAAAGATAACCGGTTGCGTATTTCGCTGTATAAATCGTATGTAAAATGGTTTGACATGTTGTACTATAACAGTTAATTTAAATACTTTGGTGTCAAAATATGTGTTGAAGTATATACTGCGACAAAGCTATGATCCAAAGCTTTCCATTGATGTAATAAGTCTTATAATCGGACATTTGAATAACAACGACATTAAAATAACAACACACTAGCGGTTTAAAAAGGATTAATTTGTATTGATTTTGCATAAGAGATATCGATTTTACTCCAAGACAATGGAAACAACTTTGGTTATTTACGTAGTTCGTATTGAAAGTGTTTTTTGGTGTATTATTGCACTTTGAACTTTGTCTTGGACATAACTGAAGCTACAAAAGGTATCCTTTTCTGTGTACAAAATATGATAAATAAGATCAACAAGGAAAGGCGGCGTTGAATGAACGCAGCCCCCACCCGACCCAGCAACCAACCCAGCAACAATAGCCAGTGGCAAGGAGCCCAGGAGGATCTCAAACAAAAACAGGACAGGGCACAAGGCAGAGCACGGGCAGGCAAACCACCACACAAGAATAAATAATAAGCAACCGATATGGAACTAAAAGAAAACAAACAAACTGCCGAATATTAGGCCCATAAAGTCAAAAGGCACAGGGGAAAGGGACACGAGACCCGGGGAAGAGGGGATAAACAAATGAATAAAAACTAGAGGCAAAGGGAAAGATACTTACCGTAGACGAGAAAACAACAAGAGACACAAAGTGTCACCAAAGCAGTATAAAAGCAACACAGACATACATCCTGAGGAACATCAGAGGGCGCCGTCCTTGGAACGGTTCAGGCAGCATAAATACTGCTGGGGACTTTAAACCGGTTAACTGGTGCACCAAACCTCACTCTTAGCCCACCATGTTCCTATAAACGAGACAGTGTAAATAAATTTAATCCCCACCAAGTGAAATTCTAACAGTTGTCATGGTTACAAAAGGTGAAATTAGTAAAACATCGAAATGCTCATGAAGGAACACACAAAAGAAAACCCAATGACCATAACAAAAGTACCCAATGTCTTAAAAAAAGACAGAGCAACATGAAGAACACCTACAAGTGCCCGACGAAGCAAGACAGAAGACGAACATTAAAGCAATTCAGACCCAAAGGGCTTTAAGAACGGTCTATCATAGAGTCTCCCACTTGGTCCGTCAGATGTAATCAAAAGAGAAAAGCGTAGCGTCCAACTGTAAATGGGTTGAACACTAATCATGTGGTATGTCTTAAAATAGTAGGGTCATAACCCCTTTTCATAAAACGTTTAATAATTTTAGTAAAGACAACAGAAAAATTACAATGACCCAAGATCTTACGAAGTTTGTAAACAACATCCCCGTAAAAATCAGACTGGCTAATCCCTTGTCGCAGAAGAGTTTTTAGATCACTACTGAATTTTGAAATTAAATCAAAGTACAAAACCTTTTCGGGGATCATCAACCGGTTCAACTGGTTCTTGTTACACAGACTTTATACGAAAGTCTATTTAAGGTGCATATCTTTTACTTAAAATTTATGTGGGTTTTAGTTATAGAAATGTTAGTTTTTTAATTGCAATAAAATTTACATTTGAGGAACGTTGTTTATAGGCAATAATTCGTCCGTACTCATTTCAGTAAAGTACAGACTTATCATTATATGTGGGTCGGAAAAGGAGCATAGCTTGTCAATGATTTCATCTCTTGAAAAATATCGGAGGACTCCGTTTATTTTGGATCCTGGGCGTGTTAAAACAAACATACAGAATAAACTTCGAGTTGACATAAAATGTGGGGCTGCATCAGTTGACTTCGACAAGTATGTATTCGAAATTTTTAAAGCTATGTTATTGTTTAACAGACAGATAATATTACGAAATATTACGAAATATTTCGGGAATATCTATTTGATATATGAGAATGTCTGGACAAATTAATTTTCAAACTTTTACTGATGAATAAACGTGTTGCATGCTTTGTAGTTTAAATGAATATAAAAAGCTTTCTTTACTTTTAGTTTCTATAGAATGTATTCGAGTTTGTAAGAAGCTGTTAACTTAAAGGAACAGCTTCAAATGCTTTCCTGGTACCAACCAGTAGAAAGCAATACTTGTGAGTTTTTCTTGCTTTGCGTTACACTTGCCACTGACGGGATTTGAATCAATACGGTCAGCAGTAGACCGATGCCTCAATCGAAACACCTTGACTATAAAAAATAATATCGGACTTAATACGGATTTGAAGTAAGTCTACCACCTGGTTTATGGTGTTAACTTAAACAGAGGATTTAATCGAGGGTTTTTGTTCTGAAGACTGACAGAGGAGTTGTTGTGATTGCATAAAAGCTATGCCGCAACACCTTCTTGTTTTAAAATCTGTACCGAACGTTTATGTATTGTTTAGTTTGTATGGCAACTTATCAATTGAAGTTCAAATTTTATATTTAAAGCCACTCAGATTGAAAACATTGAAAATGTCGTTTCTCTTTATATCTGACTCATAGCATGACCTTATTTTTAAATCATAAATATGTTCATGAAATGATCATTTATATAAGATGTTGACATATTGATTAAAGTGTTTGTTTCCTTTTAAAATAAATTTTAAAACAAAAAAATCAAACATTTAATGTTCGTCTCGTCAATGTTTCGCATTTCGAAAATCGAAAGAATCATTCTGGTTCTATGTCAGTGAGTCATAATCTTTTAGGGATGAAATGTTTCTAGCGTTCTTATAAAGTTCTTTATGGATTTTTTAACCGAACCTTTGCTATTGAGATCGTTCAATGATAACTCTAAAGTGTTGAAAGATAACATTTTAGCGTGCTTTCTCATATCCTTTACACGATACCTTATATTATTTGTAAATTAAGAAGATATATACATTATTTAAATTAAATGTTTAATGAAACAGTTTTTAGCTCACCTGAGCACAATGTGCTCAAGGGTGAGCTTTTGTCATCACTCTGCGTCCGTCGTGCGTCCTTCAAAAAATGGCGTCAAACTTTTCAAAAAACATCTCCTCCTAAACCACAAGGCCAATTGCAACCAAACTTTACAGAAATGATCCTTAGGTGGACCCCTTTCAAAGTTGTTCAAAAATTTTAATTCCATTAAAAACTCTGGTTGCCATGGCAACCAATAGGAAAAACTTAAAAAATATTCTTTTGAAAATTCCTAAGAGCTAGAACTTAGATATTTGGCATGAAACATCTTCTAATGAGTTCCTACCAAGTTTGTTCAAATCAAAGCCCTGGGGTCAAATTTGGCCCCGCCCCAGGGGTTCATTGATTTTCCCTATATGCATATAGTAAAAACTTAAAAAATCTTCTTTTAAAGAACTCAAAGAGCTAGAGCTAAGATTTTTAGCATGAAACATGTTCTAATGAGTGTCTACCAAGTTTGTTCAAATAAAAGCCCTGGGGTCAAAATTGGCCCCGCCCCGGGGGTCATTGATTTTCCTTATATGTGTATAGCAAAAACTTAAAAATCTTCTTTTAAAGAATCTAAAGAGCTAGAGCTAAGATATTAAGCATGAAACATCTTCTAGTGAGTGTATACAAAGTTTGTTCAAATAAAAGCCCTGGGGACAAAATTGGCCTCGCCCCGGGGGTCTTTGATTTTTCCTATATGCATATAGTAAAAACTTAAAAATCTTCTGTTAAAGAACCCAAAGAGCTAGAGCTAAGATATTTAGCATGAAACATCTTCTAATGAGTGTCTACCAAGTTTGTTCAAATAAAAGCCCTAGGGTCAAAATTAGCCCCGCCCCAGGGGGTCATTGATTTTCCCTATATGCACATAGTAAAACTTAAAAAAGTTTCTTTTAAAGAACTCAAAGAGCTAGAGCTAAGATATTTAGCATGAAACATGTTTTAATAGGTGTCTACCAAGTTTGTTCAAATAAAAGCCCTGGGGTCAAAATTGGCCCCGCCCCAGGGGGTCATTGATTTTCCTTATATGTGTGTAGCAAAAACTTAAAAAATCTTCTTTGAAAAACTCAAATAGCTGGAGTATAGATATTAAGCATGAAACATCTTCTAGTGAGTGTCTACAAAGTTTGTTCAAATAAAAGCCCTGGGGTCAAAATTGGCCCCGCCCTGGGGGTCATTGATTTTCCTTATATGTGTATAGCAAAAACTTAAAAATCTTCTTTGAAAAAACCCAAATAGCTAGAGTTTAGATATTAAGCATGAAACATCTTCTAGTGAGTGTCTACCAAGTTTGTTAAAATAAAAGCCCTTGGGTCAAAATTAGCCCCCCCCCAGGGGGTCTTTGATTTTCCCTATATGCATATAGTAAAAACTTAAAAAATCTTCTTTTAAAGAACCCAAAGAGCTAGAGCTAAGATATTTAGCATGAAACATCTTCTAATGAGTGTCTACCAAGTTTTTCAAATAAAAGCCCTAGGGTCAAAATTTGCCCCGCCCCAGGGGGTCATTGATTTTCCCTATATGCGTATAGTAAAAACTTAAAAAAGTTTCTTTTAAAGAATTTTAAGTGTTAGAGCTAAGATATTTAGCATGAAACATGTTCTAATAGGTGTCTACCAAGTTTGTTCAAATAAAAGCCCTGGGGTCAAAATTTGCCCTGCCCAAGTGGTCATTGATTTTCCATATATGTGTATAGCAAAAACTTAAAAACTATTTTTTGAAAAAACTCAAATAGCTGGAGTTTAGATATAAAGCATGAATTATCTTCTAGTGAGTGTCTACAAAGTTTGTTCAAATAAAAGCCTTCGGGTCAAAATTGGCCCCGCCACGGGTTTCATTGATTTTCCTTATATGTGTATAGCAAAAACTTAAAAATCTTCTTTGAAAAAACCCATATAGCTAGAGTTTAGATATTAAGCATGAAACATCTTCTAGTAAGTGTCTACAAAGTTTGTTCAAATAAAAGCCCTGGGGTCAAAATTGGCCCCGCCCCAGGGGGTCATTGATATTCCCTATATGCATACAGTAAAAACTTAAAAAATCTTCTTTTAAAGAACTCAAAGAGCTAGAGCTAAGATATTTAGCATAAAACATGTTCTAATGGGTGTCTACCAAGTTTGCCCAAATAAAAGCCCTGGTGTCAAAATTGGCCCCGCCTCGGGGGTCATTAATTTTCCTTTTATGTGTATAGCAAAAACTTAAAAATCTTCTTTTAAAGAACCCAAAAAGCTAGAGCTAAGATATTTAGCATGAAACATGTTCTAAAGGGTGTCTTCCAAGTTTGTTCAAATAAAAGCTCTGGGGTCAAAATTGGTCCCGCCCCGGGGGGGGGGGGTCATTGATTTTCCTTATATGTGTATAGCAAAAACTTAAAAAGTCTTTTTTGAAAAAAAAACCCAAATAGCTGGAGTTTAGATATAAGGAATGAAACATCTTCTAGTGAGTGTCTACAAAGTTTGTTCAAATAAAAGCCCTGGGGTCAAAACTGGCCCCGCCCTGGGGGTCATTGATTTTCCTTATATGTGTATAGCAAAAACTTAAAAATTCTTCTGTGAAAAAAACCAAATAGCTAGAGTTTAGATATTAAGCATAAAACATCTTCTAGTAAGTGTCTACAAAGTTTCTTCAAATAAAAGCCCTGGGGTCAAAACTTGTCCCGCCCCAGGGGTGTCATTGTTTTGAACTATATGTGTATAGTAAAAACTTAAAAAATCTTCTTTTAAAAAACCCAATGAGCTAGAGCTTAGATGTTTAGCATGAAACATATTCTTATTGGTGTCTACCAAGTTTGTTCAAATAAAAGCCCCTGGATTAAAATTGTCCCTGACGGGGGGAGGGGGAGAGTAGATCATTTTTTTCGTTATATGTGTGTAGTAAAAACTTAACATTGTGAAACATCTTCTAATGGGTGTCTTCCAAGTTTGTTCAACTAAAAGCCCTGGGGTTTAAACTGGCCCCGCTCCGGGTGCCTTTATACAGGTGAGCGACCTCAGGGCCATCATGTCCCTCTTGTTATCTTTTAGCTGAGTCTTCTAGGGTGTATAGTTATATATCTGATCCATTTTATGTATAAGTAAGTAAGTATGTAAATTAGTAAGTAATGACTTTATTTAACGAGACTTACACATTTGTGTTCCCGATCTTCCATGTGGGCCTCAGAGATATTAAGGACTTAATTGTCGAGGAATATCTATAAAATGCATTTTTCACATGCCCTTTTTATCACTGACAAATCTTGTATTTAAAAGAATGTGTGATGTGTTTGTAGCTGAAATATCAAGGTCACCCTAGGGCTTTTAGGCTAATTAGTTTTATAAAAATACATCAACGGTTATATCCAGTCATCAGTTTTGTTATCAATAAATGGATTTTGAAAAAATATTAGGGAAAACTTTCACATTTAAAAGCCAGGTCGACAGTTTAAAAGGTGATGGTTATACAATGTCAAAATACCATATTTATGGTTGTGTCATATTTTGTATTTTCATTCATTCACTCACAGATGCATTTTGTGTCACCTCTACGGAGTAGTGGCGACATATAGGGATCACATCTCCGTCGTCTGTCCGTCTGTCTGTCCGTCCGTCCGTCACAAAACTTGTCCGGACTACTCCTCATAAACTGCTAGTGCAATTCATCAAAATGTAAGGGACCATGTCTAGTTGTGCATCTCATCAATATTTGTCGGTTCATTGATTTTTGTCAGAGTTTTTGCCCTTTCATTATTTTGATTTTGAAATTTGTCCGGACAACCGTGTTATACCACTATTGCAATTTCAATTAAACTTGGATTACAGGATTGATCGATAACTCAAATTCTTTTGCATATTACATAGGATTTTAGGTTTAATGATTTTTGCTAAGTTATGGCTATCATGAGGCGACACTTGTCATCACTGATGGACCTTGTTAAATTATTTGGCTTACTGAGAATTTGAGAATGTTTCAATATTCTTGTAACATACTCTTTATAATAACAATGCCTTTGATGTAAGTCCATTTCATGGTTCCGTTACTGGATCCTGCTTCGGGGTGTGTGTGACAGATCCTGTCTTCAAGTGACATGTGTAGCCTATAGTCAAGTATTTTTCCATTACATTTTAAACTCATTAGTCACAATGACAAAATGTATATTACGATATTGACTGCATGAAGATATGGACAGTATGTTGTTTCTATGTTTGTAATGTATCCCTCAGGCCTACAAATAGCACAGTTAAAGCATATCGCCATTCCTTATTTCCCTAATAAAAATATTCCAAATATTAAAAAAGAAATGTATAACAAAGAGTTTATTATACGAGTACATTATTGAATATATTACTAAATTTATTGAAATCATTCACAGCTGCAAGACACATGTCAGAACCATTTCGTGACTCGTCTCGTCTTATAAGGGTTTAACAGCTTTGAAGTTGTCCTATAGAATTCAGCATTGTACTTTACAATTTATAACAGCTTCATGATAAATTGAAAATATATTTAAAATAGCAATAATTTCAAATTATTTCAAACATTATATTTAACGAGGGTTTGTGTTTTGTAGATCAACTGTTCGACTGGTTCAGTCACAGAGAAGTGGCGTAGGTAAAACACTTTATAAGAAACGCAGAGAAGAAGAATTAAAAAAGCTGAAAAACGTTGATCATTATGAAGGAATAACACTTCCGCTGCACCAAAAGAAAATCGACATTGATAATTTCATCGGGCGTCTTCTAAGATACACAGAGGGACCTGATTTTTCAGAGCCTCGTTTATTTCACATCGATCTCACACATGAGGTAATTCTCAATCTTGATGCATTTCAATATACATGAGCCATGAAAACAAATATATGACTTTAAACAGTTTTTTTACAAGCCCTATCTCTTCCTTTCTCTACCCTTGTGCCCCTCCCGGTGTTTGTTCGGTGATTATCTTATTTGTGTGAGCGGGTTGAATTGTCTCCTTTCCTGGTTCCTCTTTCTTCTCAGTTTAATTTGCCATCAACAATCTTGCGTTAAACAAATGCAAGACATGTCACCGTATCAAAACATAACAATAAGCAAATAAATGCTTTTCTATAAGTTTTGATAATTTTGATTCGAAAATCCGAAAAAAATGTAAAAATACAAAATATAGATGACAACAATCATAAGAAATATTTCAAACACAATCTTGTTTATATAGCAAATGTTTTGGTTATAACTCTTTAGTGGTTAAGTAATACGTTTGTTTTCATAATCGGTTTAGTTTGTTAGGGTACATCGTCTCATTTACTGAGACGAAATTTCTACATAACATGTTTATTTACACTTTTCTTATTGCAATTTGGAAATTATCAAAAGTTCAACGTATAATGTCTGGATGTATATGTAAAACTATTTGCGGCATGTCTTAAATAAATTGTTGGGGAAACAAGCAAGCTCCTTTTAGAACGCATAACTTTTATGTTATCGCGACTAACATGTAAAATTGCATTTCGTACACAGTTCAGAAGCGGTAGATTTTCTTGCTTTTAATGCTTCTGTAGTACTCGGTGGTTCGGTTGGTTTCGATGAAGGTACATTGGAGAAAGTCCAGTGGTGGCGATGCCGGTGTATCTGATGTGAGAACAAGGGTCGAGTGCAATACAAGAAGAAAATGAGCACTATTGAAGGTATTATTTAGAATATGCGTAGTTTAAGGACAGCAGTACAGTAGATTGGGTTTTAAAGCATTGATCAAGCAGAAAACCCTGCCGTCTATGATAGGAGGTGAATACACTTGTTGCTGCGAGTAAGCATGGGTAACGATATGCAAAAAGCACGAGAACGGCACTGAAGAACCCTCGGTCTGCAGGTGTAGGAATTACGTTAAAGTTTGAAGGGCGGATTCGTGCATTGAAAGTAATGCCTGCTACAGAGTACATGGAAGCGCTAGTTGTGCGGTAAAGTACGACAGCAGTTTCGGAGAAATTCGTGCGGGTTGTCCGTACCTGCTAGATGGTTTCGATGAAGTAAGCGTTTATCGCTGATTTGCGATATCATGTGACGGAGTGTAGCACGAAAACTACGCAGGAGCGGCCGTTGGTAAGGCAGTATGGGAGAAAACGTGAAAGCAAAGGCTGCGGCGTGCTAGTATATTCTAATCGTGTGAGTGGCGTTTTTGGTCTTGCTTCGTTTTAAAAATTATGACTGTTGCGTGCGAGAGTGTGTAGACGAAGGAGAGGTGTTAGGACCTTAATGATTCCTGCAAAAACAGCCCTTAGAACATTATCGAAAATAACGTCAAAGCGTATTGCTAATATACGTGCAAGGTCGATACAAATTGTTTATTACGACAGACAGGGTACAGAAACATGGCTCGGCTCGGGCTTACGCGTTTTCCTGCTTTTGCGAAAAAGGTTGATACGTTAACTCTCAATGATTTAATAAACCAGCATGCAACTTGTTACAGGTCTCACAGACATTATACGTATTTAAGACATGTTTTGATTTTAATTCAACCTATAGGGCTCACAAGAGCTTTAGCGGTATTCTGCAAAAAATAGTTCAAGGGAAGTACATAGGAATCATATCATTTTCAATCATAATTCGTTAAAATAGATTTTACCATGGATATATTTTTAAAATTAGATATTCATTTTATAAGAGTAATGTGCATTATAATATTTTATTTAGATTCCGATTCATATTATTTTGCATGTATATTGTAGCACCTAAGCTCTCCACTGGTCATGGATATAGGCAAACACTCACGTTCTTATCTTGTTTTAATACTCTAGATATTTCTTAAATATTTCTTGTCTTCCTGTTTTTTATCAGTACATATTTGTTTCCGCTCACTTCGTTAGCTTATTCTAGTAAGCTTCGATGCTATAAATAAAAAGTACAGAATCATTTTACATAACAACACGAACTGTCGGTAGGACAGCACGCTCGACTATTCTTAGTGCTTGATAGTAAAGGACATTGTATACGCACCGGTCTCTTAAATATCGACCTGTGTAGTACGACGCATTACTCACTCCAAATGAGGGTTAAAATGACTCCGACATAAAGAAGTCCGCATAGGGATGACGATTTTATTTTATAAAACACAATACATCTTTTCAAGTGATTAGAATTGTTTATTGCTTCCAAGGGATAACTGTTTTCCAGATTTTAATACTGATAGTTCGATATTACAATTGATAGTTTGAATGTGTTACTATTTATTCAAATATTCAAAACTACTTTCACTTTCGGTTTTAAACTAAAAATGGACGAACTACTATCACACGTGTTGAACGAAATTGGGTTTGTAAAACCATTTAAGGATGTCAGAGGAATGTGTTTCATGCATGTTTTGAGTAAAATGATGTAATGGCTATTTTACCAACAGGGTATTGAAAAAGTTTTTTTTTCAAGTGGCCTTATTTGCGTTTTGTTCTATCACTTTCGTGTTCAAGCCGCCATGTAAAAAGTAGTGCGTTCCCATCATGCTTCGAGTGGTTTCACACAGGTCAGTAAGACCGGTGTACACAATGAGTAAAGGAACTTTGATAATGTAAAATTTTAAGTTAACAAAAATGCCATTTTTCTTTAAATCCATGTTTAGTGAGAGATGAGACAGTCCTATAATGCTCTCAAAGAAGTGTATAAAATTTAAACTTGTTTCAAAGTCAGATGTCAATGAAATATGAAAATATCTGAGGTGGTATGCAAACTTTAATGTAAATTTTAAGTCAAAAAGGGGCGATTATTCTGTCAAAATGCTTGATAATGTTGACTCCTCTGTGCAAAGTTTCAAAGCCATAAGTCGATGGACTTTGTAAATATTTTAGGTGTTAAAAAAACTTTAACGTAATTTCTAAGTCGAAAATGTGGCATAATTCTGTCAAAATGCATGACAGAGTTACCTCCTTCTTTCTACCGGTTGGGGTTATGATGGTGAACAAATGTGCAAAGTTTCAAAGCCATATGTCAATGGACTTTGAAAACATTTGAGATGTTACAAAAAGTTTAACGTAAATTCTAGGTCGAAAAAGGGGCCTTATTCTGACAACATGCTTGATAGAGTTACCTGCTCCTGTCTACGGGTAAGGGTATGATGAATAAGTGTGCAAAATTCAAAGGCTTATGTCAAAGGACTTCGAAATTATTTAAGGTTTCACAAAAACTTTAATTAAAGTCTAAGTCGAAAAACGGGTATTATTCTGTCAAAATGCTTTATAGAGTGACCTTCGTACTTTCTTCAGGTTGGGGTCATGATAGTGAACGAGGTTGCAAAGATTCAAAGCCATATGTCAATTGACTTTGAACATATTTGAGATGTTACAAAAAGTGGTTACGTCGACGCCGACGCTTGGTTGACTTCAAAAGCTCTATTTATTCTTATCGAATAGTCGAGCTAAAAAGTACTAATGAACCAATAAAAGTGACCATTACAAAACACCAACATATTGTTATGTATTGCCAATTCATGCAGGGTAACATGAACATTTACCTTTAAGTAGTAAACAAACCACATTGTTTGCTCTGCAATATTAGATATCACAACGGTTCAAACTTTTGACTGTCGATTGCATAAGTGTGCTTTTAATGTTTTAAGAACTTTCAGATCAAATTTCAAGCAAAGGATTTAACAATTTTACCCTTTAGAGTTTATGTTGAAAAAATCAATTTATGGTAGTCTTCACAAAGATTTAATGAAATACATAAATAAGAGTTCTCTGCCATGATACATTGCAAAGAAGTTCCACTCGCTATGTATTTCTTTTTCAATTCAGAGTACGTTTACAAACAGCAAGCATCAAATGTTGAACTTCTTACCTTCTGTAGTGTGTCGATCTCCGCAGGAAAGTGTGACAGTGTACCAAGACAAAGAGATAAATGGTAATGTTATAGGTTATGTTAATTCAGCTTAACTTGATTGAAGTACGTTATCATATGTCATGAAATAGAGCCTGTGAGAGCTTTGAAGATTAGAAAGTCAATAACAAATGTCACAGATACAGGGTTGAAAGGGGACTTTAAGAACACGAATGTACTTCTATTTAAAGGCACAATTAAGTCTCAGAAACAAATGCATTTAACGTTTTATATAAAAGGCAAACATGAATTCTATAACGTGTGAAAAAATGTTTTTTGAAAAATGATTATTGTTACCTGTAACCTGACAAAATAGCGGTAAGCGGGAACTATTTTGTCAGAAAGTAGCAAATTGTAAACAAAGTAATATTTTAACTTCTTAACAATGTACTAAAATTCGTTATAACTGTTCTTATTACCAAACGCAGCAGATGAAAATAATGTTTGCGGTTAATAGCCAATGCGTTAAGTCTGAATACAATATAAGTACTTACCAAAATTACAGAAAAGCTTTTTAGAAATAAAAATTAGAGCATTTCTTTAGCATAATTGGCCTGAATTAGAGATGTAATTTACTCAACACCAATATCTTTATTGGTCTCTTACATACAATACTCAAATATATGTGCAACCATAGCTTAGTGGTTTATGTCGTTAACATCAAACCACTTGCTTCTCACAGCTGTTTGTTGAATCTTTTCTTGTGAGGAAGCTATCGTCGTTGGGTCTTCTCGCGTGCCCGTTCTTGCCTCAAATAATGCACCAAGGTGCATATAAGTCTTTTTCAACAATTCAAGCTAAAAATTCACCTTTTGTTCTATACTGAGTGTGTTGGTGTGACGTTAAACCAAAACAAACCAAACCAAACTGAAATATGATTTTTAATGAAGGTTTGCCTATTGTTAAAGTGTTTATTGTTATTACAACTTTTTCGAAAACACATAGTCGAACCTTTTAGCTAATGTTCTGAAAGAAATTAAATATTTTGTTATCAAATGTTTGGTAGTCATACAAAACTTATAAGACATTCACAAAGTAATTACTTAAGTTGTACTTTAAAGGTTATGTAGAAACAGATCAACTTTTTGACGAGGTACTTTACAACAGTGATCTTTATCAGAAACCGTACATGTTTCTCCGTGAACTAAGAGGACAGACTGGAACAAGAACGTCGATTCAAGATTGTTTGGAAATTCTTCTAGGGTATAATTATGTCATTAATATAGAGATGAAGTTATGTTTTTTTTAAAATTAATGCCTGATACCATGAGTCCAAAACTATTGTACAATGAAAATGATACCGATAACATTCTGACAAAAATCATATTGTCTGTACTTATAGTGTAAAACACAGCTTACCTAAGCCAAACTCAACGTTTTGGTAAGAAACAAAATATTATTACTATTATTTCGATTTATAATTTTGAGTTTTGAAACGTTAAAAAGATGGATATATCATGTTGATAATAAGAACTTATTTTAAGTGGAAATAAATGTTTTTGGTCACATTACTATTTTTGAGCCATCTGACACTGCATAAGAAAACGTTGCTTATTTCAAGAACAGATAAGTCCACGTTAATGTAAGCAACTCCTTATTATACTCTCAAGTACAGTTACTTGTTAAGTGTAGGAGGTGCAACTAATTAACCGCTGAAAATTAAAAAAAATAACTTGGCGCAACTGATCACCATCATAAGATGACGTGCAGAGCGCAATAATTTGGTTGCTACCCCCAAGGTCAAGGTGTTAAAAGGTCTATATTTCATTTCCGCTCCATAACTTTTTAACCGCTGAAATTAAAAAAAAATACTTGGCACAATAGATCACCATTATGAAAACATGTGCAGAGAGCAATAATTAGTGGCTACCCCCAAGGTCAAGATCACGCTTAAAGGCTAAATGTATAAAATCTTCATTGCATGTCCCCTCCATTACTTTTGAAATATGATTTTTTTAGCTCAAGTAAGCTAGCTCTAGCGGTAACATTTTTGCCTCAATCGTCATTAAACTTGGTCAGGATGTTTATCTAGTTGATAGCTCGGATGAGTTCGAATATGGGTCATCTCGGATGAAAAACTTGGTCACAGGAGCTAAAAATAGAAAAAAATCTTGTTAACACTCTAGTGGCTACTGTTTTGATAAATTGGTCTGAAAGTTTGTTTTGAAAATTTCTAGGTCATGTTCAAACACGGGTCACATCGGGTCAAAAACAAGGTCACACTGCCAAATATAGAAATTCTTGTTAATATTCTAGTGGTTACATTTTTGACTCAATTACAATCAAACTTGGTCAGGATGCTTGTCTAGGTCATTTCAAGGATGATTTCGAACATAGGTCATCTCGGATGAAAAATAAGGTCACCGGAGCTAAAAATAGCAAAAAACATGTTAACACTCTAGCGGTCACATTTTTGCTGCAATCATCATCAAACTTGGTCAAAATACTTGTCTAGGTGATTGCTCTGATGAGTTCGAACAGGAGTGATCTCGGATTAAAAACTAAGTCATAGGAGCTTAAAATAGAATAACTTGTTAAGACTCTAGTGGTCCCATTTTTGACTCAATTATTAAATTTGGCCAGGATGCTTGTATAGGTAATTGTTCAGATGATTTCGAACATGGGTCATCTCGGATGAAAAACTAGGTCACAGGACTAAAAATAGAAAATTTTTGTTAACACGCTAATTGTCACATTTTTGCCTCAATTGTCATCAAACTTTGTCAGGATGCTTGTCTAGGTAATTGCCTCGGATGAGATCGAACATGGGTAATCTCGGATGAAAAACTAGGTCACAGGAGCTAAAAATAGAAAAATCTTGTTAACACTCTAGTGGCTTCTGTTTTGATAAAATATCCTGTAAATTGGTCTGAAAGTTTGTTTTAATGATTTCTAGGTCATGTTCGAACATGGGTCACATTGGGTCAACAACAAGGTCACACTGCCAAAATATGGAAAATCTTGTAAACATTCTAGTTGTCACATTTTTGACTCAATTATCATCAAACTCAGTCAGGATGCTTGTCTAGGTCATTTCTAGGATGCGTTTGAAAATGGGTCATCTCGGATGAAAAACAAGGTCACCGGAGCTAAAAATAGAAAAATCTTATTAACATTGTAGTGGCTTACGGTTTGATTCAAATACCCTGTAAATTGGTCTGAAAGTTTAATTTGATGATTTCTACGTCAAGTCGAACATTGGTCACATCAGATGAAAAACTAGGTCACACAGCCAAAATATGGGAAAACCTTGTTAAAACTCTAGTGGTCACAATTTTGACTCAGTTATCCTTAAACTTGGTCAGGAAAGCTTGTCTAGGTAATTGCTCGGATAAGTTCTAACATGGGTCATCTCGCATTAAAAAACTAGGTCACCGGAGCTGAAAATAGAAAAAATTGTGTTAACACTCTAGTGGCTACTGTTTTGATTCAAGTATCCTGGAAACTGGTCTGAAAGTTTGTTTTGATGAGTTCTAGGTTAAGTTCGAATATGGGTGACCTGGGGTAAAACAATAGGTCACACTGCTCAAATATGAATAATCCTTGTAAACACTCTAGTGGTCACATTTTTGACTCACCTGTCACGAAACATGGACAGAGTGCTTGTCTATGTAATTGTTCGGATGAGTTCGATGGGTCAGGTGAGCGATCTAGGGCCATCATGGCTCTCTTGTTTTAAATAGCGTGGCACAAGTGATAACTATTATGAGATGCTGTGCAGAGCGCAATAATTGAATTACTTTTCAAATGGTCAAGGTCACACTTACAAGTCAAATGTTAGAAATTTTACATTTGTGTCTGTCTTTAACATTTAAACAACTGCAAAGTTTTTAAGATAACTTGGCAGCAAAAATCACTTTATGACACCATTGGCAGAGCACAATAATCAAGTCAAAACCCTGAAGGTCAGGGTCACACTCAAAGGTTCAATATAAAAAACATCTATTTTTCATGTCTGCTGTATAACTAATTGACAATTCAAAGGTTTTAAAATTTCTCGGCACAAATGATCCCCACCAGGACACAATTTGCAGAGCTCAACATTCAGGTTGCTACACCAAAGGTCATGGTTATATGCTCTCAATAACTTTTTGACTTTATTGAAGCTTTTAAATAACTTGGCACAAATTTCCATCATCGTGAGATTATATGCTTTTGATATGCATGACACAACATCAAGGTCATGGTTGGTAAAAGGTTAAGAAGTACACATTCATGTTCACTGCGGAAGGGAGTTTAGCTGTCCTATAGGCTGCCTTGTTTTAACAATTAATGGGTTCCTACCATTTTAGCTCCATTTATTAAATGAAGTGGAGCTTTTGTCATCGGAGTCGGCATTGGCATATGTGAAACTTTCAGTAGATCCATTTTCTCTAAAACTTTAAAATCTTTTCATCTCAAACTTGGTATACATGTGTTATGAAATAACGATGATTCAAAACCGCAGATAATCTTAAAATTTTTTTTTTCAAAGTAATGCCCTTTTCTTTATTTCATTTTTTAGCCCTTGTTAATCTTTTTGCTGTTAAGTTTCGTTTCTCAGTAACTATTTAAGTAATTCACTTCGATCTTGATATACATCTTCATTAACAAAACATAACACCATGTCAGAAAGAAAATTAATCCTACCATTCATTTATAATGTTACAATTATGCCCCATTTTGACATATTAAGCTTCAAACTTGGAATACCTTTTTCAGTTTTAAATAAATTGGAATCAATATCAAAGGGCAGGTAACATTTTGATTTTTTTTCAGAGTTATTCCCGTTTTGGCTTAAATCTTCTTTTTTACTTTTATGTTATGTTATTATGCGACGCACGATAAGACATAGTCGATGAGAGGGGTTTATGAGTATTGTATAAATAAGAACCTAATCTTTTGCATGTAATGTCCAGCGACATATTCTTTCGATATAAAAAACAACAACAACAACAAAATAACAAAACACAACACAAATACGATAAAACGCTTTGCTTGGGGCGTGATGGATGTTGCCTTTATTCATTATTCCTCATGTACAGACTCAATCACTTTGTTTCCAGATTTTTAAGATTATAAGTGAAACAATGTATGTATATCACTATCATGAATCCACTACTTCCGCTAGTGAGTAAGATATATAGAAATGTTAACGGTAAGGAACTATGGACCTGTCCTGTGTTTACAGTTTTATGTATATTGGCTAACTTGTTATCCAATTGCTACACTGAGATAATACATAGTCATTGGTTCACCTGGTTTGCACAAAAGAACACGTGCTTATGTTTGTGATACTGTTTGTGAGCAGTTGACCTAGCAATGAATGAAAAAGGTGTGGCTAAATGTTCCGCTACGAAAAACCGGAAAGGTCCAATATGGACCTTTCCGGTGTTTACAGTTTAATGTAAATTGGCTTACTTGTTATCCAATCGCTACACTGAGATAATACATAGTCACTGGTTGACCTGGTTTGCACAAAAGAACACATGCTTATGTTTGTGATACTGTTTGTGAGCAGTTGACCTAGCGATGAATGGAAAGGTGTGGCTAAATGTTCCGCTACGAAAAACAGGAAAGGTCCATTCCGAAAGAAGCGAGATTGGGTATCTCTGAAGTAGAAGATTAACCTTCTTAGTGATTTTAAGCGATGAAAAAATACATAAATACAGATGCAAAGAGTGCACAAATAGTAATGAAAATCTTCATTGTTTTGATATGTATCTTCATGTATCAAAAGTAATCTGTTATCATGATAGCAAAATTGACAGTACAGTATTTCGACTTTGAAACAGTTATAATAATTATTTACAGTCAATTGTCCAGAAACTTCATTCATTAAACACATTATCAGGGAATACATGTAATTGGGAAATTTTGTCACCTGTCATTGTGAGAGGTCTATACAACAAGAATTGAGAACATGTCTGATCCTGTTAGCCTGATATTGATTTATGTTTTATGAATTCAAGAAAAGGAAGCCTTCACACATTAAGATTTGCTTTTACATCTAAGTTTTAACTTGTGTTGTTATTCAAAATCCCACAGTCTATTGAGGCCTCACCTGTCATCGCGGTAGGTCTCTACAAAAATAATTGAGAATATGTCTGTCCAGTAAGTCTAGTATTGATTTATGAAGTCAAGAAAAGTAGCCTTCACACATTTAGATTTGCTTTTACATCTAAGTTTTAACTGGTGTTGTAATTTAAAATCCTACAGTCTACTGAGGCCTCAACGGAGTTAATATGTACCATTTAGAAATATGCCAAAAGTTCATCTTAAAGCAATGAAGAAGAGTTAAGTATAAAACATTGTATGCCCCTTGAAAATGTCATCTGCAGATTAGACAAATCCTTGTCTTATACAACAGGGGCAATTGATGACTTTTGAACTTATCACTATGCGCACTATAGACATGTTTTCAAATTAAAATAAAATAAGATAAACAACTCTTAGAAACATTCATGTCAGTGGTTTGTGATTAAAAAATGAGAAACATTCCAAATCGATCTAAACAACAGGATTTATCTGATAATATATCTGTAAACAGTTCAGAAGATCCTTTAAGTTAGCAATTTATTTTCATTATATATAATTTCTATCAACTGGCCCCATATTTGAATACTCAAGAGGCATCATATATGCATTTAAACAGTGTAACACCTATATAGGCATTCTAAGTTTTAGTTGAAAAAGAACCAAATCAAAGACACTTACTTTTTTTAACAAATTACATCTGCGCAACAAACATATTGCTGATATCAATTCAGTGAAGTATATCCTACCTTAAGGCTAATTGTAAACATAAGTTGTAATTATTTTCTTCTTCATGTTCTTTAATGTACAGTAATCAATTACTTATTAAAAGTTAAGTACACAAGAACTTCAATCAAACTAGAAATCATCTAATATATCGTTAAAATTAAACAACGGATCACTATCAGCATGCTGTTCAACTTTTGCTAAATATGGTACAATCTATAGGATAAGAATGAATTTTAAAAGCATTTTTCTTAAATAAAGACATCCTTCATTGGATAAAACTTTCTATTTTAAGGTTGATATTTTGATATTGATATATAAACAATAATTATCCAAGTGCTGTGTTATATTATGGCTATTTTGAAATTTCTAGATAAAGGCTCAAGTACATGTTCACTTTTTCGGATAACCTACATTATTTCTTAAAATACTTACAAAAACTCATATTGTCAACAACAGGACAGCCTTTTACTATTCGATTATTTATTTTATTCCTGCCATCATAATTACAAAACGACAAAGGAAAACTTACTTGTACTGGTTTTCTAAATAAATCTAATATTTTATTATTTTTCACTCGTAACCAATGAAACAAGAAACTTGATAAAATATTTTAATTTTATATTTTAATGATTACTATATTTGGAAAGAGTCTAACAACATTTTAACATTGATTTCCACTAAAATAGTTAAGTAATGTCCAAATGCATTAACATGCAGAAGACGGCGGCCATCTGGGACGTCATCGTGGATAGAAATTTTGTGACACAAGCAAAAGAAATGTTGTGACACAAGCAACGTTTCTAATGTTTAATTTGATATATTAAATCCCATTTTCACTGATATAGACCGGTAAGATTCACAAAGCCAGACAAAGTTTGCAGCATTAATGAGCACAATGGCTATTTACATTAAAAAGCCTCCTGTTGCAAGTTCAAATTGCTATAGAAAATACTTCAATACTGATAAAATTCGCCACAAATAATAACTGGACCATAGCCTTTGTAACAGTATACTCAATTTTAAATTTCCTGTTAAAATGGCAACGATGAGACGTTTCAAAATTGCCATAAACCACTATTAAGCGTTGATTTGTTCCATCAAAAACTGATTTCAAAGTGCTACAACTTCTCAATGGATTAAGAATCCGAAATCTTCTTGGCGATGACGGGAGGCTGCTGCCCCCTTCAATTGTCCTAAGCAGAAGGGGACAATTCCCACCCTTTTTCCCTCCTGATGTATCTTTTTGATAGGGGACGGCGCCGAAAAACTGATCACTTTTTTACAACACCTCTCAAACGAGAACACGTGTTTTGGGGTTCTAAAAAGAGGATTTGTTTCACTTTTCGATGTCCCTAATTTTGAAGGGGGGGGGGGTGAAAAGGCGTAAAAGGGGGTCTATATGAAGTTATTGTTTTAATGACCTTGACCATCAAAGTCAAATTATTTTATTATGGTTAAACTGTCATAATTTAGTTATTTATGTACAGTATAAACTTGGACAAATCAAGACTTAACACAAAAGAAACATATCGAGAAATTTAGACTTTACCTTGACCTTAAATCGACCTTGCATGTCAATGTAAAATTAATGAAATTCTGTTGTTTATTTTTCTGTAACTTTGAAATATATAAATGGAATAACTTCATTATTAAGACATAATATCTTTAACGTCAGGGCTTTCATGTATATCAAACTCAAGTTTACCTTGACACTTGTATGACCTTGACATTGAAGGTGTAGAATATTCGTAAAGTTCACGTTACAATCAATAAGATCACTATTCATACACAATTTATGATAAGAGATATGACTTTGATGTTGGAATAGTAAATTGTCCATATTCCCTTACATAAATTTTGCAGTGGCAAATTTTTATATATTATTTTATATTTTATATATTATTATATTTTATATTTATATTTATATATTATATATTAAAATGACTAGAACAGGACAGCAGAATCCAAATTCAAGGGCTGATAATTGAAAAAGAAAGGTGACACTGATTTCTTGTCGCTGAAAATGTGTGTCATTGAATTAGAATATCAAGGAAAGTTTACATTTAATTATACAGTACAGTATCATTTGTTCTATATGTCTTATTTGTTAAAGGAAAAAAGGATGAAAGGTCAAGATTAGCGACATAATTAACACTTTGCCTTTTTACACTTTACTTTCATAGAACATGCCGTGTGAATGATCCTTCTTGGTCAGAGTTGTACCACTTTGTCTCATTCTTGCATACACAAATAATCGACTTTGACAAAAATTACTTTGTAAGTCAAGCAGCTGCAAGAGATTTTCCCGGATTTAGAACGTTTGTCAGAAAGTGTCTTTTACAAATGTCGAAGGTAAGTAAGTCATTTAAGTTCTTCTCTTTAAAGGTTGAAATAATGCTCCAGTACAAAATTTTGTGTTGGAACACAAATTTGTTTTCACAAAATAGATAGGTACACGGCGTATCTAACAAGTCTTCGCACTTATTAAATATATTGTTTGAAAAGAAATATGTCTGCTCAGAGATATGCCTTTTAATTAAGAAATACAATAGGTACCAACATTTGTCCGGATTATTGGCTTCACGATACTAAAATCCAATTAAAAATGTATTTCTGTAGTAAAAATTTTCGACATTCTTATTTTCTAAACCACATTTTAAGTCTTAAAGGCATTCTTTGTCTAATTATTTTTCTACAGTTTTGCCATTCTTTCATAAATTTACATTGTAGCGTGTTGTTTTTTTGAAAAACAAATTAAATCTAACCATAAATAGACACATTTATGAATATTTTATTAAAATGCAACCGATTTTTCTCGTCTGTTGATAATCTGGATAAAGTGTCACCCCTGTGTAGCAGTTTATTCTTGTATTAAAAGCCAGTTTTATTTAAACTGAGAAATCATCAGGCATGAAGAAAATAAAATATCGCGGGCATAAATCGTTGTAGCATTTATCTAAAATGAATATTATTGCGTGATTCATGTTAAATATTTTATGACCCAGACGACCCCATTAATTTCATTTACAAAACATAATTGTCCAAAGCCGGACTTGCTATGCTGCCAATGCATGACAGAACCAAAGTTTGATCACGATAAACAAATAACGAAACGTTGAAACTGAAGAAGCATACCTTTATGCAAGAATATGGTTTGTGCACATTTTTATTGCAACCATACCTGAAAAAGCCAAAAACATGTTTTACTGCGTAACTACAGGTTAACGTGTACATTAGAATGTTAATTTTGATATTTTGAGAATAACTTCCCGCTCCAGTGCGTAAGTATCTTATAATTTTATAACATCTAACTGTTTTGAACGATTCAATGTCAAATATAAGTACTTTTTCAAATTTGTATGAAAACTCAGATAATTATTAGGTCTGTTGTGACAAGATAAGTATATTAAATTCCATACATCGATCTTTGATCTTATACAGTTAGTCAAAATATAAATAGTTTTTTTTATAATGGTATTGTTCTAAAATACTCCTGTATAATGTGCTTTTACGAAAGTCAATCCATTCAACGTGTATAATATGTTTACTCCGTACAACATTTCAAAGATGTTTGTAATAAACTGTTAATACAGAGTCCTGTGTAAATCTATTTATTTAAACGTTTGATAAAAAACAACCATTTATCAGCGGTGATTAACACAAGTTTGGATCAGAGAATCCTTGATGCCTTAGATCTTTTTTACAATTGCTGCTGGTACAGGAGACAGATTGCAATATATTGCGCTCGTTGCTAAAATCTTGTCTTATTGTCGTTACTCTAAGCTTACCAGTTCTTGGACGTTGTGAATGCCAGGATAAGATATCTCTAAGAATGTCAATATGATTATCAAACTTTTGACAACTTCTGAATTAATGCCAGATATACAGCTATCCAGGGCTGCGTTTCATGGAGAGTCCTAAGTTTGTCATAAGATAAAAATTGTGAGTTTAAAGAGTTGTTTACATGACGTCACAATGTAGCGCCAAATATTGCGTGCAAAACAAGACGCATCTATAAATAATAGTATTACTGCGCGCTGTACAATTGCATTTGCGTAGCAAGCAAGGGGGTTAGTAACTATTATTTTTACTATGAAATTAAATAAAACGGTTATTTTATCGTTTTTCGTGAAATATTGTGTATATTTTCACTCAACATGATAAGAGGGCAATACATTGCTTTTAATACTTGCTATAATCAATTACATAGTGAATCCAATCCGGGATTATGCGAGTGCCATTGTATTTTGTAACTCTTTTCAGGAGTGCGAATTGGTCATAAGTCTTAAGTTTAAGACAAAAGATAGGACAGTTACTTGAAACGGTCTTAAGTGCAAAAACTTTTTCTCCTAAAGTTGGTCATAAGTCCTAGGATTTAGGATTTACTTAGGACACTCCATGAAACGCAGCCCAGATATCTTTGTAGCTCCATAATCTTAAAAGACATGTACGTGCAAAGAGACTCAACAGTTGAAGATAGCAGGATTAACATTACTTCAGAAATAAAGATACCGCACAAAGATAACGTGACAGTTCAAAGATTTTAACATAATCACATTTTCACTGTGTCAGTGGTGTTTAGTTATGTTTACAATCGACTAGTTAAAATTTCACACCTAGTCAAAGGCGAACGGCTTTTTTGAGCACCTTTTCCATCACGCTATATTTATTTCATTACTTTAACAACTTTACATATATTGGCTTGAAATTGATAGCAATGAAAGGAGAAAACAAATATGTATGACAATAATTGTGAAAACACATTTACTTATAAAATGCGTGCGTTTAGAAAATTCTTAAGTATATAACAGTAACAATTGTTCTGGACATTTGTAATAATAATCGTAGCATGGTATGTAAATGGAAAGATACTCGGAACATGTCATTGATACTATTTGGATATCACATAGCAAATAATGAAACTGTCTTTTAAAGCCTTTTGAGTATGATCATTGATAAAAAGTACCGATGTAGAGAAATGAGCAAAATTAAAATTTATCCTCCAAATCATGACGAGGAAACGGGCTTTCAAAGCATCAAACTACTTGACATAATTATTGACATAACATGTTTTCTGTGATAGGATTTTTCAAGCCGGTCGTTGAATATGAGCGAGGAATCAGATGTATTGAGTAGAGAAAATGATGAGATAGACGAACTAGAAGAATACCAAATGAAAAGGACTTGGGAAAGCAGGTACTTGCCTGGGCACGCTAGATTTCCCTAATAAATATATAGTAAAAAACTTTATACCTGAACCGACAGAGACTAGAGCTATGGTGTTTGGTCCCACTCACGTTCTGTTTGTACGTTTATTAAAGGATCAACTGAAAAAGTCTTATCCTCTGAAATGACAAACCTAGCGGTTAAATATTTGGCATGCAAAATTGTGTAGAGGACTTCTAGCACGTTTGTCCAAATTATAGCCCGAGGGCAAAAATTGGCCCTGTCCCCCGAGAATTTCTTAACATGTAGATACTAAAACTTTAAAGGTCTCCTTTGAAATGTCCAATACAAGAAAAAAGATATTTAACACAAAGTTTTTTATAGTTGAAGTTCGCAATGTTTGTTCAAATATAGCTTTGGGGTAAAAATGGCTGCATCATAGGGGTCATTAATTTTACTTTTATACATATTTTAGTTACAACTTAAAAATCTTTTCTGTTGAATTGACAACGGTAAGAAGTTATATATTGATATGAAACATTGTATAAAAGACATCCGCAAAGTTTTATTTTTCAAATTATAGACTTTGGGTCAAAATATTTTGTACAAATAGTAAAATCGTATAGAAAAACTATCCAATAAGAGTATGAAGTTCAAATGCCATATTAAAGTGTACATATGCAGATTGTATAAGATAATAATTATTAATTGTAGTTGTTTTTAACAAGTTTTTCTTTTTGATTAATTTTCACATATGACTATGTTATCCCATTTCAGTCCTCATCCATATCTGTTTTTCAATGCTGATCACAATACCTTTACATTCATTGGATTCAATATAGAAGCGAAAACAAAAAAACTTGTTGACATACAATCCGGAGAGGTACTAGAGGAGAAGGCAATGGACGATGTTCTCTACAGACAGCTTAAAGAAAATGGTGTTCCTATTCAAGAAAATTTTGATAAACTTTCAAGGTAGGCTGTGCTCAACTATTTTTTGGACGTATACACTCTGCGTAGTTTGTTGATTGTATAAAGTTCAAATTTTAAAATCTTAAAGTTATTTAGTGTGTTATATAAATTACTTATGTCATTTCTTTATTCTTTTCCTTTTGGTGAAATCATAAAAAAAGTATTACGTTTTATAGGAATGAAAAGATTGCTCGTCTTTGTATGGTTATGGGAATCAACCCCCCGACACCAGATAATGACCCGGACATCACCTATGAACTGACAACTGATAATGTCAAGAAGATGATGGCAATATATATGCGATTCAGGTACCTCTTATTTATATATTTCATAAGATAAAAATACAACAATAATTAAATAATCGTTTTGTAACAGAAAATATATTTAGTGAACAAATACTGTATATATATGTAATCAATTAGATCTACATCTAGATAACAAGCATATTTTTATCTATAAATTTATATGAAGGCTACATTTTTGTGCGAAAAAAAGTTTTTACGCTTTTATCCAGTAAAAAGTAAAAAAGAATAATCACCAAATATCCAATGTTTTTCAATACTCGAAACTCGTTTGAAGTCGAATCATTCTCATGAATGTAAAAACATATACATCGATCAGAAATATGGAGATTTTTATTTATTGAGTCTACAAAACAACAATAAAATAAAACAACTGTGATGCTACTATATATAGATTATTATATTGATATGAAAGAGTGAAATATAACAATTTCTGAACATTTTTTTTCATATCGATATAAATTTATAGTCTTCCTAAAAACCAAAAAGCAATTATTATGCCATCTGCGATGCGCTGGCATATAGCAATTCACCTGTGTGTGTGTGTGTGTTGGGTGTGTGTGTGTTGGTGTGCGTGTGCGTGTTGGTGTGTTTCTATGTGTGTGTGTATAGTTGTGTGTTATATAGATTACATAGTGAACTTAAAAAACCTTCTTGTAAAAAACCACTTGTCTAATTGCAACCAAAGTTGGCAGGATTGATCCTTGGGTCAAGGGCTTCTAAAGTTGTTCAAAGAAATTCATTCCATGCAGAAATCTGGTTGCCATGGCAACCAAAAGGAATTATATGAATAAATTAAAAAAAAATCTTGTATAGACACACAAGACCGGGGGTCATTGATTTTCACTATATGTACATGTAGTTAAAACTAAATACCTTCTTGTCTGAAGGTACAAGGCTTAGAGCCTGATATTTGGTATATGATTTCATCTGTAGGTACTTTACCAAAGTTGTTCAAAGTTTGCCTCTAGCGTCAAAAGTTTTCCTTTCATGTATATAGTAAAAACTTAGAAAACATCTTCACTAAATTGACAAAGGCTAGAGGTTAAATATTTTGCATGAAATATTGTGTAGTGAACTTCTATTAAGATTGTACAAATTATTGCCCTGGGATCGAAATTGGCTCTGCCCCGGGGTCATTGATTTTCACTATAAACATAGTAAAAAAAATCTTATTGTCTGAAGGTACAAGACTAAGAGCTTTGATATTTGGTATATGATATCATATATAGGTACTTTGCCAAAGTTGTTCAAATTTTGCCTCTAGTGTCATAATTAGCCCCGCCCCGGCGTCATAGGTTTTTCTTATATGTATATAGTAAAAACTTCAAAAAATCATCTTCTCTAAATTGACAAAGGCTAGAGATTAGATATTTTGCATGAAACATTGTGTAGTGAACCTCTTGCATGATTGTACAAATTATAGCCCTGCGGTCAAAATAAGCCCGCCCCGGGGGTCATTGATTTTCAGTCACTTATAATGTACGTATAATAAAAAATTAAAATCTTTTTTGCCTGAAGTACAAGGCTTAGAACTTTAATATTTCGTATATAATATAATCTATGAGTCCTCTACCAAAGTTTTTCAATAATGCCTCTAGTGTTAAAATTGCCCTGCCCCAGAGGCGATAGTTCTCCTTATATGTATATAGTAAATACTTGAAAAATCTTCATCTCTGAATTGACAAAGGCTAGAGGTTAGATATTCGGCATGAGACTTTGCGTAGTGAACTTCTACCAAGATTGTTAAATTATAGCCCTGTGGTCAAAATTGGCCCCTCCCCAGGGGTCATTGATTTACACTATGTAAATATAGTAAAACATTAAAAAATCTTATCGTCTGAAGGCTTAGAGCTTTGATGTTTGCTTTATAATATCATCCATAGGTCCTCTACCAAAGTTGTTCAAATTTTGCCCCTGGTGTCAAAATTGGCCCTGCCAGGGGCATTGATTTTTATTTTTACACGTGGTAAAAACAGAAACTTAAACATTTTTTTTAATTGGAGAAAGCTACAGCTTAGATATTTGAAATGAAATATCAAGATTGTTTGAATTAAACCCTTGGGTCAAAATTTTGCCTTGCCAAAGGGGACAGTGACCTTCTTTCTTGTTCTTTGATGTACAGCCATAAAATTTGGACTTTTTTAATTGGCTGGTTAAAACGTGTCAGGCATCGTTTAAATTATACGATGTTTACATCAGCGAATTGCAGGGACAGTGTGTCCAATGGAGGTGCATATCATGTCACATAAATGTGTTATTTGCAAACAATTATCGACAGTAACTGTGCTATATTATAGTAATGCCCAGAGGCAAGGATTAAATTTATTGACAAGCGCTGTGTGACACGTAAGGATATGTACATGCTGTAAGTAAAACTGTTCGGCTATTAAATTTAAGATTACTCTGCATTTGGTGACCGACTTTTTTTTACAAGAAAATGAAAATCCACGATTTTAAGAACCCACGAAAATGCCCGATTTGATAAAACCACGAAATTTCATGCCCTCGGATATAAGTGAATTCGCAGTATGTATGTGCACATTTTTATTTGTACAATTGAACTTTAATATCAGGTGACCTAGATTGTGATGATGTGACCTACTTTTTGTCCTTTAATGTGCAGCTATGAAATTTGAACCATGTGCACAGATTAAGATGTAAAGTGAACTTTGATATCAGCTGGCCTAGATTTTGACAAAGTGTCTTACTATGTTGCTCTTTGATGTACAGTCATGGAATTTTGGCTATATGAAATATGACCTCCACCACCAAATTCGGAAGACTCAACTGCATTGATGAATTCCTACTCTGATATTTTACTTGAATAACAATAGATTTAACCACTAATCTAATAAATACAATTAGATAGGTCAGTGATCTATGCATTATGGCAATCTTCATTTGTATAGAAACAAAAAAAATATGTTCCTACATTTCTATTTAGTGTTGTATTAATGCGATGGCATAGCATTTTTCACAAATGCAATCTTGTTCCTTTTAAAAACATTGTTATTGCAACTGAACAGAAAAATGAATATTATATTTTTGTTTATACTTCTTCTTGTGGTGTAGATGCAACATACCTGTAATAATAATGGGTGAAACAGGATGTGGAAAAACAAGGCTCGTGAGATTTTTGTGTGAACTAATGACGTGCGATTTAAACAAAAGGACGTGTAAAAAGACACTAAACATGATCATAGTTAAGGTATGAACGACTTGAATTTGATAATAATATAATTATATATTACCTTATTTATAACTTTTAAGCTTAATAAGTATCCATTCCTTTGGAATCGTACATGAAAAGTACGGTAATACAAAGTTTGGTAATACAAAATAAACAGACTATATCAGGTGTTAAGTTGCATCTCAATATGTTTGATTCTGTATTTATTTAGATTCATGGTGGAACTACAAACAAAGACATCATTTCAAATGTTGAAAAGGCAAATGAAGAAGCACAGAAAAATGTAGACGTATTTGGAGACAATTTATACACTGTGTTATTTTTTGACGAGGCCAATACCACAGAATCAATTGGACTTCTGAAAGAAATTATGTGCGACAAAACGATGGAAGGATTACCATTGAAATTGTGCAAAAATCTTAAACTGGTAGCCGCGTGTAACCCATACAGACGGTAAATAATCTTAAAGTCATACTTTCAGTTTAATGTGGATAGCAATAGTCATTAATTGTTAAATAGTTGAATATTGCAACTAAAATCTCTGTTATCAACGTTTCCAAGAAATTTTATTGCCGAAGCCTTTTATATTTTCAGGATATATAAATGATATAAAAAAGTACTCGAAGTGTCAATACTTGTTTGAATTTTGTTGCAATTAAATGGATAAGTGATTATCATTTGTCGATTGATACATAAAAAACTTTTGCTTAAAATAAATCCAATTTGTCCATTTATGCTTAATTAATAAATCTGCAGAATGTTAAATTTATTATGAATAAACAAACGTAAATTAAAGACACATAATATTGTGAGCAAAGTAATTTATTTAATAAACAATTGTGTACCTTCGATCAAAAACATTGATATATAGGCTGCGGAAGGTATTGTTTTAATTATTGAGTTTCGGATACAAGAAAAAAAATAGATCTTGAAGATTTATCATATTGTTGGTCGCATGAAAATCATTATAACTTTTGATCTTATCTATATCAAAAGACATCCGAAACATCTAATAGAAAAACTAGAGAAAGCCGGTCTAGGATATCATGTTCGTGCAAATGAAACTAATGACAGATTGGGTCGAATCCCACTCAGACGCCTAGTGTACAGAGTACAACCGCTTCCACAGAGCCTGCTACCTTTTGTATGGGATTTCGGGCAACTCACAATTGAAGTCGAAGAATTATACATCCGCCAGATGGTTAAGCGATATGTTAGTACAATCTACCTCTTTGTTGTTGTTTTAGAATCTAAGTATGTTAGTTATATAAATACGAGTAATTCATAACACAAAAGCAATACATTGAACAGATGTAAAAAAATATCAAAATACAGATTATGAAAAAAATAATACCTTTATGCAGACCATGCGGTGTTTCAGCAAGACAATTTTTGAATTTTTCTGATGAAGCCCTTATGTAATTAAATAATGACCTTTATAAAGTTTAAAAAAGATACTAAAGGAAATTGCAAAAAGATAGCATTGGCTAAAGTTAAATGAGTGAAATGAGTTTTGTTTAAAATTTTAGGTAGAAAACCACATTCCTCAGAGTGAAGACTGTATAGATGTGATAAGTTCTGTTCTTACACAGTCACAAAAGTATATGCGAACATTAAAGGTAAAAGTTATGATCAAATATATTTTAAATACGTTTATAGTTTTTTCCGGTGTCTATAACTTGATAATAATTATTATATTGTTTTTATTGTCAAAGATAACCAGCAGATTGTATCAAACTTCCAGGCATGGTTAAAAAGTTCTCGACCCAATATATATACTTCTAGCCACTACAATGACATTTACACACAATATGTCGATACCGATATCTTATGGAAGATTACTGACCGAGTTACACGCGGTTTTACACAGATAAAGTAACATAAAACACACTTTGATCAGTAGAGGGGTGTGTCATTTAGACCTAATGGAGAAAGTTGAAATCAGAACCGTCATTAAGTACTTCTGTAAGAAAGGGATTCCATAAGAACTTCATGGATACACTTGGGAAGGCACCCCCTTCCTATAGCACTGTGAATAAATGGGCTGTTGAAATTAAATTAAGAGGGGCAGGGAGAGCATTGAAGATAATGAGCGGCCAGGACGGCCAAAAGAGGCTACAACCTGCCGAAGCTGTGCACAATTTGGTCATGTGCGATAGAAGGCGAGACCTGCGAAGCATTATTAGGATAGTGGGTAAAAGCTTGGATTCAATTCATGCAATTTTGACTGATGTCTATTGCATGTCAAAGGTTTCTACTAGATGGATCCCCAGACAGTTGACTGACGACCAGAAACGGACCAGGTTTGACATTTCAAGATATCTTTTGTCTCGCTATGAGGATGTACCTGATTTCATCTACAGGATTGTAACTCAGAATGAAACATGGGTCCATCACTTCGATCCAGAATCCAAATAACAGAACATGCAGTTGAAGCACCCTGGCTCACCCCTTCCGAAGAAATTCAAGAGGGTGCCATTAGCAGGAAAGATGATGGCTTTAATTTTTTGGGATAGTCTGAGGATTATCATGATTGACTATTTTGTATAAGGTCATACCATAAACAGTTCGTACTATGCAGACGAATTGAGACGTCTGTGTCAAGAAATCGCGCATAAAAGGAGAAACAAACTAAGTCAAGGCGTTCTGCTCCTGCACGACAATGCGCCAGCTCTAACATCCCAAATTGCAATGGCTGCTGCAACTGACTGCAGCTTTGAAATCTTCCCCATCCCCCATATTCTCCGGACTTGGCCCCCTCTGTGTTCTACCTATTTCCGAAACAGAAAACCAAGCTTCGTGGTAATCGCTTTGGAAGCAATGAAGGTATCATGAAGACGGTCAACGAGTTCTTTGAGGACCAAAATAGAGAGTTCTATTTTGAAGGGTTAAACAAGTTGGAGCACATTAGGTATGATGTAGAGGGTGATTATATTGCAAAGTAAGACCATTAGTTTGGTTCTCTGACTACCTGAAGTACATCGGACCTAGAACTTTTTGATCAATCTTCAAACTTCTCATGTACTTTATATATCATATGCATGTATGTGTGTTTTGTCATGTTTATATATATATATGTGTGTGTGTGTGCGTGCGTGTTTGCATGCATGTGTGCGTGCGTGTATGTTAACGTGAGTGTGTAAGGAGTTTTTGTATGGAAACATATTATCCATACGTGCAAAATAGGTTTGTAATTGTTCCTGTTTTGATATATATTTGATTTAATATTAAGATAATTGTACTCGTACAATTTCTATTAAAACTTTTTGAAAAACAAAACATTCTATCAAATTTTAAAATTGATATAATTGTTACTTGATACCCTTAAATTGTTAAAAGGTGAATGCCATTTAGCATAAAGATTACATAATCCTTACTTAAGATAAATTATAAAAATATTCATAGTTTGATCATTAATATACAACACTGTATTCAAAGCATAAATAGTATAAAAGTCTTTATGAAATAGAATTTAAACGCAAAAGTTATAAATGAGCAGCAACATTCCCATGTTAACTCAGATGGAATAGGCCCATGAATTTACAGGTGATCAAATTGCAACAATAACGTTCTAGTTTCATTTTTATAACAATAAATATAATATATGAATAAAAGAAAAAGATTTTTGCAAATAGTAATGTCGCCAGCCGACTAGTATTTGACTGTGTGAATTCATTTGGTCATAAATTCAAAATTTTGGACTTGTCACTTGGATAACATACTTTCAAATTCAATAAAAATATATGCTAAATTACAGCTTCTGATACATTTTTGATTAAAAATTTCAAAATCAAATTCAGGATGAGTGCAGCTTTGTTTCCCTCCGAGACGTTGACCGAGTTCTTCAAATAATGTGTTGGTTTTATAGTAGACCAGATGGCTCATTCTTTGAAAAGGCCGACAAAAAGCTGAAGCTGAAGTACGCTACACAAGCTTTTGAAAACACTACTTTCCATGTAAGTCTTTTAATTGAGAATTAATTACTGCATGAATAGCACTGTTGGTAGAAAAATGATTCAACACAGTTAATAATATTATTTGATATAAAATCATATCAGATGTCTGAAAAGTTGACATCTTGCTTAAAACCTTTCTTTGCAATATCTAAGTCGATTTATACTACTATCACATCATAAGCATGAGCTGTACTTGTTTTTGTCTTTGAATAGGTTATTCGGCTTCAAAGCAGCCGTGTCTTCACGGATTTTGAATAAGACCCATGAATTACTGCGGAATGACACGATTAACTTTGCGAGTCGTCAATAAATTAAAGTATATAAATACATTCACATTCATCAGCTTGAGTTTTAACTATTTTGCATTTTGTAGTTGGACGGTTCCAATATTCCTACCTGAATAATGTTGAGTCACCCTTAGGATACGTTGCCTGCTTTTTAAACTCTGTCTTTTGACGTCTTAATTGTGATATGTAAGCTTCATAACCTCTGACCCCCTTTCAAAATTCCATTTTGTTTAGTTCTACCCATTGTTTTCTCGTTTAGAGTATTTGCTTTTTATTACTTGGGGACCATGGAATGACATGTCTATATCACATTGAAAGTTCCATGATAACCGCCGTATAAACATATCTGCGGATGTTTCTAAATTCAAAAGTTTACCTTTTCATGTTTAAATGTTGAATTCTGCTTAAGTCAGTGGTAGGGGTTGTGGACGGTAGTTTGCACTTGACAGTACCGTCCATGAACAGTCTCAATCAAACCGAGCCTGCATCATTTTAAATTTTGCCGCGTTCTTCTTTCTTTAGCTCTAGTTTACTCTTCTCTATCAATCTGAAAGTTCTTATTGCAAATAATTTTTATTTACATTTTCCTCAAATGGGAAACAATGTGTTTATTTATCTCTGTATATAAATAATTTACCGATATTTAATATCTCGGAACCAGGCTAAAATTTTATCATGCGTAAACACATTTCAACATTCTATAAATAGCAAAAAATAACCTAAAGGGTGACGGTTTCACATTGATCAAAACGCATTTGTGTTGCATTGGGTTATAATAAAACATCTGATTTTTTTTCAATCTATCCGGTTTTTGTTTACCTTTAGAAACTAGGAAAAAGTTTAAAAAAAAAAAGAAATTTAAATTGATATATTTTAAAGTTATCTTTTTTTTTTCTTCTGAGCTGATTGGTTCGTGCTGTGCGGCTTCAAAAACTTTAATAGCCGCCTTTTTATATAGTAAAATGAAGTCACACGTGTTTTTTTTTATTTTAGTTAGATTTGGTAAGAGTTTGATGTGTAAAATGTCTTATACATGTATTCTATGCGTATGCTTAAGTTTGATTCTTTATTAATGGTCTTTTGCTTATTACACGGTGCATATCCATATCGGTACCCTCTTTGCGAAATCTGCTGAAACGGCACCCTCTTTGCACATGCACATGCCACTCTCTGCTAAAAACAAACCAGTAATGGATAACAATCCAGTAAAAATTCAATATAATAAGGAAAGAAGGTATGACACGTAGAAAAGATGTATAACACGGAACACTAGAATGTTTTATCTATGTGCTGATTTGTCATGCTCCCGTTTTTCATGTACTACAACTTCACATTAAGCTACAAAGAAATCGACATGTCTTGCTTCGCCCATCATCTCGACATACTTTTCGGGCTGAAATGAACCTGCGGCTTGATTATATATGCATCATACATATTAAATATGTTCATTTACATATCATCTTCGGACATATGGCAGTATATTGTCAAAAATAATTGTAAAATTCATAAAAACACCCTACTTTCGGTTTTGCAGCGGCACGGGCTACCTCTCTTCATTTGAATTTTTATATCACAGGCACCCTCTCATTTTTTTACACATAGGTACCCTCAAGGCATGACATATGCTTTTATTTGCGTTAATCGTAAGGTATGTAATATTTCTTAATTTTATGTAAATATTACATACTTAACGATTAACGCAAATAAAAGCATATGTCGTGCCTTGAGGGTACCTATGTGTTAAAAAATGAGAGGGTACCTGTGATATAAAAATTCATATGAAGAGAGGTAGCCCGTGCCGCTGCAAAACCGAAAGTAGGGTGTTTTTATAAATTTTACATTTATTTTTGACAATTTACTGCCATTTGTCCGAAGATGATGTGTAAATGAACATATTAAATATGTATGATGCATATATAATCAAGCCGCAGGTTCAATTCAGCCCGAAAGGTATGTCGAGGTGATGGGCGAAGCAAGACATGTTGATTTTTTGTAGCTTATTTTGAAGTTGCAGTGCATGAGTAACGTCCACATGACAAATCAGCACATAGATAAAACATTCTAGTGTTCCGTGGTATACATCTTTTCCACGTGTCATACCTCCTTTCCAAATTACAATGAATTTTCACTGGCTTGTTATCCATCGCTGGTTTGTTTTGAGCAGAGAATAACCTGTGCATGTACAAAGAGGGTACCGTTTCAGCAGATTTCGCAAAGAGGGTACTGATATGGATATGCACCGTGTATTATAAGATTATATTTTGTTTTATTGCGATACAATAAATAATATCAAAGGCATAAAAATAAACCATTACCAGCGTGTCAGCTCTGTCCATATTCAAATAAAATACATCGTGTTGGATTCCTGGCACAATACCACATTGTCTTAAGAGTACCCGTCAAGTCTGAGTATAAAACGAGTAGTATTAGCATGACTTATTGAAATGTTTGTGTCGTAATGTTTTCCCCTGCACAGATCTATAAAGACATTCTTCTACAGAGCAATGTTTTGGTTAATCTAAAATTTTGCAGTGCACAGCTGACCTTTTCTTCGCACCCATTTTGCCGTGCTTAAAACCTCGCTTTTTATAAATTGATCAAAGTTTAAAACGTTACCTTATTGGACGAAAACACAGTTGTAAAACCTGTATCGGAGAAAAGACCTTGCCGATGTGGTATATGTTTTGTGAAAAGAATTAGCATTGTCTGGATAATGTTTAAAGACATTTTTATTTCGCTATGTATACTTTATGTACAATTAGAAAATACTATGCATTTGATATTGATGTTCTGAACTTTTGGAATGGAAGCAAGGCTAAATTGATATAATGATTTTAATTAGAATTTCACGTAGTTCAAAGCTGGAAGTCCAATTATTGTATTTTATAAGGTGTCGATAAGGCTATATAAAATAAATTCCCAGATTCTCATCCCCGCCCACCCGGCAAAAATCGCTCGGCCCGAACGATTAAAACAAGAAGAAGAAAGAAAAAAAAGGAAAAAGTTCATATCTAGAACTTAACGTTTAGAAGTGCATGATTATTATCTGTGCGGCCGAAAGTCCGTCGGTCTCGGTCCTGGCTGAATAAAAATCGGACCATGCGGTCAGAGATAATTTTCTTACTGCCAATCCTCGGGCTCTAATAAAATTTCAAAGAGATAAAGATAACCAGTTTTGACAGTTAAATCGAAATTTGTTAAAGAAATTTAAAGGTATTGACCCACAGAAGACCAATTTGGGACAAGTCAGATAAACAGTTGTGAGCTTGTCTTCATAAACAACATCGGTAAATTTTGCCGTAAATTACAAATTTGGATTTATTGTTTACAACGCCTTTTTGAGAGAATGAATAATCATAAAATATTTAATCTGATAAAATCAAAATCAACAACAACTAGAATTGTGAATGGTTATGCAGGAAACAGACATATTTTTCATTTGTCACATATTTTTGCGATGCCGACTTTTAATGGGTAAAGCTCTGTACTTTCTTTGCCAAATTTTCAATAAGTTATTTGTTGTTATTTTTGCAATGTGATATATAAATAGGATTTTCTTTTTTTTTGTAGCTTCATTGGTTGATAAATTAATTTTCAACAGACTTCACTCCAGAAAAAAGTAATATTGATCGACATAGTCATAGTACATCTTTATTCAACTCTTTTATAAAATACGGATATCTTATTTTGCAACAATACATGTATGTATTTGGTTATCATTTTGTCCAAACATCAATTTGTTTGATGTCGGAATTTGAAAGGTTCAATAAAACAGATCATAACAATCAAGATATATTATCATGTTGCTTCTATTCTCAATCTGAACCTATATATTTTACATACACATAATACAGTATAAGCACCTTAATAGCTTATAATAGAACTAATTCCCAAATATTGACCTCCTCGCATGTAATTTCCAGACCGAGAATGGAAAATAAAAAATAGAAAAAAATCGACCCATCCGCCCCATTTTTTCCAAAATTTGGATGAGAATCTAGTTATTAGTCCCCTACCGGTTTACCGAAAGGGAATTTAGGTTTACCCTCCGTCCGTCTGTCCGTCCGTCCGTCTGTCCGTCCGTCTGTCAGTCCGTCCGTCCACAAAACTGGATCCCGCGATAACTTGAAAAGTACTGAAAATATTTTTATGAAACTTGGTATATGGATAGATGGCAGTATGGAGATTATGCACGTCTTTTTCTTTTCTTCCTATGTTGAAAATTCTGGTTGCTATGGCAACAAATAGGCTGAAAATATGACAAATTTTACACATAAACTGGATCCAGTGATAACGCAAAAAGTACTGGAAATATTTTTATGAAACTTGACATATGGGTAGATGGCAGTCTTGAGATTATGCACGTCTTTTTCTTTTCTTCCTATGTTGAAAATTCTGGTTGCTATGGCAACAAATAAGTTGAAAATATGGCAAATTTTACAAATAAACTGGATCCAGTGATAAAGCAAAAAGTACTGGAAATATTTTTATGAAACTTGACATATGGGTAGATGGTAGTCTTGAGATTATGCACGTCTTTTTCTTTTCTTCCTATGTTGAAAATTCTGGTTGCTATGGCAACACATAGACTGAAAATATGGCAAATTTTACACATAAACTGAATCCAGTAATAACTCAAAAAGTACTGGAAATATTTTTATGAAACTTGACATATGGGTAGATGGCAGTCTTGAGATTATGCATGTCTTATCTGTTCTTCCTATTTTGAAAAAATATCAGTTGCCTTGGCAACAAATAGGCTTAAAACATGGCAAATATAACAATATTTGTGATTAGTCAAAAAGAGCTGAAAATTTTTATGAAATTGCATCTTTAATTCAAGAGTTATCTCCTGTTTAAGAATTTTGCTTTTAAAATGTTATATTTTGGTAACAGGGATGTTTCAAATATTAACTTTAGACTTTAGAGTGTCCTTCAGTCCATCTGTCTGTCTGTTCATAAAAACTGTTTCCTGTGATCACTTTTAAAGAACTTTTCCAACAAATTTACTTAAAATAGAGAAAAATTGAAACATTAGTGAATGGCCCTTCAGAATGTTGATGGGGTTCTAACCGGTAGGGGACTTATGGATTGCTTGCAATACTATGATAATTGCTTGTTTATTTTCTATTGACTAAATAATATATATATTGTAAGTTAAAAACTGTAGTTAGTATGATACTGAAAATAACATTTTTTTCTCTCCAAAATTTGGATGAGAATCTAGTTATTTATTTTCTATTGACTAAATAATATATATATTATAAGTTAAAAACTTTTGTTAGTGTGATACTGAAAATAACATTTTTTCCAAAATTTGGATGATAATCTAGTTATTTATTTTCTATTGGCTAAATAATATATATTGTAAGTTAAAAACTGTACTTAGTGTGATACTGAAAATAACATGTTTTCTTGTATTGTTCAAGCTTTGTTCTCAGATAGATTCTTGATATAATATAACGGTTCTGCAAAATGTTCTGTCACCGTTGGGTTTCAATGTTCATTTGGAAGTTATTTAACTATAGTAAATACTTTCATTACACTTAAACTGTGTATAGCTAAAAGCATATTTCGTATAAATTTGTTTTGGTAAGTATAACATGCAGTCACACGAACTGACCAATTTCGGACTACTTGTGATTAAGGTAAGAAAGGCGGAAATTCAAAAACATATTTAGGCCACACATGTGTTTCATTGATTCAAATTAAATGAATATTTAGTTTCTAGATCACATACTGACCGGGGAATATTCAATAGAGTAAAACGGGGTCAAACGGCAAAATTTGAAATGTTTACAAGCTCGATTTGAATTAGCCTTTTAATGGACGTAAATGAAAATTTCATGCTTCCGTCCACTCTCTCCCCCCACTACTTAAACTTGTTTTAGCAGAAATTTAACACTTGGTATGTTATTATGCATAACTACATGTATTAGATAGCGAAACGAATATAATTAGATCAGTTGATTTTATAAACACACACAATCTTATACACGCACGCACACTCACATGCATACGTACATAAAAAAGCTGCGTTGAGCAGATGGTCAAAGTAAAAACAGAATCCCTTAGAACTCCTGGCAAAATTAAAACTATTGCAGGCTCCGCTAAAAATAGCCTGTTAATAGACAGTAGTGGAAATCTGAATGATGATGAAGTATACACAAGAGCAAAATATAACCAATTGTCAATTACACACACAAAGCATACTCAGATAATTGTGCCTTTCAATTACCTTACTTTTTACTCCATCTCAACCTGATCAGAGTTCCTGTGACTTCATTTTATTGCCCATATTTACATTCATTGAACGCCGCTTTTCGTTGTTAATCTTATTTATCATTTTTAACAAAATATATTCTTGAAAACGATATGAGTATGGTTACAAAGTTAAACATAAACGTTCCTGTTGGAAAGATCCTAATGATACTAAAATAGTATATCACTTTTTTTAATAGAAGTGAAAAATGTCATCTAATGTTTGGTATCTTAATGTGTTTAGATATGATTGATTGTTAAACATTGTTATAATTGTTATATACAAAACAACAAAAGTACATTTTGAATTACTGACACAATATTTATATAAAGCTGTTCAAAGACAGTTTATCTTGGATATTTGCACAAAGAAAATGAACGGGGTATTATGAAATGCATGTCAGTCATTCCCCAAGATATTTTTCTGGAGCCTTTGAAGAGTAATTATTGTTTGTTACATTTGGAGTTTTCGTCGCTTTTAATGTTAATTAAATGTTGTTTGTCCAATGCATAAATGAACAGAGCATATATTGTACCAATTTTTAAACTTCCGATATGCACATTTTCATTATGCAGAGTTTCAAAGTCGATTTATCGTTAACTGTTTTTTTTCCACAATTTTTCAAGCTATTGATTTTTGTCTTTTCAAACGAGGCATATTTAAAAATATTAAGGGTATTAAAATTAAAGAAACTATTTCTAAGAAGGAATATCTTATTTGTAAAATTGTAATGTCAAAATTCTAAATCTCTCTTTGGCTTTTTAGCTCACCTGTCACAAAGTGACAGGGTGAGCTTTTGTGATCGCTTTTCGTCCGGCGTCCGTCCGTCGTCCGTCCGTCCGTCGTCCGTCCGTCCGTCGTCCGTCCGTAAACTTTTACTTTAAATGACATCTCCTCATAAACCACTAAGCCAATTTCATCCAAACTTCACAGGAATGTTCCTTTGGTGGTCACCTTTAAAAATTGTTCAAAGAATTTAATTCTATGCAGAACTCTGGTTGCCATGGCAACCAAAAGAAAAAACTTTAAATATCTTCTTCTAAAAAACCCAAAGAGCTAGAGCTTAGATATTTGGCATGAAACATCTTCTAGTGAGTGTCTACCAAGTTTGTTCAAATAAAATCCCTGGGGTCAAAATTTGCCCCACCCCAGGGGGTCATTGATTTTCCCTATATGCATATAGTAAAAACTTAAAAAATCTTCTTTTAAAGAACCCATAGAGCTAGAGCTAAGATATTTAGCATGAAACATCTTCTAATGGGTGTTTACCAAGTTTGTTCAAATAAAAGCCCTGGGGTCAAAATTGTTGGCCCCGCCCCAGGGGGTCATTGATTTTCCCTATATGCATATAGTAAAAACTTAAAATATCTTCTTTTAAAGAACCCAAAGAGCTAGAGCTAAGATATTTAGCATGAAACATGTTCTAAAGGGTGTCTACAAAGTTTGTTCAAATAAAAGCCCTGGGGTCAAAATTGGTCCCGCCCCGGGGGTCATTGATTTTCCTTATATGTGTATAGTAAAAACTTAAAAAATCTTCTTTTAAAGAACCCAAAGAGCTAGAGCTAAGATATTTAGCATGAAACATGTTCTAATGGGTGTCTACAAAGTTTGTTCAAATAAAAGCTCTGGGGTCAATATTGGCCCCGCCCCGGGGGTCATTGATTTTCCTTATATGTGTATGGCAAAAACTTAAAAAATCTTCTTTGAAAAAACCCAAATAGCTAGAGTTTAGATATTAAGCATAAAACATCTTCTAGTGAGTGTCTACTAAGTTTGTTCAAATAAAAGCCCTTTGGTCAAAATTGGCCCCGCCCCAGGGGGTCATTGATTTTCCCTATATGCATATAGTAAAAACTTAAAAAATCTTCTTTTAAAGAACCCAAAGAGCTAGAGCTAAGATATTTAGCATGAAACATGTTCTAATGGGTGTCTACAAAGTTTGTTCGAATAAAAGCCCTGGGGTCAAAATTTTGGCCTGGGGGTCATTGATTTTCCTTATATGTGTATGGCAAAAACTTAAAAATCTTCTTTGAAAAAACCCAAATAGCTAGAGTTTAGATATTAAGAGTGAAACATCTTCTAGTAAGTGTCTACAAAGTTTGTTCAAATAAAAGCCCTGGGGTTAAAACTGGCCCCGCCCCAGAGGTGTCATTGTTTTTAACTGTATGTGTAATGTGTATAGTAAAAACTTAAAAAAATCTTCTTTTAAAAAACCCAATGAGCTAGAGGTTAGATTTTAAGCAGGAAACATCTTTTTGTTGGTGTCTACCAAGTTTGTCCAAATAAAAGCCCTTGGGTTTAAATTGGCCCTGCCAAGGGGGGGGGGGGGGTGGAGGTCATTGTTTTTCATTATAGGTGTGTAGTAAAAAACTTAACATCATGAAACATCTTCTAATGGGTGTCTTCCAAGTTTGCTCAAATAAAAGCCCTGGGGTTTAAACTGGCCCCGCTCCGGGGGCCTATATACAGGTGAGCGACCTCAGGGCCATCATGGCCCTTTTGTTTATGATAACTATTTGAATTTTCAATACTTATTTCTGAGTTTAAAGCGCAAATCGAAAAGAAATGAAGATATCAATTGTACACCGAACCCAAAACATTAGAAAATAAGTTCTTACCTATAAAAAACATACTCAGACTAACTTTGGCAAGAGCAATATTTCTTGAACAATATGTATCAGCATAAGAATTCATAAAATCGTACTGAGTGGCATCTAAGAAAGGACGGTATCAGTTTCCGTGATACGCTACTGTTTACTATTTTTTAAAATATGACTTACAGATGGAATATTAATTTGCAGACTCTAAAGCTGTCAAAGGTGACAAGATCTTTGGTACTTGCATTAGGCGTTTGTTACCATGCTTGTGTAAATGATAGACAAAACTATAGATCTTTCATAGCAAAGTTCTTCCGCCAGCCTTGTGCATTACCGAGGGGAGCAGACCAAATTTGGGAGGAGATAAACAGGTTAATGTGATTTTTTTCTTTTTAAATTTCAGTCGACTCCACTTATAACGAACTCACTTATAACGAATTATTGTTAATAGCGAACTTAATCCGATACACCCCGGCCGATTCCTTCCTTATTTTCTATTAAATACCATCGTTTAATACGTACTCGCTTAAAGCGAATTTTCGGTTATATTAAGCCCCAAACGGTTAAAACTATGTAAATTTCCTCGGTTAAAACAAACTGTTTTAATTGTAATATCAGTATGCACTCGATTAAGATCAGTACATGACTACCGCTATCAGATAGTTATTCAATCAAGCGATTGCACAGGTAAGTTATGACTTCAGGAAATAAAGGTTTTGATAAAATGTTCTCACAACATAATTTCCTTGTTACGGTAAGTTTGTATTTCCCACCTTCAGTTGACAAATTTCTGTAAATACCCGATAATTACCAAACGTCGATGTTTTTTGATTGCAATATAAACCAAACAATTTCAAACAAATAGCAAAAGCATAAAAAGGGTAAACACTTTATAGTCTAATACATGTACATTGTTCAATGAAATACCGCATAATGAATTATCGCAACCGTAAAATACCAATTACACCCTGTGACTAGTGACAGGTATGGCTTTTTCACGGCCGATTTGCACCCAAACAAGTCAGCAAGTTCTTGCTACTTCGCTTTTGTCCCATTTGGTTCGTTATAAGCAGAGTCGACTGAATGTAGTTAGTTATAACTTGAAAATAATATAGTCACTTTCGCACCTTTAAAAGCTGTAAGGTATTGACTAATAAAATAAACTTTATATATAAATTGTTAAGAACTAATGTATATAATATAGCAAATGTCAACTTTTTTTATATAATGTTACTAAATCAATATAAAGGATATTTGGGAATAATGTTTTGACAGCATTTACGGAAATTAATATATTTGGAGATGCATCAGCACCATTATACTATGTATGTAATTTTACTAGTCAACAAACTAAAATGGAAATATTTGAATTAAATGTTGTACAGGTAAAAAGATGCAAAACGCTTACATCATGTTTAACACATAATGTTTGTGTCGCCTTGAAAAAGGCGACATACCTGTTTTTTTTGTCGACTGTGTCGGCGTTGGCGTCCCCTTAAGCTTGTCCAGAGCATAAGTAAGTCATTATAAGTCAGATTGACTTCAAACTTGGTATGCTTGCTTCTTATAATGACCCAAAATGCAGTGCACAAGAACCGGTACTCTGTACTTCTTAATTTTTGAGTTATTGCCCCTTGTTAATTTTCATACTTTATTTTTGTCCGGGCCGTTTCTCCTAATGTATAAAAGCTATGGACTTGAAACTTCATAGGTTAATAGATCTCATTAAGAAAAAGTGCAGTGCACAAGAACCGGTTCTCTGCATTTCTCATTTTTTTGAGTTATTGCCCTTTGTTAATGTTCATACTTTATTTTTGTGTAGGCCATTTCTCCTAAAGTATAAAAGCTATGACCATGAAACTTCATAGGATGATAGAACTTATTAAGAACAATTGCACTGCATAAGAACTGATACACTTCATTTCTTATTTTTCGAGTTATTGTCCTTTGTTAATTTTCATACTTTTTGTCCAGGCCATTTCTCCTAAAGTACAAAAGCTATGGACATGAAACTTCAAAGGATGATAGATAACATTAAGAAGAAGTGCAGTGCACAAGTACCGGTACTCTGCACTTCTTATTTGGGCTGGACCGTGGTACTTATTTTTTGAGTTATTACCCTTTATTAATTTTTATACTTTATTTCTCTCCAGGCAATTTCTCATAAATTACAAAAGCTATAGACTTGAAACATTATAGGATGATAGATCTTATTGATAAAAAGTGCAGTACACAGAAACTGCTGCTCTGCACTTCTTATTTTTGAGTTATTGCTCTTTGCTAATTTTCATATTTCATTTTTGTCCTGGTCATTCTCCTAAAGTATATTGTTCAAAAAGCGACACACCCGACTCGCGGAGTTCTAGTTATTTAAACTTATTTATGTATTGTCTTTCCGAGATCAACTCAGTGAATATTGTGAACCATGTTACTTTTACTGTTATATATAATACTATGTATAATTCAATAATACTTGCAGTTGCCAGGAAGTTATTATTGAAGCCGTTACCCTTGAAAAAGACATCGCCAGAAATCTTGCACTTAAGGAAAACGTTTACATGATGGTTGTTTGCATTGAGCTGCGTATTCCATTGTTTCTCGTTGGTAAGCCAGGAAGCTCAAAATCGCTTGCCAGACTCATAGTAGCCGATGCCATGCAAGGCAGTTCATCTAAAAACGAGCTTTTCAAAGACATGAAACAGGTTTAAATTACACAACATAAGATATCTTGAGATAAATTAAAATTATTTTCCATGCTTGTGACAATCATTATTTAGTCTTTAGTACACTTGTAATGAAAACATAAGTTCTATGAAAAACGAAGAATCAGTTATGTCTAAAGTATCAAAATCAGTTTGAAGTATCCTTTCAGTCTCCAACATATGGATTGTTATCTATTAAGATTGTTTAACTTTGTCAAGTTTGTGTCATGAAAGCATGGAAACAAATTTATACATACGCTGATAATAAGGTGATATTTGCATGTAATGTTTAGATCTGTTTTGCACATTGTTAATACATAATTTTGCATAACTGTTGATAAAACCAGCTTTAATGAGATAACTACATAATAAAACTATATGTTGTTTTGCGATAAGCATTGGTAAGACCACACAAGCCAATGAGAGTTATTGTTTATATTCCAGGTGCAGATGCTTTCTTTCCAATGTAGCCCGCACTCTACACCTGCTGGTATCTCTACGACGTTTAGACAATGTGCTCAATTTCAAAAGAATAACAATCTTGATAAGTTTATATCGGTTGTTGTACTGGATGAAGTGGGCTTGGCAGAGGATAGTCCGAAATTACCACTGAAGGTTGTTTTTTATGTAAACAGAAAGTTGTGCATGCACAAATTGTAGCATTCTAAAACTATTTTCCCTCCGGTTCATTCAAAATCTTACTTTAAAATCCTTTAAAAATTATAAGCAATTTACGCCCGGTCATAAGAATTGAATAATACCATTATGTTTAGACAAATCATAACATGATGCTGATAACGTCATTCATAATATTATGACCAATGATTAGGGCAATAAATTCATATCGTAGGTTTTTCAAATACATGTATGTGTAGTTATATTATTTATTAATCATATACGTTTTAATTTCTATAATTCTTTAGACATTGCATCCTCTCCTGGAAGACGGATGTCAAGGAGACGAGGAACCAGAGCCATACAAAAAGGTTACAACGATATTTGTCCCTTATCTTATCGAAGAAAAAGGAAGATATGGCAATAGGCTCCGCCCATTGGTCCTTCCGTCCGCCCGTCACACTTTCGTGTTCAGCCCATAATTGTCATTGTCAAAGGACTTTAAAACAACTTGGCAAAAATTATCTGACACAAATATTCACTATATTGAGACCATGTGTCATGCGCAACATCCAGTTGCCTACCTCTCAGGTCAAGGTTACAGTTAGTCGTCAAAGATTAACATAGTCTGTTTAAGAATATAGAATTTATTTTACTTCAAGTGAACATTTTTCATCCATCAGAGGATTTTAAAAATATTTGGCATAAATGTTGACAATAATGAGACCATGTGTCATGCACAACACCCGGCCTTTGTCTCCAAGGTCAAAATGACTTTTATAGGGTTTATTTTGTGTGCATTTTATAATGATTGTATGTTTCACTATTTGGCATAAATGTTTTAAATATTGAAACCTTGTGAAATACGCAACAGCCAGACTCCTGCTTTAAATGTCAAGGTCACACCTGAGTGTCAAAGCCTTACATTGTCCGTGCTAGTGTATTTTTTGTGTGCGGTATGTAACTTTTTCATAAATCAAGGGATTTTAAAATACTTTGGCACTAATATTATCAATAATAAGAAGACATATGATGCCAACACATAGACCCTACCTTAAAGGTCAAGGTGACACTTGTAGGTCAAAGCTTAAAACAGTCGGTTAAAAGGGTATGATGCCAAGTAAGGCCCATGCAAATAAAATGTCATTGGTGAATTGCCTACATACCTTGATTGATTATTGTCAATGATGAAATAGACCATATCCTGAATTGATTTTTGTATTTGTCACATTTTGTGGCTTTGAAATAGTGATAACAAGTATACAAATGTATTTATGCATACACATACACAATAATCATATCCGTACCATACCTTAATATTTGCACAATTTTATGCCTCATGCAAATTTTTCCTTAGGCGAAGGAATTCTTCTATCCTTATAACCTCAACTTTTTGAAAAACATATAGTCGAGCTATTGTCATGAACTTCTCGTTGATATTGATTAACCTTTTCGTCAAGTTTCTCAGTAGCTCTAACAGTTTCCTGTTTACCTTAATCTGGTAAACATGTTATTTGTTACAAAAAGACGACAGATTTAAAAAGGGCAGATGGTCCTTAATATATAAGTTATGCTCCTTTAGCACTTTGATTGTTTTTCCCTGGTTAATCTTTTTGTCTGAACTTTTTCTCAGAAAGTGTATAAGGTATTCACTCCATTCCTTTAAAACTGTAAGTTTTAAATAATAACACAAATTAAGATAATCATAACAATCTTTTTTGCACTGTTATTGCTATTTTCCTTTTTTCATAAGTCCATTTCTCATATATTGTCCAATTTTTCAAACGTTCAATACTTGCTTATATCAAAAAGGTATCCTTAAGATTTATTTTGCACAGTTGCGTTTCTTTTTGTTAATAGATTTTTTTGTTTAACCATTTTATGGTACATTTCTCATATAGTTTCTAAAATAATAACCGTAAACTTTGAATATTTTACTATCTAGGTTGGTTTTATCGGAATATCCAATTGGGCACTTGATCCTGCTAAAATGAATCGTGGTATTTTTGTTCAGCGTGGTGTTCCAGACTCGTCTGAATTAGAGACAACTGCAAGGTAGGTACAAAGGAAATGTAGATTGATAATTAAAAAGTATAATAGTGTTTTGTGTTATGATTGTTATTTGCCTAAAACTTTTACAATGTTTTAATTTCCGAATTGATTTTCTTCTTTTAAATTATGCTTGCTATGAAACGTTAAGTTTGATCATGATAAAATTAAAAAAATATAGATAATAGAGTGTTCTTATTCTAAGGTTTTGTCGTGTTCTATAATAAATACATTGATTTTTCTTCTCAGCTAGTTAATATGCATTGAAACATTGACAAAAATCATGCATATAGTTCTTGTACCGGCAATGTCCATCATTTTAGTGTACATATGAATTGTCAATTCCGAAATAAGTTTATGAAAATCGTAACAGCTGACTAATAGCAGGACAAAACAAAAACATAAGTTCTGTAATACATCATTTTACTTTTACACTTTTAGGGGAATTTGTCAGAAAACGATTGCCTTTCCTGGCATGGAAAAACTAGTACACGAGTTAGCAGGGGCTTATCTGAAAGTCTTTCAAATGGCAACTGAAACAAAACGCGAGTTTTTCGGACTCAGAGACTTTTACTGGTAAGAAAAAACATAAATATACAATTTGATCTTATGACTCTAACAAAATAAAAGTCCAACCGTTTTTTCCTGCTAATGTTTTTTTTTGTTAATGAATTATATACTTCTTCTAAAAATTGTATTATGAAGAAGTGTTCATATTTCTTATCTGTTTAAGTGTCGCGAAACTTAAGCAATTTGTTTTTGTATTAACTTATTAATTAATAAGTAAATACATTAATCAATCATTTAATTAAGTCATTCATTTATTCATTGTTTATTGATTTATTTAATTATATACATCACATTTATAACATACATTAAAAAACAGGATAAAACATGTTTGCAAAGAATTCAATAAGAAATAGAGGAGATTATACAAAGTTATTAAAATATAGAATTGTGTCCTCAAAATTAAACAATCATGAACGTTGCTAATTTGTCTTATACAGTGCATACATAATAAAGAAAGATATAGAAACGAAATTAATATAAACAACATTTTATAAGCTCGGCTTTCTTTTGAGAAAAAAGAAAACAAATTACAAATAAAATAGAGGTATCGTAGCAGTAATATTGGCGTTGCCGTTTCCGTTGCCGGCCGCAAACTTGTACCTTGATCATTATTTTTTAAGTTATAGGTGTATTGTCCTTTATATTTGGCCAAACCAACCTTTAGGACAAGACCTTTAATAAGGCAGACTAACCTTGATCTTCAGTCATAGATTACCTTGACGTCAAGGTCTAATGTCTAAAATTTGCTTGTTTATTTGCTATAAGTTGCTGAAATTTTGTTATTGATGCATGGATTGCCTTCAAACCTGAGCACGAAATTCTTTAACTATAGTCTTCAAGTTACACTGACCTTTAATGTCAAATGTCTAAATTTTGCTTTTTGTGCCCCAATATTTGTGGCGGGCATTTAGATTTACCCTTGTCCGTCCATCCGTCCGTCCTTCCGTCCGTCCGTCCGTCCGTTCTCTTTTGTGTCGCACGTAACTCAAAAAGTATTTGACCTAGAGTCATGAAACTTTACAGGAATGTTGATCAGCATGTGTAGTTGTGCACCTGGGTATTTTTGTCTGGATATTTTTAGTATTTTTAGAGTTATTGCCCTTGACTTAGTAAAATTTTGCAATTTGCAACTTGTGTCGCATGTAACTTAAAAGGTATTTGACCTAGAGTCATAAAACTTTACAGGAATGTTGATCAGTATGTGTAGTTGTGCACCTGGGTATTTTCGTCTGGATATTTTTTAGTATTTTTAGAGTTATTGCCATTGACTTAGTAAAATTTTGCAATTTTTCAACTTGTGTCGATTGTAACTCAAAAAGTATTTGACCTAGAGTCATGATACTTTACAGGAATGTTGATCAGCATGTGAAGTTGTGCACCTGGGTATTTTCGTCTGGATATTCTTAGTATTTTTAGAGTTATTGCCCTTGACTTAGTAAAATTTTGCAATTTTCAACTTGTGTCGCATGTAACTCAAAAAGTATTTGACCTAGTGTCATGATACTTTACAGGAATGTTGATCAGCATGTGTAGCTGTGCATCTTGGTATTTTCGTGTGGTTTTATTTAGTATTTTTAGAGTTATTGCCCTTGACTTAGTAAAATTTTGCAGTTTTCAACTTGTGTCGCATGTAACTCAAAAAGGATCTGACATAGAGTCATGAAACTTTACAGGAATATTGGCCAGCATGTGTAGTTGTGCACCTGGGTATTTTCGTCTGGATTTATTTAGTATTTTTAGAGTTATTGCCCTTGACCTAGAAAATGTTTGCAATTTTCAACTTGTGTCGCATGTAACTCAAAAAGGATTTGACATAGAGTCATTAAACCTTATGGGAAGGTTGCCCAGCATATTAAGTTTTGCTCCTGGGGTTTCGCTTGTGGATTTATCCAGTATTTTAGAGTTATTTCCCTTGACTTAGTAAAAACTGTTTCATTATGTTGTTATTTGTCCCTTGAGTGCTTGAGTTAAAATCGACCAACTTTACAGGAATAATGACCAACATCACTAAATTACAGGAATAATGATTCACATCACTGTTAAGCTATGAACCTGGAACTTTGCATGTGGATTTTTTCAGTTTTGTTAGAGTTATTGCCCTTGACTTACAGAAGTATAAATTTGCAATTTTCAACTTGGGGTTTGCTTGGGGATTTATTCAGTATTTGTAAAGTTCTTGCCTTAGTAAAAAGATTTTTAGTTTTCAAAAAATATTTGACCTAGAGTCATAAGATTGACAGAACAGTGGCGCGGTGGGGGCACCCGTGTCCTATGGACACATTTCTAGTTTCTTTAATGTTGCTATTTATGAATCGATTGTTTTCAAACTTGAGCATGATGATCTTTTAGGATAGACCTTTCAGATAACTATACATACAATAACCTTCACTTATAATCGCCCTTTGTTCATTTTTATACTTAAAACTTTGTCCGGGACATAACTCTGAAATTATAAATTGTATCAACATAAAACTGTGTAGGTAGATATATCTCATTGGGTTAAAGTGCAGCGCAAAAGAACCATCACTCGTCTATGTCTTATTTTGGAGTTATTGCCCTTTTTTCATTTTTACACTTTGAACATAACTCTGACACTATACACTGTATATGAAACCACAAGAGGTATCAACAAGAGAAAAAGTCGGTTTTTATAGAGTAAAAGTGCAGTGCAAAGAACAGTATCGTTGCCTTTCCTAATTTTGGAATTACTGCACTTAGAAGTTTGTCCAGGAAATAACTCTGAAACTACAAGAGGTATACATTTCTGTGTCCAAAACGTATTCGGGAAGCAGCACTCGGTTCAATCGGTTCTTGGTTTTGCTGTAACTGCCCATAACTTTGTTATTATTGAATAGATTGACCTTATATTATAACAGAACATACTTTGGGTTAAGAGCTTTATGAATATTAACTCAAATAAACATTGGCTCTTTTATGACCTTGTTAATGAATTTTTGCTGATTTTTGGCCGGGTTGCATTGGTGCAATTTCGGGTTATAGTATGGTGAATTTTGGGCGGCGGGCGGTGGGCGGCGGGCGGGCGAGAGAAAAACTTTCGAAACTGTTTTCTCTAACTACTTATCACAGCCTCTTGATATTTGGCATACTGCATTGACTCGTGGTCCAATACCGTGGGATTCGATTTCAGGTCTGTCGCTCATTCACTTCTTGTTTATCGACTTAATTAAATTTTCAACATAAATGGTCAATGGTAACAGTTTTCTCAGCAAGTACATATCACAGCCTCTTGTTATTTGGCATACAGCATTGACACATAGTCCCATACTGTGTGATTTGGTTTCAGGTCTGTCGCTCACCCACTTCCTGTTTACCCACTTAATTAAAATTTCGACATTAATGGACAGTGGTAGGAAATTTTCGTAACAGTTTTCTCAGCAAGTACTCATCACAGCCTCTTGATATTTGGCATACAGCATTGAAACAGGGTTTCATACTGTGGGATTATATTTCAAGTCTGTCGCTTATCCTTTTCCTGTTTATCAACTTAGTTAAATTTCCGACATAAATGGACAATGGTAGGAGGAAATTTTTGGCCGGGTTGCATTGGTGCAAATCCGGGTTATAGTATGGTGAATGTCGGGCAGCAGGCGGTCGGGCGGGGAAAATATTTTCGTAACAGTTTTCTCAGCAACTACTTATCACAGCCTCTTGATATTTGGCATACAGCATTGACACATGGTCCCATACCGTGGGATTTGATTTCAGGTTTGTCGCTTATCCACTTCCTGTTAATACACTTAGTTAAATAAGTTAAATTTTTCGACATTAATGGTCAATGGTAGTAAATTTTCGTAACATTGTTATCAGCAACTACTTATCACAGCCTCTTGATAGTTGACATACAGCATAGATACATAATCCCATACCGTGGGATTTGATTTCAGGTCTGTCGCTCATCCACTTCCTGTTTATCTACTTAGTTGAATTAGTTAACTTTTTCGACATTAATGGTCAATGGTAGGAAATTTTCGTAACAGTTTTCTCAGCAACTATTTATCACAGCCTCTTGATATTTGGCATACAGCATTGACACATGGTCCCATAACGTGGGATTCGATTTAAGGTGTGTAGCTCATCCACTTCCTTAAATTAATTAAATAAGATTAATTAAATTTTTGACATTCATGGGTCAATGGTAAATTCTTTCGTAACATCACAGACTCATGATATTTGGAGTACAAATGCAACCTGGCCTGTTCTGTCTTTGACCCATTTTTTACTATAATTGTCTGTAACTTAGTAAATTATAAATGGATTATCTTCATACTTTGGCAAAACAACATTTTAGACAAAACCTTCAAAAGATTGAATGGATCTTGACCTAGAGCTTTAAATGACATTCACCGTCAGTGTCTAATTATTTGAGTTTGGATTAATTGTCATAATCTTGTTAGTTATGTTCGGATTATATTTAAACTTAGACACAACAAGACTTGCTACCATTAAACATATTGAAAAATTTAAAAGTGACATTGATCTTAAATTGACCCTTACTGTTAAGGTTAAATGAATGAAATTATCTTGTTTTTCTGTAACTGGCTATAACTTTGTTATAAATCCCCTTCCGCAGAGCGAGGATAGAAATATAGTCATTGACTCCATCTGTCAGTCCATCTCTCCGTCCGTCCGTAACATGTTTGTGTCCACTCCATAACTTATAAACTAAAAAGTTTTGAAATAACCTGGCACATGTGATCACCATTATAACACTATGTGCAGAGCACGTTTATTAAGTCACTACTCTACCCTCAAGGTCAAAGTCACACTTAAAAGTCCAATGTTTAAAGATGTATTTTTCATGTCTCCTTAACAACTTATTGACAATTCAAAGGTTTTATGATTTAATCCCCTTTGATAAAGGAAGGAGTGAATCATAGGAATGGCCTCTTTCTGTCTGTCTGTTAGTCTGTTCGTCCGTCCGTAGTATTTTTGGTTACGCACCATAACTTTTAATCCACGGAAACAAATCTAAATAACTTTACACAAGTTATCGCCATTGTGAAACGACGTGCAAAGCGCAATAATTGTGTTGCTTCCCAAAGGTGAAGATAACACTTAAAGGTCAAATGTTGTCTGCTTCTTAACTTTTAAACTACTTGAAAGTTTTTAAAATGACTTTGCACAAATGGTCACCATAATGATATGATGTGATTAGTGCAATATTCAGAGTGCTACCCCTAAGGTCTAGGTAACACATAGAGGTCAAATGTTAAATGTCAACAATTTTGTGTCGTCTTCATAACTTTTTTACTACTAAAATTTTCAATTATATTGGCACAAATGATCACCATTATCGCTTACAATAAATTTATTTTTTATAATGTATTTTGAAGGCTTTAAATGTATGTTTACAATAGTGTGAGAAGATTCACTTTTTAGCTTGACTTATAAATACAGCATTTATATGTCCAGAATTATCTGCCCCTTAAAATTTGCATTTTCCTTATTTATTCTGTTACTTTCTTATTTCTTTACGGATTTACTTTAGATTTTAATTAACACCTACAGCATACGTTATTAGATTCATAAGTCTAGCCCCTCGGTAAGTATGATCATATTCATTTTCAAACTTGATTTATTTTAAAATCGTTTCACTTTTTTCATTTTTAAATTTTTCTCTTTTGCTACTATAAATGGTAAATATGTATAATTTTACTTTTGTGTTACTTAAATGATATCCAGTTTAGACTTTTAGATAATAACTCACATCATGTATGACAATGTTAATTAGTCTCGCAGTTTTATTTCAAAAGTAATCTTGTATTTAGTTAAAGTTTTTTTGTTTTCAAAAATATCATATTCTGGTGAAAACTTTTCAATTACCAGCACTAAATGTAACTATTGGGACAGTATGAGATTCATACAACTTTGCAAAAGCTTGATATTGAAAATAAATCCACTCTGTTTGCTGCCTGTAACAATAATAGAAAAGTCACGGTTTTCGTATAAAACTTATACACTCATTTCATTTGATGTATTTTAACAAAAAACTGATATAGACGTAATTATCAAAAGATTTCTAGAAAAAATAACATTGAATTTACTTGCCTTTGTACACATCAAACTACCAGCACACCTGCTATGTAGTTCATGTAATTAACAGTACAGTAAAGCAGTGTGGGATATTAACTATGCCTCTTTTAAATAATAAAATTTGTAAAACAATTAGGTCCATTCCGAATATTAATAACTTTGCCTTCGACATCAATTCTAGTATTTAGATCATTAAACGACATATGTGATAAGGCACAGTTATGATTAAAACAAGTCGACATCGAACTGGTCTGTAAATAATCTATCGCCTTTTACAAAATAATCGCATTACTGTTTAAGCTATTGCATCATAAAGTATTCGTCATAAATAATCTTTATTTATTAAATCGTTAGCCTGCTTCTGGTTTATGAAAGCACAATCGATTGGTAAATTGTTTTGTTTTTTGTCCGTTGTGTATAATATTTGTTAATGTTGAAAAATAATCCGTTGTATTACGTCCTTTTTTAAACCTTATTATCTTCATAATTTCAACAATCTAAGAAAGTTTACATATCCGTTATGAGCTATGGGATACAAGTGACTGGTAAGAGTATTATATAGTACAGGATGCAACATAGTTGAGATCAAGAACAAAATTTGAACACCGGTATCCCGTGAAAAAGTGATCCTTGTGAAATCGACAAAATTGGACATTTGCGATTACCAACTTCATATGTTTCTGCCCATTGAAGTGTTACGTATCGTTTATGTCAAAATGTTATATTTTTAGAAAAGGAAAAATCTAAGAAAGGAAATAAAGATGAATTTGGGCAGGAGACAAATATACTTTGTCATTTTAACTTTTCATTTTTATGATCCTGGAAGGGAGAGCATATTTTGACCGCTTTGTCCATCCGTCCGTCCGTCCCATTTCCTTGTCAAGACAAACTTACCCTTCATTTCATTTTTACACTTTGAATTTTGTCCGGATCATCTCTCTGAAACAATGAGAGATATATAAAAAACTTTGTTGGTAAATAGATCTCATGAAGTAGAAGCTCAGTGCGAAAGACCCATAATTCTGCCTTGCCTTTTTTGTGTTTCTGTCTTTTGTTTTTTCTTTACACTTTGAACTTTGTCCGGGACATAACTCTAAAACTCTATTTGAAAAGGAAACGTTTCTAAGAATTTAAAAAATTGACACATACATTTGACGTAGCCCAGTCGGCATTTATGTGCTAGGTCCTATTATTTCAAAAATAAAACTGTTATTGTTTTTTTTTTAATCTCCGATACTGTTAGATACTGTTTGATAAATATATTGCCTTTCAAACGTTGATGTGTGGATGAATTATCAAACACGATTTTCTTTTTTACAGTCTTATGAAAATGATCAACAAGTTTTGCGATGATTCAAAGGGATTGCCGTCTTTTCATCAGTTACAGTTTTCCCTGACGAGGAACTTCAGTGGCCTCGAAACCTTTAACCCGGTTGACATTTTCATCAACGAAACAAACTCAAGCGTGCCAATCAAATCTTTGGTAAAATCCTATAGATCAGAATTTCTTAATTGTAAAACAATTGATAATATATCATTCAGCGAGGGCTGGTCATTATTTAATATGTGTTTTTATGTATTTTAAAGACTGTAACATGCCCTATTTATAAATCTTACTCATCAAAATATCAAAAGAAATAGCAAGTTTCCATATAAAAGGCTCTAAAACATGTATTGCAAAATAGAATGTTGACTTGGATAGGAGTTTAACCATTACCCTCTCCTTACCATCGACATCAATGGGCTTGTGTGGTCGGTTTGACCCAAATATAATATATGAGCTTTGGATCCTTTAATAAAAAAGTAAAACCATGGGTACTTTGTTTCGAAAATTAATGAAAGAGTGACTAATTCTGGCATATAATCGGTTTTAACATATTATTTCGCTGAACTATACCTGTTTGTAAGTAATGGTATAAATTTCCATATTTGTTGTAAATATTTGTTATGAGTAATTGTTTTATGCTGGGTCTTTTTGACCCAGCTAACCCCGTCTGCTAAATATTTTATTTTCATTTTATTAATATGACACGGTTATACTATTTTATGACTCACTAAATTATATCCGCTGTTTAATTTCTAAGAGCGCAGTTTCTTACAGAATATAGCGTTTAACAAATTAAATCTGTACGACTCAGATGTCTGAAACCTCCCCCCCCCCCAAAAAAAAGCGGATAATGATAAGTTGGCTCTTTGTTCATAATGTGTCGGAATAATCATACAATTTAATCTGTTGTTTTTGTTTTCGACAGCGATACATTGTTTAAGAGTTTAGTGTAAATACCAGGTATGTGAACATTTTTTTTTCAAAGCTGTTGCTGTTTGTCTAAAATGTCTATACATATACATGGCAAATCATTCAGATAAATATTTTATTATGGTGAGAGTTTAAGGAATTTGCATCAGTTTAGGAAAGATACTGTTGTTGTGTTCAGCGTTTATTGTTTGGACAAAAGAATATTGTTCCCATGAAGGGAGTTTTGAAGTTATGTTAAATCAAGTTTACTTGTAGTGATCTTTGTTAGTCTGGTTTTTTATTTGTATTTAATTGTTTTTGTTGTTGCATTATATTATTTGAAAAGATACATTTGGTTGGATTTTATTGAGTGATTTTGTCTTGTCAAAATTCTCTTAGTAGATGCTTTGGTTTTGAAGATATTTATAAATAATGGGTTTGTTCGTTTAAGTTGTTTAAATTGTTTACTGATGTGATAAAGATGCTGCAAAGTTAACATCTTTGGTTGAATGTTTATGTTTATATTGTATCTTAGAATTGTTAAGTAATTCATTGTGTGTTTATTATTTCATTGCGATGCTATTGTTTTCATTGACCCAAGTTGTATACGACTTTGGTCTACCCTGTAATAAGAAAAGAGACAAAGTATTATTCCTTCTACCTTCAACACACAGTGAAATAATATTGCAGTTGAAAGGTCCATTTGCAAACACGTTTGACTACACTGTTAAGGAAGGTGAGAAGTTAGGGGTGTAAAACATAAATCTTCTGAAGAAATACAAAGAGCGAGAAAATTATTGCAAGTGTAGCTGAAATAGAATCAGTAAAGCGATAAGATACCCGGATTGTAAAGGTGAAACTTAAATACCCAGCAGTGGTAACGGGGTAAAGAAACATCGACAGAAGTAAATGTTAATGATAAATGTTATCACTATCACACAAACAAAAATCGTGAATCTCAAAATATATAGTAGAGTATTAATTGTGGTTAAACACAGTTGGATTTTTTCTAAGTAGGGGACACATTGTCTAGAAAATAACCGGTTGTGATGATATTAAATCTAAGGAAGGGTTAAGTAATAAAACTATAACCAATTCCAAACATCTGGAGACAGAGAAGCATCGCCTAGCGTATATTTGGAATAGTCTCAGTTGAATACTCATTTTCACGAAAGACAAATACACACATGTTAGGCTCAAGCCGCAAACAACTGATGATGAACGAAAATTATTATATTGCAACAAAATAAAGAACTCAAAATGAATTACTTTAAAACTCACAGTACAAACAACACATATTCAACAAAAATGTTACATTGACATCAGAAAACCACTTAAACCACAACAACCAATGTTTACAGACATTTTAAAATCAGTAGCATCTATTAATAAATTCTTGACGAGACAGTATCAATAAAATATACTTAGGCAAACAAGTACATTTCAATAATAATATAATGCAACAACGAACACAACTAAATACAACCGAACCAGATCAGATATGATCACCACACATGAATTGAACCGAATTCAACACGACCACAAAACAACTTTTTTAAAGAACAATATTCTCTTCTCTAAAAATGAACGCTTCACATTCAATGCGTGCCTTATCTAAACTGACGGTAACGTCCCCATAAAAACAAGCATGACATTTGTTATCTTTACGTTTTGAAATTACATGTATATAAAGAGTATACACAAATCAAATTGCGAGTAGCAACAAATTTAAAGCTTACTGTTCATTGAAACACGATATTTACACTACTCTTCAAAGCATGTAAACAATGGAAAAAAAAATACATTAACCTGCATAGTTATACATCATGTTAATATTATTCAATATGTGATATTCTAATTAAATGCCCGTTCAATAAAAACATTTCAATTGGTTTTATATTGATGTGTGGTTGTCTTTTTTTTCAGCCACAAAAAAATGACCCTGATTGTTCTTTCAGAGGTCTTATAAAGTCTTGCCTATCAGATACAAACAGGTAATAAAGTTTAGAAATTACGGACGTAATAAAGAATATCATCGCAATCGACATAAAAATATACATATTGCAAGTACTTGAATATTGTTATTGTGCCCCCACTTTGGGGGAGCATTTAGATTTACCCTTGTCCGTCCGTCCGTCCTTCCGTCCATCCGCGCGTTCTCTTTTGTTTAGCACGTAACTCAAAACGTATTTGACCTAGAGTCATGAAACTTAACAGGAATGTAAATCAGCATGTGCAGTTGTGCGCCTGGGTATTTATGTGTGGATTTCTTTAGTATTTTTAAAGTTATTGTCATTGACTTAGTAAAAATTTGCAATTTTCAACTTGTGTCGCATGTAACTTAAAAAGAATTAAATAGAGTCATGAAACCTTACGTGAATGTTGCTCAGCATATGTTGTTGTGCACCTTTTCGCTTGTGGATATATACAGTATTTGTAAAGTTATTGCCCTTGACTTAGTAAAAACCGTTTCATTATGTTCTGTTATTTGTTCCAAGTTTACAGGAATAATGATCAACATCACTAAATTACAGGAATAATGATAAACATCACTGTGAAGCTATGCACCTGGGACTTTGCATGTTGATTTTCTTTCAGTTTTGTTAGAGTTATTGCCCTTGACTTACAGTAGTATAAATTTGCAATTTTCAACTTGTTCATGCATAGCTCAAAAAGTATTTGACTTGTAGGCCTGAAAATTTACAAGAATGTTGGTAAGCATGTGTACTTATTCACCTTGGGGTTTCCTTGTGGATTTATACAGTATTTCTTAAGTTCTTGCCATTTACTTAGTAAACGATTTTAAGTTTTCAATTTGTGGCCAAGTAGTCCAAAAATATTTAACCGAGAGTTATAAGATTGACAGAACAGTGGCGTGTGGGGGTATCTGTATCCTATGGACACATTTCTAGTTTCATTAAAATTTAACGAAAACTTAGTTTTATAATCTTCCTCGTTGTCTGAACATGTATTACAAATAATACAATATTTGAAGCAGATATTATATAAAGTGAGACATGTATTGAATCAAATTCTCTTTTTAATTACAACTCGCATTGAATTAACAGATACCAAATTAGAAAAAATAATGCATTTATCAAATGTAAAATTCTAAAATTAATAGGTAAGTGATATTAAATATAAATTAAATTTGCTAGTTTTGTATTAGCTTTCCTGTGCAGGTGAGTACAAGAAATTATACTTTTTCATTTCTAATATTTTTTTTCTATGTACACAGTCGTCATTTGCTTCTGATAACTGAGAATTACAGCGCTCTTTCAACGTTTCAACAACAATTTCTTGAAAGAAAAACTCACTTAAAGCCAAAGACAATTTTCGGAAGCAGTTTTAGACGCGACCAAGAATATACACAGGTATTCTTTTATTTTCATTCCTGCCATATGTCATAAAATCGAATAAAGGTGTAATTATAATTCTAAGATAAAAGAAGCTGTTAAAATATTGTATTTTCATTGGTCTTTGGAAAAGGAAAACAGAAAAAACATGCATAGAACATGTTAAAACGTGAAAGGACATAGCAAGTTTATGTAAAAGGGAAATACTTGTGACAGATGAAGCGTGATCGCGACAAACGTTTGAAAATTAAATATTTACAAGTTAGAAACAAACGAAGTATTTACAAATGTAGTTGCAAAAGTGCCTAGATTATCCTGTATTGCTCATCAAACATATTTTATTCACTAGAAAATGCTTTTATTCATTTCAGTTTTTATATTTATTAATATTCTATCATAAGCCTAAAACATGTGTGAATTATCGTGTTGTTTTTGCTTTGACTCAATCAACAATGTTAGCAAGAGAAAATTCATATTAACGTCTATTTACAGATTCATGCTCAATAACAGAGACATTCTATGCTATAAATCCTTTGAAATTAGACCATAATTTTATGGAAGCAACAAATATAACTGTTGAATAATATAGAAAAAAAAATCATAAAATATAGTTTCATACACTAAAGTAGACAACGTCTGCCTGCAAATATGATAAGCTATTTATTTTTTAAAAAAAAGAGGGTCACAGGGTCACTGATTATTCATTTCTGTAAAACGATTTAGACATAAGGAACTATTTTTCACAAAATTTATATTTGCAATGTAAGCCAGAGTCTGCACATATTGTAAGATTTGAGTTCGTGGTTTAAAAGATGACACTGTTTTACATTTAAGGTTTGCAGAAATATCAACAGAATTAAAGTTTACATGGAAACTGGAAATACGGTAATACTGTTGAATTCTGAAAACCTCTATGAAAGCCTCTACGAAGCTCTCAATCAGTACTATGTATCTTTTGGTGGACATAAATACGTTGATTTGGGACTTGGAACGCATCGAGTCAAGTGTCCGGTGCATGATAATTTCAAGTAAGTGTTATTTTTAATTAGGTTTGCATAAGGCTTTCCAGTGTTCCTTAATTCCTATAAAATCCTACTTTTTTTCCGTTTGGCTTAAATTCCTAAAAATGGAATAATCAAAGGGCATTCCTAACAATGCCCTTTTTTTCGCTTAAATTCCTATTTCTTAAGCATCTTTTGTTATAAACATACTACTAACTTTGTAAATGTTTTCATTCAGAGAAAACAGTTAAAGGCAGTTTACCAGTGAATCAATTCGTATTAGGGTTTTTTGTTGTGACGGGATATCTAATTTACACCTGATAACTATGAAACACTGGTAGATTCATTTGCTATCACTAAACTATTGCATTAATAATGTTATCATAATTATTATTATTATTTTGTGTAAAATATGCAGAGTTTAGTCCATATCATGGGTGTTTGGGGCAATAGTTTAAAAGTTATTTTATGTTTCCTAAAATTCCTAGTTTTTATGTATTGCCCTAATATTTGCCTGAATATTTTTGTCAGAAGGTGCTGGACAGCCTGCAGCTTGCCTGAATACATTTTGATATTTATTGATTAAACTGTCATTGTGATCAATAGCAATAAATAGTGCCAAAACAACATTGTTGGAGAAACACCAATATAAATACAATTCAGTTATAGTGGGTTTTCAAATGTATAAATTATTTAAAATTACATTTAGACTGATTGTTGTGGCGGAAAAACAGACTGTCTACGACCAGTTTCCGATTCCACTTATAAATAGGCTTGAGAAACATCATTTGACATCATCTACCATGCTTGATGCTGACCAAATGGAACAGGCGGAGCTTTTGAAAGATTGGATAATGGAAAAAACAAAATTAGCACTGCCACAGGAGTTAGTTCCAATTTTTTATTATCTTGATTTACAGTATTCAACGATTACAAAGCTTAGATGCTATTAAGATTCGATAAATGAATCGAATACATTATTGTTAATTCGGTTCGTTATATACACAATTATTGAAATATGTAAAGAAGTCATATCGGTGTTATTTATATTTTTCATACTCCTACGAGACTCTGATACGTACGTATACTGGATATTTAACAATATTGAAGCCGAATGAAATGGAACTGGTCTCTAAAGAAACTGAGTATCATTCACATGCAGAATAATTATGTGATGAATAGTAATGAATAGTGCCAAAACAGCATGGTTGCAGAGTATATATGGATATGATTCTCCTTCTTGTATATTGTGTAGAATATTTTTGAAAGACCTTTCTTATAAAAAAACAAACTAAACATGATACTATTTGATGCTGTAAATCAATATTTTGTTATTATGCATTTTTGAGCACAAAATTATTCTATTTGATATATGCATGCCTATAAAAAAAACTATATTAAACGAAGCCGATTCTTAACACAATTCAAAAAGATTCAGCATTATTCTTAACAATATATTACTACCCTTTTATTTCATACCAATAGGTTTTAAGGTAAACACAATTCTCGTAAACATCTATATCAACAGATTTCGTATTCCTAAAAGTAGAGTTACTTATAAGTACAATTTGCATGTAATATGGAATTAATTGACTCTGAAAATCTAAACACGCCAGGTCGAATACATTTAGACTTTGATATAGAATCATTGGTATTTCAAAGTAAAAACGGGGCTAGACAGAGTTCAAGCAATTTGATAAGAGTTTTTTTTATGTATTCTGTATATTTAAAGGCTTAAATTGAAAAGGTTGGGTCAAATAATAATAAAATATTTGACGTTCATCTATTCCATCTTATAAGATGTAAAATGTATTTCTAAATGTGTTTGATATACTTTTGAGAACCTTTTCCTACAATCATGGTCATAAATTATAACATAACGATATTATCATTTTACCACATCTGTTATGAATTTAAAGGGTTTCTCCGAAGGAAAATGATATAGGGAAAATCATTATTGGTTACCATGATGACGCATGTTATGCTGTTGTATTAAATATATGGAATGAACTTAAATGCCAAGATGAAGATGAACATAAGCAAAAGGTAAAATGAATATAAATGTAAGTGTAAAATAAAAATATGGCAAGTTGAATTAGTTAAATCGTTTCAATCGTTTGTCTTAAAACTGCGCAATGTCATTGAGACGGTTCAGTAGAATATTTAATGTCAATTTAAAAGTTTCTTTTTGTTAATGCTTACTCAAGTATAGTGATTGGTTAAATCATATGCCACTACTTACTTGTTTATTTCGATTCCACTGACGCAGGTCATTATTGAAGCAAAGCAAATTCTTTTATGGTGCGCCACACCAGATGCTATTGTGCGATTGTGTTACAAAAATGCGACTGACGAAGGATTCATACAAGATACGTACTGGAAAGAGCAGGCTCATGAAAGTATATCGCAGTACCTAAAGTTTCAAATTTGTACAAGGAAAGGAAAACGCCTGCTAGCACAAGTAACTACCATTCCTCATATATAATGTAATCTGCTCTTGTACATATGAAACTAACTTCTTAATGTATAACAAACATACTTGCAATATAGTTTCTGTAATCAGTAGACAGAAAAGCATGGAAATAAAGAGTATCATACCCTTATATACATCTACGAAAAATTATAACTCATTCTTCTAAGGGCAAAAGTCTTCCGCCCTTGTAGTCAATTTGTATCATAAGGATACTCTATTTTCAACATTACAAGTTTCATCAATTGGCATCGTCTTTTTTCTGATAATTTACACATATTTGCAGTTTGTATGATTTCGTTTTTGGCGATATTTTAATTTTTAACCTACAGTTAAGTTTACAAGAATCGTTGGCCACATATGAGCCATTTTAACGTTAAAAGAAGTCCCCGACATAACATAAACACACAGGACTACCAGATAACTTCACAGCAGAACTATAAAAAACATTATAATGTCTATCAGAGTAACTTCTTTCGTCATAAAAGTTAATTACTATATTCAACTTAAGGCAATAAAGTAGTAGTGACGTAGGGCTGCTTTGCCGGTCATTAACTAGCTCAGGCCCTTCGTACAAATATTTGGTAGATCGTTGGGTTCAAATTGGTGAAGAAAACTTTATATTTAGGGTATTGTATTCTACTTATTTCCAAAGATTAATTACCATTTTATTAATAACAACATTTTACAAAACAATTACAATTTAACCATATGAAACACAAGATAGATATAACATCACTAACATGAAAACAATATAATATTATCATAGATAATTTATTATATATTAAAGAAATGCGTCTACACAAAGTGAGACGGAATGCAATGATGCATTACCGTACCCGTAAATGTCACTTTGTATAAACACTTATAAACGGAAAGTACATGTAACAATACAAATATAATAATAAAATAACGGGACTTTTAGTTATTGAATGACTGACGTAGAGAAGAGAAATATGTTTGACTTAATACGAGACCCAATTTGCATTTAAGGATTAAACATTGAATACAACAACCAGTATTAATTCATATTTTATTTATTAATGATAACCACCCTATGACAGTAACACCGCCAAAGAAAGAAGTACTGTATGAGAGCTACATTCATAATTTTTTTTTAAGATTTGCTTATAAAATAAAATTAAATTAACAGAAATGATAACCAATGTTATTTTGTGCAATTATGCAGTTTGAAGTGCAATGTACGGTAAATAAACAAAAATATCATTTTCATTCATGGCAATTAGAAATGACTTATCCCACTGGTACCGAAATCAAAGTTATGAAAAGTTAAATTTCTTGATAGTTTACTTTGGAGTAACTTCTTCTTCAGTTTCACCAAACATACGAACTCCTCTTCGGATGTCTCTAAATTCAAAATTTCACCATTTTTCTTGAGCCCGCTTGCGTTGAGCTCCACCCATTCATCATTTTTGGCGTATAGCTCGGTGTATGTGCGTCCGGCCGTCGCTCCCTCTGTGCGTCCGTCCAGAGTGGTACGGTCTTGATATGAAATCTTCATACCCTCTGATACCCTGTTAAAAATTCCATTTTATTTTGTTCAGTCCATTGTTTCTTCGTTTACGGAACATACATTCGTTTGCCTTTGAACCATTTACCGCTACTCATGGAATGGCACTCACGTGTCACATTGAAGATCTTATGATAACCGCCACATGAACACATCTACGGGTGTTTCAAAATTCCCAATTTTACCATAATAAGTATTACCATATTATGGTAAATGTTTTATAGTGTAACTTGCACTGTCTATTACCATCCATGAACAGTCTATTACCGTGCAACATGTTTAATGTTGTAATTTTGTGCATTCTTTAGGGATTCTCTATTTCTTTCTATTTTACAATTACAATATTGATTGCAATCCATCCATGCATGTGTCTATTTTATGATTTACCGTTAAAAACAAGAACTATGCTTACAAATTACATTTGTTTATGCAATCTTAGCTAATATAAATCTCAAACTAATAAATACATGAATATACTTGACCAGTCAGTAGACGATATTTGAGCTGTACACAAACCATGTTAAACTATCTATAAACTGATTGTAACTTAATTATTTGAATGTAAATGTCTAATGCAAATATCTTAAAGTTTGGTTAAGTGTATTTGAGAATACTGAACAGACATTATTTCACACTTAATAAAATAAATCAATGGAACAGATTTGATATCTCTAAACTCTTTATGTTTTGTCTTCAATAACAATCATGTCAAGATATAAATAAAAAAATAGTGATGAGATTCAAGTTTTGTAAAGTTTTAAATAAAAACAATATTACAATGTAGTTTTATCAATGCTAAGGTTACAACTCGAGCAAGGCTTTTGACATCTGTGCACCGTGAAGCGCTAAGTGAAGCATGTGAAATTCCAGAAAGCCAAATTTACATTTTGGAATCATTGACTACGTTTGATACCGAGCAGCAGTTCATTTCGAAAGTTCGGTATGTAGCATTAGCTATATGCAATGTATGTATTGTCAGCTGATATGTCTTCATTTAATTTCTTTTGCACCCGAAAGTGACAGATTGATAATCGTTACACAATCATCACATATATTTTAATTTAATTGCCCATATGAACATTTCTTAATGCGACAGTTCTTGGTGTTACTGCTTTATGTAGGATTAATCCCCGCGCATTGCGGCTACTTTAATAGTTATCTGATTTCATCTTTTGTAATTACTACTTACAATTGCTTAATTAAGGATAATTCTTTCATTTTCTAGAGAATTCTTGCACAAGACGAAAGACGACCCAGTTTTGATAGTCATTCAGTGTGTCACTGGTGATGAAAACGCAAATCTTATCGCCTGCGCAAGACATGGAGCTGTTGACGAATGTTCAAAAGTACAGAAAGACAAAAACAGAAAGTCTCCAGTGCATATAGTCGTCATCGTGCAAGTTACAACTTTGTCTCAGAGACACTTTAAAAGCATTCAGGTTCCCTTTAAATGATTTTATATTCTATAGAGGTACATAGGTAGTTGAACAGCATAAAACTGTAATAAAACTGTGATCGATGTAATGTGTATCCTTAGAGTAAATAAAACAATTCTAAGTGATCTGCAATTAGTGTAGATACGAGTATATAGTAAACATATCAGAAATTATTAGGTACAAATACAACATTAAGTATGCATATTTTTCATTTTAGTGTGGTGAATGGCATTCCGTTCACATTGACCACTTATACAGCGTAAGTAATGCTATGCCAGATATACCACAAATGCAAGAGAAAAGTATAGGAACGTTAATCGGTGGAGCTATAAAGAAGTCAAAAAAAGTAATTGACACTAAAACAACTCAAGACAATGAGACAAACCCAGCGTTATCCCCAGATACAAACAGTAAAAGCAGCATTATCTCAGATGAAATAAAGTAAGGACATACTTTAAAATTATCCGAATGATCTTTTATAAAATAATATTTTATGTTAAAGCTGCAGTTTGTTGTTGTAAAAATCCTGTAACGCAGCTTTTTGTATTGGTTTTATATCATACATATGATGTTAAAATGAATGATTTATCAATATTATAAGTTCCAAAAAACATTATTTGTAAAGATATTACCGAATTTATCATTCATGTAAATAAAGGGAGGTAATTCACATTTTTTTCTATAAAGTCGAAGCCAAATGTTTCAATAAGAAATGAATGCATATACTTTATTGATTACATGTAATGCCTTTAATCATTTGCAGAACATATTTAACATATCCTTGAATGCTTTTAAATTGCATAAGAAGCATAATTATATACATATTTATACACGTAAATGTTACCACTTTATTCACAACATACAGGATTTTTAATAAAGTTTGTTTATATGTATTTTAATTGGAACGAATGGTAGTCATGTTCCTGTACTAATGATGTGTAATTTCTACGAATTTAATCATATTTTTTATCATACAGATCTGTAGACTTGAAACAAATTCTGCCTATGTGTGTGCAAAGAGCAATGTCAATGGTGCAAGACACCGGTGAAGGTGGTATTGGAATTACAAACAGGATATCTCTAATTTTGAGTTGTCTTCAGCAAACAGATGGTGAATGCTTAAAAAATTTAGAAAATTAAATTTATTTAGTACTTTTATATGATCAATCATTTTTTATTCATATCGCTTTAATTAAGAAATGCCAGAATAAAGTAACCATTTTCACTAATCACATTTTTATGCCCCCACAATGTGGGAGCATATAGCGTTGCACTTGTCCGTCCGTCCGTACGTCCCGAAATCTTGTGAACGCAACTCCTCTTAAACCGGATGGCAGATTTTGCTTAAACTTCCAGGGATTAACAACCTTAGTGTGTAGATGGCAGTAAAGTAAGGAATTTTTGCTGCGACCAAATTTAACAGAATTATGGTCCTTTGTTGATTTTTTCACTATATACTATGTAGAAATTTTGTAAACGCAACTCCTCTTAAACCGGATGGCAGGTTTTGCTTAAACTTACAGGGATGAATAACCTTAAGGTGAAAATGGTAGTAAAGGAAGGAATTTTTGCAGCGACCAAATTTTACAGAATTATGGCCCTTTGTTGATTTTTTCACTATATACTATGTAGAAATTTTGTGAATGCAACTCCTCTTAAACCGGAAGGCAGATTTTGCTTAAACTTCCAGGGATTAACAACCTTAATGTGTAGACGGTAGTAAAGGAAGGAATTTTTGCTGCGACCAAATTTAACAGAATTATGGCCCTTTGTTGATTTTTAGTTTTCAACTTGTGGCACATGTAGTCCAAAAAATATTTGACCTAGAGTCATAAGATTGACAGAACAGTGGCGTGTGGGGGCATCCGTGTCCTATGGACACATTTCTAGTTGTTTTATATTATTGTCAAGGCCAAAGATAGGAACAGAAAAAAACAGAGTTAAACTTAACATTAACATCATATTTATTCTTAAAAAACAACTACGAAATCAAAAAATAGGAATGAATACATGTTTTCTTTACCTGAAAAGTTTTGAATAATTAGTGTGTTTCAATAATTGCACACAAGAGGCAATGAAGGTTCCTGAACATTCTTCAGACATGTAGATCTACTACCGGTATTAATAGTTCTTTAAACATCTTCATTAATACAGTGAATCAAGTTTTCCTTTTATTACTATTCTTAGATTTATTATTTTTAGAATAAAAGTAGTATCCTTGAATCATGAATCTAATTTTAAAATTTATTATATGTTGTTTTTTGTGGAAAAAACGTTTAACATTAACTTATAGTTTACACGCACATATTACCAACTGATGTGGTAGTTTCCTATTTGCTCATGACATGTTTTGTGGGTCTAAAGATTTTGTACTTCTCTGAACAAACGTATCACTACAGGAGATACTTCCATATACTTTAATAAAATGAAAATATACACGTGTTTCTTCAAATATTTTGTTGTGTCTACATGTCGTCTACCTATTACATTTGCTAATCGTCCGTCTGAATAAAGAGAAGTTATTATGTGTTTGTTTACAAACACGTGTATGAAAATTTGATGAATTATCTATTTTGTAAAGTTTTAAAAGGTTGTGATTGTTATTATACCCCCGCACAAGGGTATACTGGAATAAAATTGGCCGGTCGGTTATCCGGCTGCCTCTCCGTTTTTCCTTGTTCGCCCAATAACTTAATACTGCTTTGACCCGCAGTCTTCATATTTTGTATTGAGATTGTTCATGATAAGTGGATGACCCCTTTTGATTTTGAGGTTACCAGGTGAGAGGTCAACGTCACAGGGGCCTTGACTAAAAAATATTGTCCGCCAAATAACTCAAGAATCCTTTGACCCACAGTCTTCATGTTTGGCATGGAGGTTGGTCATGACCATTCGATGACCACCATTAAATTTGAGATCACTGGGTCAAAGGCAAGGTCACAGTGGCCTAGACTAAAACAATCTTGTCCGCCCAATAACTAAAGATTCCTTTGGCCCACAGTTTTTATATTAATTGAAATTGGTCATGATTAGTACAATGTAGATGACCCCTATTGATTTTGAGGTCCCAGGATCAAAGGTCAAAGTCACAGGGGCCTTAATTTCAAAAACCTTAGTAGCTTTAGAATACTTTGACTCGTAGTCTTTATATTTGGTATTGAGATTGATCATGATTTGTAGATGACCCCTATTGATTTTGAGGTCTCTAGGTTAAAGGTCAAGGTCAGAAGAGCCTTGACTAAAAAAGCTGGTTCGCTCAATAACTTACTAAATAAATGGTTTGAAAAACAGTCTTCATATTTGGCATAGAGGTTGATCATTACCATGAAGTAAACCCTTTTGATTTTGAAGTCACTGGGTCAAAAGGTCAAGGTCACAGGGGCATTTAGTTCAAAAAGCTTGTCCACTCAATTGCTTAAGAATGCTTTGATAAACAGTCTTCAAATTTAGTATTTACGTTTGTTTTGAGGTGACTGTGTCAAAGGTCAAGGTCACAAGGGCTTTTACTGCAATAACCTTGTCTGCTCAAATGCTTTTGAATGCCTGTCCACAGTGTATTGATTTTGACATTTTCACATTTGAAGCATATAGTAATGTTATCATATATTCATCATAAAACACCACCACTGCATTAATGGGGGGGGGGGGGAGGGGTATTAAAGTCATGCAATGGCAGTTTCAGTCATTTTGATTTTTGCCACTAAAAGCATATAGAATACATAATGTAGCAATGCACTGGCTTTCTACACTCAAATTTGGCTGAAAGGTTGTCCTTGGGCTTTAAATGACCACTTTTGAATCTGATAAAGTGGTACGCGGGGGTATTCACGCCATGACAGTGGCAGTTTATGGTTAATTTAAAAGATTTCTTTATAAAAGAAATTAGACGTTGTATGCAGATAACCACAATTCAATATCAAATAGATATCAGAGTATAAATGAAGAAGGACCTGAACATGATTATAAATCTTATTACATTCAAATTAAAATGTATCTGTGTTTCAGACTTTGCGATTGGAATTGGACGATTGCTAGGCTTGCTATTGTTAGAGAAAGAGAATTCATCTTTTCCAATAAAAGTACAGAATTGGCTTCCACTTAAAGCTGCTGCAATCAACATGATTCAGAAGACAGGAACATTAAGGTTTTAATTTTCTTGTAAATGTATTATACTAAATGTCATATAATTGTAACTGTTTAAGAAAGTAAATCTTTAATATTGACACACCAGACTTATTTATTATCCCCCGCCGAAAAGGCGGCGGGGGATATAGAAATAGTCTCCGTCCGTCCGTCCGTCCGATCTTCCGTCCGACATTTTTGTCCGGAGCATATCTCAAATAGTATTTGAGGTATCAACTTGAAAACTTCATAGGTGGATAGACCTATTGAGGAGGAGTGCAGTGCACAAGAATGATAACTCTACCCTGCATAATTTTTGAGTTATTGCCCTTTGTTATTTTTCAAAATTAATTTCTGTCTAGAGCATAACTCAAAAAGCCTTTGAGATATCAACATGAAACTTCATAGGTGCATAGATCTCACTCAGGAAGTGTGCAGTGCACAAGAATGATAACTCTACCTTTCATAATTTTTGAGTTATTGCCCTTTCTTATTTTTCATACTTAATTTTTCACCTGAGTGGAGCATAACCCAAAAAGTGTTTGAGATGTCAACATGAAATGTCATAGGTGGATAGATCTTATTGAGGAGGAATGCTGTGCGCAAGAATGATAACTTTTCCCTATATATTTTTTGAGTTATTGCCCTTTGTTCTTTTTCAAACTGTTTTGTCGGGAGCTTATCTCAAAAAGTATTTGAGGTATCAATTTGAAACTTCATAGATGGATGGATCTCATTAAGGAGGAGTGCAGTGCTCAAGAATGATAACTCTACCCTGTATATTTTTTTAGTTATTGCCCTTTGTTATTTTTCAAAATTAATTTTTGTCCAGAGCAAAACTCAAAAAACCTTTGAAATATCAACATGAAACTTCATAGGTGCATAGATCTAACCCAGGAGGTGTGCAGTGCATAAGAATGATAACTCTACTTTTCATGATTTTTGAGTTATTGCCCTGTGTTACTTTCATACTTAATTTTTCACCAGAGTGGAGCATTACTCAAAAAGTGTTTAAGATGTCAACATGAAATATCATAGGTGGATAGATCTAATTGAGGTGGAATGCTGAGTGCAAAAATGATAACTTTTCCCTATATAATTTTTGAGTTATTGCCCTTTGGTTTTTACATACTATTTTGTCGAGAGCTTATCTCAACAAGTATTGGAGGTATCAACTTGAAACTTCATGAGTGGATTGATCTCATTGAGGAGGAGTGCAGTGCACAAGAATGATAACTCTACCCTGCATGATTTTTGAGCCCTTTGTTATTTTTCAAAATTAATTTTTGTCCAGAGCATAACTCAAAAGGCCTTTGAGATATCAACATGAAACTTCATAGGTGCATAGATCTCACTCAGGAGGTGTGCAGTGCACAAGAATGATAACTTTACCTTTCATAATTTTTGAGTTATTGCCCTTTGTTATTTTTCATACCTATTTATTCACCCGAGTGGAGCATAACTCAAAAGTGTTTAAGATGTCAACATGAAATGTCATAGGTGGATAGATCTTATTGAGGAGGAATGCTGTGCACAAGAAAGATAACTCTTCCCTATACAATATTTGAGTTATTGCCCTTTGTTATTTTTCATACTATTTTGTCGGGAGCTTATCTCAAAAAGTATTTGAGGTATCAACTTGAAACTTCATAGCTGGATAGATTTTACTGAGAAGGGGTGGAGCACACAAGAATGATAACCTACCCTGCATTATCTTTAAGTTAATGCCCTTTGTTATTTTCAGCCATCAGTATTCACATAGGTTTCAAATCTGTAATAACTTCAGCCATCAGTTTTCATTTCCAAAAGACCTCTTAAAATAGAATTATTCTGCTCTACTACATATACATTCTTCCAATGAGTAAACACATTCGGCGGGGGATGGCCATGTTGACATGGCTCTTGTTAATCATTATGTTTCTTCAAAAACGAATCTTTAATAACCATAAACGATACTTTATAAAAGTACAGGTTATATGCCATTTCAATTAAAAAAGTAAGACTTAAATTAATTCGAATGGTATAGCTATATTTTATATAGTAATATTAAGAAACATATCGTTTATGTAATATATACGAGGTATGGTCAAAAAGTTCTCGGCCCGATATACGTCTAGCCACTACACTGACATTTACACACCACACATCGATACAGATATCCTATTGAAGTCATGAAGTACCTCTGTAAGAAAGGGTTGTCCAAAATGGGAATCAATGAAGACTTCATGGATACACTTGGGAAAGATTTCCCATAGCACTGTGAAAAAATGGGCTTCTGAATTTAAGAGGTGCAGGGATTGCATTGGAGATGATGAGCGTCCTGAGCCATCAAAAGAGGCCACAAACGATGAAACTGCCGAAGCTGTGCACGATCTGGTCATGTGCGACAGAAGGCAAGACCTGCAAAGCATTGCTGGGGGAAGTGGGTATAAGCTTTTGTTCAGTTCAGGAAATTCTGACTTGTCTATGGCATGTCAAAGGTGATGGATCCCCAGACAGTTGACTGGCGACCAGAAACGGACCAGGCTTGACATTTCAAGATTTCTTGTGTCTCACTACGAGGATGAACCTGATTTTATCTACCGGATCGTATCTCAGGTGAAATATGGGTGCATCACTTCGATTCAAAATCCAAAAAACAGCTTGCAGTGGAAGCACCCTGGCTCATCCCCTCTGAAGAAATTCAAGAAGGTGCCATCACAAGGAAGGTGATGGCTTTCCTTTTTGGGTAGTCAGAGGATTATAATAATTGACTATCTTGAGCAAGGTCGTACCAGTACGTACTATGCAGACGCATTCAGACGTCTGCGTCAAGAAATCGCGCGTAAAGGGGGCAAACCGACTCAAGGCATTCTGCTCCCCATATCCCCCTCTTGATTTGGCTCCCTCTGACTTTTACCTGTTTTCGAAACTGAAAAACCAATTTTCATGGTAGACGTGGTAGGCAATGAAGGTGTCATGGAGGTGGGCAATGAGTTCTTTGAGGACCAAAATATGGAGTTCTATTTTGAAGGATTAAACAAGTTGGAGCACAGGTGGGCAAAATGCATTGATAAAGAGGGCGATAATTTTGAAAAGTAAGACCATTAGTTGGGTTCTTTAACTACCGGAAGTACATTGTGCCTGAGAACTTTTTTGATCAATCCTCGTATAAATAAAGTGTAAAAAACAAACAAAACAAATGTGTTTTTGCGGCGGCCTGGATATAATCTTAGTATTTATTGTGTCATTTTATATGATAGACGAGCTTGTCTGCAGATATTTGAAAACGAACTTTCACCAATATTGGCGGGACTTATTGCTGTGCTGGATACAAATAAGAACATAAACATACTTGGGGAAAGAGACACTTGGCAATTTAATCTTTGGATAAGAATGCTAAACAGACATGAAATATTTGATTTAACGGTGAATATGATTATATTTTTATTGTAGCTATTGATTTTACATAGCAGTAATGAAAACATTTTCTTATTTATTGGTATCGGTAGTCAAATGAAAATATACCTAAAGGAGGTGAACATTATTCTACCGTTCAAAATGCTAAGTACACATGTTTTTATTCAATACCGAATCATGTGTTTTTACGATATTTAAGAATTTAATTTAAGAGTAATACATGTACATATATTACACAAGTATAATTATAAATGCATAGTTAATAATTTATTTATGCAAACTTAAGACACGAATAAAGCAATAAAGATTGCGATTAATTGAAAATGGAAGAAATTATGTTGCCTATAATTAGAAGCTATTGTTAACTCAATTTTGGAGTTCAGAATTGCAAAGTCAATTAAATAACCAGTAACTAGTACTACTGGTGACAACGGACAATATCTTGATCCGTTTGCAGAGACGCAATAGATATGATATCGTATCAAACATATAGTGAAACGGTAAAACTTTTCATGCCTTGATATTTGTCGTGATTCATGGCGTTAAATGTAAATTTATAAAGTCATATATATAATGATCAGTATAGACACTTGTACGAAAGACCGGTAGGGCCATTTCAACTTCATGAATTCCCGATTTCATCTTCATGAATTCACAATTTAAACTTCGTGAATTCCCGTTTTCAACATACGTAATTCACGAATTCACGATTTCAACTTCACAAATTCAACTTCGTGAATTCACGATTTCAACTTTCGTGAAGTTGAAATCGTGAATTCACAAAGTTGAAATCGTGAATTCACGAAGTTGAATTCATGAAGTTGAAATCGTGAGTTCATGAAGTTGAAATCGTGATTAAAATCATGAATTCATGAAGTTGAAATCGTGAATTCGTGAAGTTGAAATCGAGAATTCATGTAACTGTAATCGGGAGTTCATGAAGTTGAAATGTCCTTACCGGTCTTTCGTACACTTGAACGTTAAATGACTATTTCAAACAGTACCAGGATGTTGTTAGAGAAAGCAAAGACACTGAACAGGCAGATTTTATTGTCTATGGTACCGGATTTGAGGGATATATCTTTCAAAGTAAGATGCCGTTTTCATGGTTGATATACAGGAAAATATCTGAAATACTGAAATGTGATTCAACGTTCCTAGGTCAAATTGATGGTAAGCGCATTTTGTACTACTATTTTTTTTTACATTTTGTAAGTGAGCTGGTTCATCTAAGACAATAACTGTCACAAAGAAATGAAATTCTTTTAGAGAAATGTAAACAAACAACAACGTTAACCTAATGAAAAGTTAAAATTTACTAGCTGAATTTTATTGCGTTTGTGAGGTGAAGGTTATCTACAAAGACTTCTCTTACATCTCTTGTCAGCTGCATAAGCTGTATAAAATTCTAAACTTGTTGAAATTATGAATCACAATGGGCCACACAATAAATAACTGAATAAACTTTTAGATTGCTGAATTTATTTAATGAACTTGTTCAGCCTCCTAACTGTGGAACTGTCCATTACTAACAATATGAATATAAGGATAAAAGTGTTAAGATTGTAGGACAACAATACAGGGCTGCAAGTAAGATACTTAGATCCCTTGACGTCTCGACCCCTTAGGATATTAAGATGACTTCTAGACCCCTTGACTTAAAGACCCCTTTTAACATGACTTTTTGACCCCTAGTGGGTAAGACATTTCAATGTTTGTACAGAAGGCCAGTAAGATATTTCAAGAAATAGTTTAAGGCAGATAGCAAATATTTTAAATATTTTCCTTTAAAGATCAAAACAAAGGTTTGAAAAAGGGAAACAACAACAAATTGGCATTGTTTTCAATTAGTTTAATTTTATGTTACACAACCGTAATAGTATACATTGTATATATCTTTTAAAGCTTGGACATAATTATGCCCCCATTTCGAAGAAAAGGGGGTATATTGCTTTGCACTTGTCGGTCCGTCGGTCCGTCGGTCTGTCGGTCCGTCGGTCCGTAGACCAAATGGTTTCCGAGTGATAACTAAAGAACCCTTAGGCCTAGGAACTTCAAACTTGGTATGGTGATTGGTCATGACCAGTAGATGACCCCTATTGATTTTGGGGTCAAGGGGTCAAAGGTCAAGGTCACATTGACCTTGAAAGCAAAAACGGTTTCCGATCAATAACTAAAGAACCTTAAGGCGTAGGAACTTCAAACTTGGTATGGTGATTGGTCATGATCAGTAGATGACCCCTATTGATTTTGGGGTCAAGGGTCAAAGGTCAAGGTCACATTGACCTTTTAAGCAAAAACGGTTTCCGATCAATAACTAAAGAACCTTAAGGCCTAGGAACTTCAAACTTGGTATGGTGATTGGTCATGATCAGTAGATGACCCCTATTGATTTTGGGGTCAAGGCGTCAAAGGTCAAGGTCACATTGACCTTGTAAGCAAAAACGGTTTCCGATCAATAACTAAAGAACCTTAAGGCCTAGGAACTTCAAACTTGGTATGGTGATTGGTCATGATCAGTAGATGACCCCTATTGATTTTGGGGTCAAGGGGTCAAAGGTCAAGGTCACATTGACCTTGAAAGCAAAAACGGTTTCCGATCAATAACTAAAGAACCTTAAGGTGTAGGAACTTCAAACTTGGTATGGTGATTGGTCATGATCAGTAGATGACCCCTATTGATTTTGGGGTCAAGGGGTCAAAGGTCAAGGTCACATTGACCTTGTAAGTAAAAACGGTTTCTGATCAATAACAAAAGAACCCTTAGGCCTAGGAACTTCAAACTTGGTATGGTGATTGGTTATGACCAATCAGATGACCCCTATTGATTTTTGGCTTTAAGGGGTCAAAGGTCAAGGTCACATTGACCTTGTAGGTAAAAACGGTTTTCGATCAATATTGAAAGAATCCTTAGGCCTAGGGACTTCAAACTTGAGATGGTGATTGGTCATGATCAGTAGATGACCCCTAATGATTTTGGGGTCAAGGGGTCAAAGGTCAAGGTCACATTGGCCTCTTAGGTAAAAACGGTTTCCGATCAATAACTAAAGAACCCTTAGGCCTAGGAACTTCAAACTTGGTATGGTGATTGGTCATGACCAGCAGATGACCTATTGATTTTGGGGTCAAGGGGTCAAAGGTCAAGGTCACATTGACCTTGTAGGTAAAAACGGTTTCCTATCAATTAACTAAAAAACGCTTAGGCCTAGGAACTTCAAACTTTGTGTGATGATTGGTCATGACCAGCAGATGACCCCTATTGAGTTTTAGGTGAAGGGGTCAAAGGTCAAGGTCACATTGACCTTGTAAGTAAAAACGGTTTCTGATCAATAACTCAAGAACGCTTAGGCCTAGGAACTTCAAACTTGGTATGGTGATTTGTCATGACCAGCAGATTACTCCTATTGATTTTGGATCAAGGGGTCAAAGGTCAAGGTCACAATGACTTGTAAGTAGAAACGGTTTCTGATCAATAACTAAAGAACGCTTCGGCCTAGGAACTTCAAACTTGGCATGGTGATTGGTCATGACCAGCAGATGACCCCTATTGATTTTGGGGTCAAAGGTCAAGGTCACATTGACCTTGTATGTCAAAACGGTTTCTGATCAATAATAAGAGAACCCTTAGGCCTAGGAACTTAAAACTTGGGATGGTGATTGGTCATGACCAGCAGATGACCCCTATTGGTTTTTGGGTCAAAGGTCAAGGTCACATTGACCTTGTAGGTAAAAACGGTTTCTGATCAATTTACTAAAAACACCTAGGCCTAGGAACTTCAAACTTTGTATGATGATTGGTCGTGACCAGCAGATGACCCCTATTGAGTTTTGGGTCAAGGGGTCAAAGGTCAAGGTCATGACCAGTAGATACTTTATAACCCTTATTAATTGTTTGATCACTGGGTCAGAAGTCATGCATAATAACCTTATCACATGACTAATTGGCTGCTGATAGGGGGCATACATGTTTTACAAACATATCTTGTTTATATTAAATTAAGTCCCAGACAAAAGTGAAGGAATTATGATAATAACGCGCGCTTGCGTTGCGTGTCATTCATATCTACAAATTCTATAAATTTGTAAGGATATAGTTTTTTTTCAGTGTGAAACACATGTATGTTTTATTTCCCTTCGTTTCCAGATTTTTATTGGCGATACTATTATACATGTCTACTTAATTATTGTAATATATACTTGCCTGTATTTCGAAGGTGCGATTATCTCATTTTATGGCATTTACATTATGAAAAAGAAACCAAAAGACCAATCGCTCAACAATTCATTGGTTGTGATTTGTTCATGTTTCCGACAAACATGTCTTGAGAATTATGTTTAACAACAACAATGTATATAATGATATGTAGTATTGTAGTTATATAGACTGAAAAAAAGATATACATGTAGTCTCATTTATTTCTTATATTGTATTTTTAACATAAAAAGTGAAGTTAATTTTCAAAATCCCCTTTTTATGCCCCTGAAGGGAGGCATATTCAAATCGCACCGTCTGTCCACCCGTCCGTCCGTCCGTACGTACGTACGTCCCGAATTCGTGTCCGGCCCATAACTTCGTTATTTGAAGTCGGATTTAACAACTATTTCACAGAAACGATCACCATATTAAGATGTCGTGTCGCGCGCAAATTTGGGTCGCTACCTTAAAGGTCAAGGTCACAGCATGACCTTGCAGGAAAATTGTGTCCGGCCCATAACTTAGTTATTGGAAGTCTGATTTTACAAATATTTCACAGAAAATGATCACCATATTGAGACAACGTGTCGCGCGGAAATTTGGGTCGCTACCTTGAAGGTCAAGGTCTCAGCATGACCTTGCAGCAAAATTGTATCTGGCCCATAACTTCGTTATTTGAAGTCGGATTTAACAACTATTTCACAAAAATAACACCATATGGAGACGACGTGTCGCGCGCAACATTTGGGTCTCTACCTTAAAGGTCAAGGTCACAGCATGGCCTTGCAGCAAAATCGTGTCCGGCCTACAACTCCGTTATTTGAAGTCGGATTTTTAAACTATTTCACATAAATGATCAAGATATTGAGAGAATGTGTCGCGCGCAACAATAGGGTCGCTACCTTGAAGGTCAAGGTCACAGCATGACTTTGCAGCAAAATTGTAACCGGCCCATTACTTTTTTATTTAAAGTCGGATTTAAAAACTTTTTCACAGAAATGATCACCATATTGAGATGACGTGCCTGGCGCAAGTCCTGTAGATAGATCTCATTGAGTAGAAGTGCAGAGTAGAGACCAGTAACTCTGCCTTGCCCAAGTTTGGAATTATCACACTTTGAACTTTGTCTTGGACATTACTCTGAAACTACAAAAGATATACTTTTTTGTGTCCAAAACCTAGTCGGGGAGCATCACCCGGTTCAACCGGCTCTTGTAATTTTCTCATTAACTGATAGATAAGAAGTAATTTCTTTTTGTAAATTGACGAAATTAAATTTAGGTAAACTTTCCTTGTTTGATTTTTATTGGACTACTTTTCCATTCAAGGTAGTACAATATTGCTTTGGACATGGTTATTGATTTATTTATAGCTTATAGAAAAATGTTGTTTCAAATCTACAATAATAAACACCTATTTAATCACATTAAAAAATCGTTTTGTTCGCGACGAGAAACCAAATGTAATAAATTGATCGATGAATGATATATTGAAAGCCTTTGAATACAATCAGGAACTATTTTGTCTTTCTGAAGTGTGCATTATCTCTTTATTGTTACATTTTAAAAAATCTTTGTAAGGTACTGCAAGCAGGGCAGTTTTCGGGGACTCGCCGATCATGGAAGAGCTATCGACCGTCCCATCGGAGAATCATGAACAAGCTATTGATTGTTACATTGTTGACTTTGTTAACATGATTTATTCATCGAGAGAAGATGAAGAAATGACTGTACGTATACAAATGGATTGAAGTGTGGCATTAGAAGCTTTGTATATTAAATATAGTTTACTGAGCTTTTTTTCAGTTCTTTTGTTTCTGTAATGATTATATAAGAAATAAAGTAACCGAAATGAAATCCATTAATTTTATACTTGATAGGAATTCAGATTAACTGTAAGAACACCATTTTTGATTTTGAATAAAAACATACCTCTGTTTTGGTAGCATGAATTAAACGCATTAAGAAATAAACAACAGTATTATGGTTCATTTTCTTTTACAGTATAAAGCCACAATGTTTACACAATAAACCATATTGTTTTCTTTTCGAAGTCTTGCAACATACTCTCTTTTGTTTTTCCCCGCCGATTAATTAAGAAATAGGGTATTAAAATGACGTTGTCCGTCCATCTGTCTGGAGCCATTTCTAGGAAATGTTGTTTTTTAATTGCTTAAATGTTATTTCACACACACGCACGCACGCAGGCACGCAGGCACGCACACACGCACACACGCACACACACACACACACACACACATATATATATATATACGTCGCCGCGTAAATACTGTTTATTGGGCACGTTTACACCAACGCTGGCTAAGACAACAATGAAATAGCGTTCTTTTATCTGACGAGTCGAGGTTATCGATTCATCAGGCTGATGGCAGGGTTCGAATAAACCGTAGGAGAAATTAGCTTTATGCGGTCTGCTACGTGCTTGAACGAGATCGTTTGGGTTTAGGCGTTCTGTATTGGTCAAGGGCAGGCATTGTACATGGCTTTCATACTCGTTGTCATCGATAGTTACTTGAATGTCCAACGCTATCCAGATGAAATTCTTTTGAGGCATGTTATCCCACTGTTTCATATGATGTCATTATCAATATTTAAAACATAATACTGCCACAATACATATGACTATGGGCAATGTCAATTTTCTCCGTGCCAATAGCAGTGCATTTATCCATGACTTACCTGCTAAAAGCCCTCATCTAAATTCCGTCGAACACCCTTGAAATAAATTAGACCGGCGTGTTAGACGTCACCCTATTGCAATATCAAACGTCATTCATTTAAGATAAGCCTTAATTCAGAAATGAAACAACATTCTATAAGCCGAAATCAATCCGCTGATCTGTTCCGTGTGCCAAAGATTCTAGGTAGCCTAAATGCTGAAGTTGATCATACCAATCTTAATTTGTGATTTTGTTGGGCGACCCCTTCCGCATTTTTTGAATAAACCCTCAGCAATATTTTATTAACAAAAATCATAATCTTATACTCTTTCAATACACATACATCTACTTTAATCCTGACTTTCATATTTGTGTTTATCTGCTCTTAAATACAGTTCAGTATTATTATAGGCACTTTTCAATAGTATTGTTTTTATCATTATTCCCTTCTATTTTATTTACTTTGAGTGCAAAAGCGCTAATGTCAAGTCATTTATGTCTAACGCCGGGTGATATCATTTACAACAAATATCCTTTTTTAAATATGTGACAGGTTGTATGTGATATGATCAAGCAGGAAATGACAATAATCAACAGGGACGATGCTAATGAGCTACCATTGTATGTCGCACTTATAAATGTACACTATGCATACACAACACTTTCTTCGAAACTGAGTTACTTTCGGGAAATGAACCATGTCTGGAAGGAATGCAGCGCTGAGTTATTATGTATTTCTGGACTCCCAGAATCACACATATTGCAAGAACGACATTGCACTGATCGAGTAAGTCAGATTTTAGACTTATAAGACATCAATTGTTCACTTGCTTACTTTACATTAACGTTTTTTCCGAATGTTAGAAAAAGAATTTCTGATTTATTATCTTTTCATTTATAAGAGAACACTTAAAGCCTTGTTTGGATATATATTCATTATTTTAACAGTATACTGTCACAGCGACTACATTATTTTGAAGAAATGACACAACAGATTATGTTATTAATCATTTTACAACAACTCAATCACCATGTTAGATAGGACGAAATGGTTGAAAAATTCAAGTCATGTTGACAAGGAGCAGTTTCTTACATTAGCAGCGCTAGTGGCAATTAATAAAACGTCTTTGTGTATTCATTTTCTGCAAATTATGAATACCCCACAAAGAAATAGTTTTTGTTTTTTTGGGGGGGGGGGGGGGGGTATATATAGGAATCACTTTGTCTCGTCGCGTCCCGCTATCTAAAAAAACTTTTTAAGGTATTGACCTGAAACTTTAAACATCATTGCAATATCACAGTTCAAGTAACTTTGTACAGATTAATAAATCTGATAGTTAGTTTGACAGAAGTATGCCTCTTTTGAAGTTAGAACTTAACTAAGAATGTACCAAAATTAGCCATAGCTTTGTTATAAATGAATAAAATTTCTTCAGAGTTTGACACAACAATCCTATGGAATATATTTTAAACATTATATACTACGAGTATATTGATTTTGAGTCTTAAATGTATTAGACTTTCAAATTATTTTTATCTATTTATTTATTTATTTATTTGTTTGCGGTAACTTATTATAATACCATCTCAGGAACGCGAAGAACTATATTATAGGGTTAACGCACGTTTTTCCGTGTTATAACGTCTGCAGAGTCCCGAGGAATGGTTGGTACCCGAGCCCGGTATGGCGAGGGCTCCAACAGTTCCGAGGGACTCTGCAGACTTTATTACACGAAATAAACGTGCGTTAACGTTATTATATCATAAAATTTTAAAACAGATTCATGATGTCGATTTAATACAAAACACATATATTAAATCCTTGTGCTTGGATGGTATTTATCCAATTCTACATGTTTTACGTATGCGTTTTATTTTTCCGGGGCCGGGCCAACATCTTTGGAAATACAAATGCCCAGAACCGAACGAAATTTCGAATTTTAATTGATTTAACAAAGCTTAATATTGGAGATTTATTAACTTAAGAAAATATACACATTAAATTACTCTACACAAGACAGAACATGACCGTCAGAAATTCCTAAAATTATTTCTGATTGACGGTAGAAAAATGATCAATGACATCAGAATCGGTTTTTTTCAAGCACACAAGTTTATAAAAAATCAGGCACTAAACATTATTCTCTCAAAGAAATATTAAGAGCATTTATCAATATAAACATCAATAAAACAACATTTTCTCATATTCATTTTGTGTTATCTTGTTTTGTAAGTTACTCGGAGGGTTTGTTTACATTGACAACGGTCCGTTTCTTAGAAAGGGCGACAACTAAGATTAGCGGCGATGTCTATACGCCGTATTTCCGGCATAGTTACTTGAATGCTGCTCGCCGTTACTTATGCGATTGATGCCCTCGAATCAATAATTTCAATATAACAAAGCGCATGACTCTTTGGACAACAAGGCCAAATCGTCATTTATTTTGTTTGTTTACTGGGCCCTGTATGTATTGCGCATAGGTAAAACTGGGCTATAACAAGAGCGCGTGACTATGTTAACACATGGTTTTGGTCCCGGTATAACATGGGCAAAATAGGGAAAAATAGCCGATTTTATGCTATAATTAAGGTTATTACTTAAAATTTGAAACATAAATGCAATATTACAGTTCCCGTATCTATATCAAGATTTATAACTACGATAGTTAGTGTGACAGAATTATGCCCTTTTAACTTAGAAAATAGCCAAGAATGTACCAAAAGAGCTATAGCTTTGTTATTAATTAATGAAAATTTATCATACGGACACAACAATTGTTTGGAATAGAATTTCAACTTTATAATATGTTACAAAGCTCAAATCTCAAGAAGAAATATTTTCCGAATTATCTCCCCTGGAACTTAAAATGTTCGTTAAAAATAATTTTACTCTGACTTCTTTATTTCTGAAGGGATCAACTTCAAATCAAGAAATTATGTTGAAAATGTTTTTATTTTTTTAAACTTTTTTAAGTTCTTCATTTCTTAAAGTATCTATTTCCACATCATGTGTGGCAAGATTCATAAAATAAAAAAGAAAAAACAACTGAATCCCCAAAGAAAGCCCAACAAGGCACAATTGAAAATGTCGCAGGCTCGGTCATAACTCTAGCATGAATATTTCCAAAATTATTCCTCCTTGAACGTGGATTTTTTTGGTTATAAAAATGTTTTGTTGTTCGTATTTTTTGCTTCTTTACTTCTTTATACTTTAAACTTTAGATTTAAGTTTCATACTTCCATACAATAATAATAATATGAAAGGTTTATAACTCTATCATCAGTATTTCGAATTATCTTTAAACTCATAATTTTCCTTATTTTCTGTAACTTCTTTATTACCTCAGAAATTTAATTCAAATTTCAAAAAAAAGTTTGTTATCAGCAGCTTTTCAATATGTGATAAGATTTATAATCAATGTGTTATGCTATCTCGTTTATATGAAAAATGTATATGTTTTAAGTATTATATTTCTTAATATAAATGGTATCTACTGTAGACTTAAGATACTTGTTTTTGTCATTACATTATTTATGACAAAGGGTCATAACTCTATCATCTTAAGAGTTATTTTCTCTTTGAACTCTTAATTTTACAGTAAAAACTTTTTTACTTAATACACTTTTTGCTCTATTCATTTTTGTTACTGAAAGAATTGACTTCAGATTTCATATAGCAATATCTGTTTAGTTTTTATATATGGTCACATTCATATAATGTGGTGCAAAAATACTGAGCATCTGAGTGGTGCTTGATACTGATATATAAATATATCATATTTTTTCATAATTTTGTCGTCATTTACTGTGTCCAGTATTAAATGAGTCGAGCCTCGCTGTCTCCTGTGACAGCTCTTATTTATTCAAGTGTTTTTTGAAAAATACTTACATAAGTGAAAATTACCACATGCTAAATAAGGATTTCGCATTTATAAAAAAAAAATAAAAAAATTAGATTATATTTTATAGATTATGTAATTCATAGGTCGCTGACCTGTCTTATTCTAATTTGCAATAAGAATTTCACCACAACAGATTTGTTTAAACAAGAGGGCCATGATGGCCCTAGATCGCTCACCTGACTTATCAAACTCATCCAAACAATTACCTAGACAAGCATTCTGACCAAGTCTCATGACAGGTGAGTCAAAAATGTGACCACTACAGTATTAACAAGGATTATGCATATTTGAGCAGTGCGACCTAGTTTTTTACCCGGGTGACACATATTCAAACTTGACCTAGAAATCATCAAAACAAACTTTCAGACCAATTTCCAGGATACTTGGATCAAAATAGTAGCAACTAGAGTGTTAACAAGATTTTTCTATTTTTAGCTCCGGTGACCTAGTTTCACATGTGATTTCGAACTCATCCAAGCAATTACCTAGACAAGCATCCTGACCAAGTTTGATGATAATTGAGTCGAAAATGTGACCACTAGAATGTTAACAAGGTTTTTCCATATTTAGGCGGTGTGACCTAGTTTTTCATCCAAGATGACCCATGTTTGATCTTGACTTAGAAATCATCAAAACAAACTTTCAGACCAATTAACAGAATATTTGGATCACAACAGTAGCCACTAGAGTGTTAACAAGATTTTTCTATTTTTAGCTCCTGTGACCTAGTTTTTCATCCGAGATGTCCCATGTTCGATTTATTCCCAGCAATGACCTAGACAAGTTTCCTGACCAAGTTTAATGACAATTGAGTCAAAATTGTGACCACTAGAGTGTTAACAAGGTTTTTCTATTTTTAGCTCTTGTGACCTACTTTTTCATCCGAGATGACCCATGTTCGAACTCATCCGAGCTATCACCTAGACAAGCATCTTGATCAAGTTTGATGATGATTGATGCAAAAATGTGACCGCTAGAGTGTTAACAAGGTTTTTGTGTCGCCTTGAAAAATGCGACATATAGGGGTTACTTTGTCGGCGGCGTCGTTGTCGTCGTCGGCGTCGTTGTCGGCGTCCCCTAAAGCTTGTCCGGAGCATAAGTCAGTCATTATAAGTTGGATTGATTTCAAACTTGGTATGCATGCTTCTCATAATGACCCGAAGTGCAGTGCACAAGAACCGGTACTCTGTACTTTTTATTTTTTGAGTTATTGCCTTTTGTTTATTTTCATACTTTATTTTTGTCCGGGCCATTTCTCCTTAAGTATAAAATCTATGGACTTGAAACTTCATAGCATGATAGATCTCATTAAGAAAAAGTGCAGTGCACAAGAACTGGTACTCTGCATTTCTTATTTTTTGAGTAATTGCCCTTTGTTTATTTTTATACTTTATTTTTGTCCAGGCCATTTCTCCTAAAGTATAAAAGCTATGGACTTGAAACTTCAAAGGATGATAGATCTCATTAAGAAGAAATGCAGTGCACAAAAATTGGTACTCTGCATTTCTTTTTTTTTTGAGTTATTGCCCTTTGTTAATTTTCATACTTTATTTTTGTCCAGGCCTTTTCTCCTAAAGTATAAAAGCTATGGACATGAAACTTAATATGATTATAGATCTTATTAAGAAGAAGTGCAGTGCCCAAGAACTGGTACTCTGCATTTCTTATTTTTTGAGTTATTGCCCTTTGTAATTTTCATACTTTATTTTTGTCCAGGCCATTTCTCATAAATTATAAAAGCTTTAGACTTGAAACTTAAAAGGATGATAGATCTTATTGATAAGAAGTGCAGTGCACAGAAACTGCTGATCTGCATTTGTTATGTTTTGAGTTATTGCCCTTTGTTAATTTTCATACTTTATTTTTGTCCAGGCCATTTGTCATAAATTATTAAAGCTTTAGACTTGAAACTTAATTGGATGATAGATCTTATTGATAAGAAGTGCAGTGCACAGAAACTGCTGATCTGCATTACTTATCTTATGAGTTATTGCCCTTTGTTGATTTTCAAATTTCATTTTTGTCTTTGCCATTTCTCTTAAAACTATATTGTTCACAAGGCGACACATCCGACTCGCGGAGTTCTAGATCTATTTTTAGCTCCGGTGACCTACTTTTTCATCCGAGATGACCCATGTTCAAACTCATCCGAGCTGTCACCTAGACAAACATCTTGACAAAGTTTGATGATGACTGATGCAAAAATGTGACCACTAGAGTGTTAACAAGGTTTTTTCTATTTTTAGCTCATGTGACCTACTTTTTCATCCGAGATGACTCATGTTCAAACTCATCCGAGCTATCACCTAGACAAGCATCTTGACCAAGTTTAATGATGATTGATGCAAAAATGTGACCGCTAGAGTGTTAACAAAGTTTTTCTATTTTTAGCTCCGGTGACCTACTTTTTCATCAGAGATGACCCATGTTCAAACTCATTCAAGCTATCAACTAGATAAGCATTCTGACCAAGTTTGATGATGATTGATGCAAAAATGTGACCGCTAGAGTGTTAACAAGGTTTTTCTATTTATAGCTCCGGTGACCTAGTTTTTCATCTGAGATAACCCATATTCGAACTCATCCGAGCTATTATCTAAACAAGCATCCTGACAAAGTTTGATGTCAGATTGGGTCAAAAATGTGACCACTAGAGTGTTCACAAGGTTTTTCTATTTTTAGCTCCCGTGACCTAGTTTTTCATCAGAGATGACCCATGTTCGAACTCATCCAAGCAATTGACTAGACAAGCAATCTGACCAAGTTTGATGAAGATTGGTTCAAAAATGTGACCACTAGAGTGTTCACAAGGTTTTTCTATTTTTAGCTCCGGTGACCTACTTTTTCATCCGAGATGACCCATGTTCGAACTCATCCGAGCTATCACCAAGACAAACACCCTGACCAAGTTTGATTATGATTGGGTCAAAATTGTGACCTCTAGAGTGTTCACAAGGTTTTTCTATTTTTAGCTCTTGTGACCTAGTTTTTCATCCGAGATGAACCATGATCGAACTCATCCGAGCTATCAACTAGATAAGCATCCTGACCAAGTTTGATGATGATTGAGGCAAAAATGCGACCGCTAGAGTGTTCACAAGCAATTGTGGACGTACGACGGACGTACGGACGGACGACGGACATTCACCGATCCTAAAAGCTCACCCTGAGCAAGCTCAGATGAGCTAAAAAGGAGAACATGTCAATATATGTGGTTAAATAATTTGTCAAATTAAAGGTAAGAGTAGGGATCTATCAATACAAATGAAAAATGTTATCTGCAATAAAAGTTTTGCAAAAATACTCAAAATAAAATTGCCATTCTTGCATATTTTAGCCTAATTAAAGTTTTCAATTAAATAATTTAAACGCCTTTATTTTTAATCGTTTGCACAATATAAAGAATTCAAGGTTAACAAAGTAAGCACATTATTTGAAGTTAACAATCAAAATATAGTTATTAATTACGATTGTGTTTGGGGGGTATATATATCACTGTTTTGGTATCAATATGTTTAAGGTTAAAAATTTAAAATTACTATAACATTTCGACAAGGGACAATTTTTTTATAATTAATAGATGATCGAATTCTTACATATTACTTTAAATGCATTCAACTTTCTATATGGTTAAAGTGTGCATTTGACATGTGGGGTTAAAAAACTTGAGAAACATGAATTCATACACTTTAAAAAGATGATTAATTTTTAACGACAAAACTTTAATAAATAATCAAATATCATCTTTAGACAGTGAATGACTTGTTCTCTGGTAAAATGTGAATTTCACAAAGTCTTTTTCTCATTTCCTTCAAATGTTCGCCGACTATTATGTATTGTGACAACGTAAGTTGTATGTCCCAGTTAAAATATACTGTTTTCATGACAGGAAACCTTATATTAATTTTCATACACTACTTTACAGCTCATTCAAGGTGTATATCTCATGATAGAAAAACAATCTCCAGCAGATGATAAATCATGTGATGTGTTTAACGACTCTTCAAAACGTTTGACATGGTTAGCAAATGTCCATCGCATTCGCTATATTGTTCAGCAGACGTTCACGTTTGCTTCTTTCAAGGACATTAGCTCAGAGAACAACATCGTTTTGATAGAAGCAAGGTAAAATAAAATAAATTTTGATATTTTGATTATTGGACCATCATGTTGAATTATTCAATTATTGTCTTGACCTTACTAATTGCCTTTCGACCGTCAAGGTCCAGTTATCAAATTAAGCTAAAATGGTCATGTTATTTATTTATAGATTTGATAACATCGGAACTAATGAAATATTTAGACAAAATTGACAATGTTATAAAATAACCGTGACTATACATGACATATGCAATAAGGGTCATTAAACCCCCAGTTTTAAGTTTAATGGGGTTTACAGGACTAAGCTTGTCGGTCGGTTGGTCGGTCGGTCCGTCCGACCGTTGGTCCACATCATGGTTTCCGGACGATAACTACACGTTAGAAATGAGGTTATAAAATCAAACCTGGTATGTAGCAACTTATTCAGAAACTCAGGTTGGTAGTGCATTTCGACTCCGTGAGATAAAGGCCAAGGTCACCATTACTAAAAATAGAAAAATGGTTTCCGGACAATTACTAGAGTTGGGGATGAGATATTGTAATCAAACGTGGTATAAAGCAACCTCATGGACACCCTGGTGTTCAGATCAAGGTCACTGTCACTAATAATAGAAAAATTGTTTCCGTACGATACATAGAGTTAGTATTGAGATATTGTAATCAAACTTGGTATATAGCAAGCTTTATATATGAAGATCCCGGTTTGGATTGCATTTGGACCCCCTGGGGTCAAGGGCAAGGTCACCATTTTTCAAAATAGAAAAATGGTTTCCGGACAATAACTAGAGTTAGGAATGAGATAATGTTATGAATCTTGGTATATGGCCAGCTTACATGAAGAACCCGGTTAGGATTGGTTTTGGAACCCCTGTGGTCATGGTCACCATTTCTAAAAAGAAATTTCTTCCAGAAGATTATATTAGGTACAAATGAGATATTGTTATCAAACTTGGTATTTAGCAGCCTTATGTGGACACCCTGCTTGGGATGGCATTTGGACCACCGGGGGTCAATGGTCACTATTACTTAAAATAGAAAATGCTTTTCAAACTATAACTAGAGTTAGAAATGAAATATAACACTCAAATTTAGTATTAAGAAAGTATATATAAATATCCTGGTAGGGTTGCAATTACTAGTAATTGAAATAACGGTTTTTTAAACAATTGATACTTCATTAATGTGAGACTTCAAATTTTTCTTCCGATCACTAATTTTTCAAAAAAGTCAAAGTTGCTGGTGAGGATATTAATCACCTTTAGTGATAGCTCTAGTTTTTTTCTACAATTATATCATAATTAAAAGACATTGTTGTTAATATGTATATTCGTCATGTGTCTCTTATTGGTAGGGGACTTTTGATTAGCTTATAATACTTTGATAAAGTTTATTGCATGTTTTTTCATCAGTTTAGATTCTTTTTGAAAACTTACGATCTACCTCTTTGATTTTGCAAACAGTCATTGGTCAAATAATTTAAAATGTATTAGAATCAATGACAAATAAAATTTGAATCAACACTTTGCAGCTTTATATATAGTCGTATATTTAAAACTCTTTTAAGCTTTTAAATTTTGTGTTTTATCACGAATATTGTACTATGTATAATAGGAGTGAATGATCATTCCACACTTGTTAAAAAGAGATTTCTTTAATGTTTAGAAAATACAGTACAGTTTTATATTTTTGGAAGCAAACCAGGTTATTTCAATGAGCTATTAATATACTTTTTATTTCTTATCAGTTCCGGAAATGATATTAACAATAATAATTAATCTTAGATGAAAGATTGCAAATTTGATGTGACATTACAAACAATCAGTTTGTCAAATTCATCACAATTTATTATATATTTTTGTCATTAAATTATTAAAATATTTATTTCCATGATTTCAACAATCAAAAATGTCCTTTTTAATGCCTACTAATTATCATTTATTTAGTTGTAAATTTTTTTAAATCAGTAGAACCTGATACTTTTATTTACGATCATCGTACGTACTTATCAAAATACTGCATGCGACTTCCAAACTTAAGTGGCGGCATGGCCGAGTGGTTAACACGTTGTACTAGTAATGTTATGATCGCTAGCCGCATGAGTTGAAACCCCGTCAGGGGCAAGTCGTTGTTTCCTTGAGCAAGAAACTTTACACTTATTGCTCAGTACTGGTTGGTTCCAGGAATGGATTCGAAAGTGTTTCTATAGGCTTAAACTTCCTACACAATCGAACTTAAATAAATTCTGTATAAACCAATTTGCCAAACTTGCTTTGATTGTGTAAAGCTTAGAATTAAAATGATATTTAATGATGTTGCATATATTAACATTATAATACTGCTTGTCATTGTTCCGACTTTCACTTTTTATCTTTTAATAAACATTTAAAGGTCAATGTGGAACAAAGTTGTTGTAATGTATTTATTTGTGGAGAACGTATGCAACACAACGAGCGAAGACAATATCACAATTGACCTCTGTGATCCACTATGGACTGTAAGCAATTTTTTTGTGAATGAAAAAAAAATTGTTAAAGTAAAATTGATAATTTCTATCCATGCATTTCCATTTTATGACTTTAAATGAAAAGTTTAAAAGTTTATGCATCACTGAATAATTTTACCTTGGACAAATCTAAACATCAAATTTATGTCATAATTTTATATCGTAATTATCAAGCAATATTCGAAAAACTAACATATCCATCTTTCAGCAATTGTGTGAAGATGAAGTTGACATGAAACAAGAAGCAACTTTTGAAAAAGTTGAAGAATTTTTGAGAACTTGCTTTGACCTAGCTACAGAAGAATACAAAATGTAAGTGTAGCAGTTCTTAAGGCTTTTAACTATTTATTTTCTGTTTGAAATTGTTTTCCTTTATATGTTTCTAGTGCTGGCATTTGAGACAATTAAAAATTGTGTAAAATTGCGAGAGGAGTAAAATTAGTTCGTAGTACTTGGAGTGTTAGTGACAGATTAAAAGATTAACATTTAATATTTTTCAAAATGACTCCCCTTTACCCAATTCATTTGGCCAACTTTTGGCAGTCTATATCATTTAAATGAAAGAAGTTTTTTGGTCTCTAAACCAAGCCTCTGTAGCAGCCTTGATCTCATCATTTAATTGAACTGAAATGAATTGAAATGTTCACCATTGTAAGGCAGAGATTCTCCTGCAAAATTTAGGTCCCTTCGGGCAAGGTCAAGGTCACTTAGAGAGGTCAAAGTTTGTGTACGGGACCTTTTAGTCATCATTTATTTAAGGGGAGCGGTAGCCTAGTGGTTTAGGTGCCTGCCTCTCAACCAAGAGAGCATGGGTTCGAGCCCTACTCGGGTAACGACCATGTTTCTTCATATGAAACCAATTCTTGTTGGTTCCAGGAAGTGATTAATATAAGTTTCAAGAACTTGATAAAATAAATATGTTTAAACCATTCATCATTTATTGATGGATTGTAACACAAATAATAACTACACATGTGTGACACATGTAATTTAGGTTAATATTTGCAAGGTCAATGTCACTAGAGATGACAAACATATCTGGATATTGCCAAGAGCATATCTCCTATATGCATATCTATAATGCCTACATCTCTGTCAAAAGCTTCTTTGACGGGTGTATTTTGCGACAACGTTTCCTTTGTTGCTTTTGTCTCAGCATTCATAAAGAAGATGTTATGTTTACTGCAAATCGATTTGCCAAAAGGTTGTAAAATGCATTAAAGTGAGTCGCATTCTTATCTATAAACAAACCTAATTATGGTCTGAAAATATACGTTGCACACGAAACATTCACAGAGAACTTTGGACTTTAGGTATAAAATGTAAAATTGATAATGTTTCAAAAATCATCATTAACTACATCATTTAACTTTATCATATTCTTCACCCAAATACAAAAAGTTGCAAAAGTTTGTCACCTTAAATATTGACGACTTAAGTATATTTTTTCAGTCAGTTTTTACAGAACAAGACCTACAAATATGTTTTCATGTGATAAAGATGTGTTTAACTTATTCCATCTTATCTAATTTTATAGTAGAAGAAAACGACAATAGTTTTGAAATAAAACAATTAAAACAAAATAAAATCATATCTGAAACACATGAGACGAATTAAAACAGGTGTCTGTCAAATGTGATAAAACAGAACAGGAGTGATTCAGATCAACGGACAAATTTTCATCTGTCAGTGGGGCGTCGTCATATCATAACCTCAATGAATCTGATTACATTTGGCATCTGAAGCATTATTGTAAAAAAAATGAATTTTCAAGTCTACAGAATATTTAATTTCCCGTTATATTTCTTGGTAGATCTATATTATCTGTTTCAGCGACTCATTATGACACCACTTTATAACACATTATTCATCATTTATTCCTATAGTTAATAAAAACGGTCAATTCAATTATTAGACTTCCAAACTTCCTTAAGGCTATTTTCCTAAGCATTGTAGTCTGGAATATTTTGTAATAAAATAACATCAAAAAATATAATTTCACAAGTATGGACATGGATAATAATAATGTTTTGTTTGCCAGGCAGTGCGTCCTTATATTTTGCGGAAATCGTACGAAAGAAACTTTCTATTTCTGACCTGTCCGGGTATCTCGAGTCACTTCTACATGTACCATAAGCACAGTGTTAAGATGTCCCTTTCCTTTTAACACTAAATTCAATTTTCATCTTGTTGTCCTCTTACACTTGTATATAATACAATTGTATTTAAAATATTGCGTGTAAAAATGCATATAATCGCTAGTCTTAAGTCAGCACATGTGAGGCAGTTGTCACTGTGTAAAATTTATTTTAGAATAGTGTTAAAGGTGAAGCGTTCTCACACATAGCGTAATTCAGTAACGTCGTATTGATATTTAACAACTCAGTGGCTTCGTCGTTCTATTTCTTCATTCGCTGTGTATCTTTTGTTAACGCAAATTCGAAAATACGTTTGTGTGGGTAATAGCGAGAGAAAAATAAGGTGCAAAGATCTGGAATATATTGTAACCATTTACGGTCCCTTCGCTGATGCAGTTTTGTCCCATGCAAAATAGTACCCCATTAAATAGATGGACAACGAGTTTTAAGCTTAATTCGATACGTCATCATTTTCTGTGCGTTTAAGTCTGGTTTCTGAAGAAGCAACCTCATTATAGGAAATCAGCCGGATGAGCAGTTCATTATTTGTTTACGGAGATGGAAAAATATTATTCGTTGAATGGCCAAAAATGTAAATAACCAATGCTTTTGCAAAAAATTGATTAGCATGTGCATTTGAATGTTTGTATCTACTTTTCAATACTTTTAATACTCGCACATTTAATTGTGTCATTCCGCAGTAAATCATGCGACCTTTTCAAAGTCATAAAAGACGCTGCTCTTTGCAGCCGAATAGATAAGCAAAAGGTTCGTTATTGTCTCTCTGACCTTGTTTCAAATGGAACATAACAATGTTTTACGTTGAAGAGTAGATTTAAAGTAACATTATTCTCATTTTTCTTATGACCAAATTGAGTTTAATTGACCAAGAGTTGATGATAGAAAACGTTCGTGATAACATATCAACCTGCCTGAAAAATAAAATAAAAATACTGTCTCACTCATTTTACAAAATGTGCCTTACAGGAAATTTCAGATGGATTGTATAGACAATTTCCTGAGTCAGCTGAGGTGTTTATCTTTCATGAGAAGTCAATTATAGAATTAAATTGAAGCTCAATTTGACTTATAACTGTTAACTCACTTAATACCTTTGGATAGACATAATGTCACTTTAAGGTCGTTAAATTTAAATTTAAGAGAGGAATTTTTTTGTTATGTGTCTTCACTTGTTATCTGTCATAATTGTAATTTTACTGTGTAAGGCCTTGTGTCTCCATTATGCTATGAAATAGTGACGCCATAACGTTCATATTGTAAAATTATTTTGTAATATTTATGAATTCTGTTTCATTTTGAACATAAAAGTAACGTTTTTCACACGATATTTTCATTTATTTATTTATGTCATTTGCTTTTCATCTGCATTTAAATATAATGCAACTATGAAGTACTGTGAAAAACATATTTTAGAATTTTACAGAAAGTTTATGAACTTTTAAATAAAATTTCATGGCCTAGTAAAAAGCTTGTTATAAATATTTTAATTTTAGTTTAGTGACTGTTGTTAGGCTCAGTATATATTTGAAATACCTTCAAGCCAGCTTGTGAAAGATAGTTTTGATAACGGTTTATTAATATCTAAATCAATCATTGTGAAAGATATGCTGAGATAAAAAATATTAAGAGGATATTTGTTCGTTTGAGTGAAATATTGAATATATTTTCACGAAACATGATAAAATGCCACGTATTTTCACGAGCCTGGACGTTTTGTTTTGGTGTTATCATGTTTTTTATCATAATTTGGTGTTCGGATTTATTTTTTTAGTTAGACGATTTTTTATCATTCAAGATAGTGTCCAAAACAAAATTCAACAAACGCTGCTTCATATTTATCAGATTTTTCTGACAAAATGGGGAAAGAAGTCCCTTAAAATAAGTATGAGTTTTGACTCCGCCCACTTTCATATTTATATTTCATATTTATTTTAAAAAAAAAGAAGAAATATATTTGACTGATATATCACCGTATTTCATGGGTAAAATTAAATAAAAAATATAATATCTTTAATGTTTAATAAAATATGAAATAGAAACTGATATAAGGTAAAGACAAATGTTCTAACTGTTTTTTTAAACAAGCAAAGTTTATACAATTGCGAGTAAATTAGTAGCTGTGCTTTTCTTGTTCAACAAAATGTTAGAATTTATTAATTGTTAATGGTATTCTACATTAACCCGCAGACAACTTCAAAGATGCAGTCACTGTAGCAAAGCCCTCTCAGAAACTAGTAAGATATTACCTTGCAACCATGAAGTTTGTGATGTATGTGTGCAAACAGACTTAAGTAATACAGAAGAACTGGTCTGTCCTAGCTGTAAAAAAAGCTTTGAAGCAAGTTACCTCGATGAACCAGATAGCAGGTACGGTGAAATATGTTTTTCAATATTTATGAAGATTTACCTGATAGAAACGCTCACTTTACTTTTATTATTAGGCAACGTTATAATTTACAATGAAGTGCGAACATGCTTAAAAGAACTTAATAATATCACGTACAAAAACGTTCCCACATAGTGAAGGTCGGCGATTCACAAGGTATGTGAATCGCAAAAAAAATCGTCAGCCGAAAACATTAAATACGCTGTCAGGACATAAATAAATCCGTCGATTTTAGAAAGTTAATTGTAATGTCTTCTTCAAATGGCAAAGGAAATGTACCTTTTTTCTTACAAAGTAATTATATATTATAAGCCTTTTCCTCGGAAAAATAAATTCCGTTACCTTGTTCTGTATCTAAATATATAATTTTAGTAGAAAGACATTACAATCTTTTGCTTAAACATGTTTCTGTTTTGTTCAATACAATAATATTTGTCAAATGCTCAACTAACTGTACCATCATTGCCTTGAATAAACGTTTTAATGTTAAATGATATTGAGCCTTTATAGTCAATATAAGTAACTTCAAGAAGACATATATTGTATTTAAGAATAAAATAAATTTTATCAATAAATACTGACCAAAATATAAATCATGAATCATAAGTTCCTTCTTTGACTTGAAATTACAGATTTATTTCTGGCAAAGATAAATTGGAAGACTACCAAAGACGTTGTACAATTTTCTTCATGAACATCGTTTCGCAGTTGTGCTTTGCAGAAAACCAAGGTCCTAATAAATATGTTATTAGAAAACTAATGAGTTATTCCTTAGAATCAGGGATACAATCCTTTGGAGTTTGTCACGACCATGCATTTAAGACGTTTATCTTCAAACTGCTGTTGAGAACAAGGTTTGTATTGTTGGCTACGTATTGACATTGTAAATACCAGTAAATATATATAGATATGGAAAATCATACACTTTGAATGCAAGCATTAATATAATAATGATGCAATTTTCTTCTGCATTAAATAACTTGTAAAATGATTTCTGTTTCAAAAGTCAAACAGAATTTAAAGACCACCTTGAAGAATTTATGCTATCAGTAATAAAACCATCGGTGGAGCAATCTGATAGCGAGGCAAATGCTGAATGTCCGGCACAAATGCAGATGTGTGAGAAAGATGAACTTATGATGATCATTGCGTATTGCATTGAGGTACAACATTATTTTAACTAAATCACCAAAATTAATGCTAAAGAAAATATTACTGAACAACATATTGAATGTATATTTGTGTGTGGTTTACTGATTGGTTTTCCTGAATTTTTTATCATGACTTTTTTTTTTAATTTTACAGAGAACATTTTGAAATTTTACTAAACAGATATATATTTTAACCCACCTAAGCCGTGGGCTCAAAGTGAGCTACTTATGTCGATAAATGTCCCGCGTCGGTTAAACATCTGCTATAATTTATTAGCGCTCAAGCACTATAGTGGGCACATTTTTGCCACAGTTGTTACGAAACTTGGTTAGCATATTTCTTCAGTAATTATTTGAAACATTAATATTGAAACAAGACTTTGAACTACTAAATAAGGCATGTAGCGATGCCATTATTATTCTGTCATTCTATCATTCTGTTGATAAATGTCCCGCGTCGGTTAAACATCTGCTATAATTTATTAGCGCTTAAGCACTATAGTGGTCACATTTTTGCCACAGTTGTTACGAAACGTGGTTAGCATATTTCTTCAGTAATTATTTGAAACATTAATTATATTGAAACAAGACTTTGAACTACTAAATAAGCCATGTAGTGATGCCATTATTATTCTGTCATCATCAGTTTCCGTTCATTATATTCGGAACAGTTGCACACATTCAACTTATATTTGGCATATGAATATATCACGGCAAAAAGGCAGGTAAAGTTCAAATTTGGTCATGGTGCAATGGTACTTGACAGAGTTATGCCCCTGAAAAATTTTCAGCTTCCGCCCGTTATCTCCCAAACAAATTTGCACATTCATTTCAAATACAACATATTGATACAGAGTAGAAATGCACAGGTCATTTCATGGAGCGAGCTTTAAACAACATGTTCTTTCTTGTGGCTTTGCAACATGTACGTACTGTTTTCGTAGCTTTCTATATGAAATATGCACACGCGAGAACGCACGCACACAAAGATTGTTCAGATACTGTAACTTTAAGCAAATTCGTCAAGTTTGAGTAACCAAATAACGCTAATTCATACGAAATATCCATAATCTAAACTTTGAAACAAAATTACCCAGATAGGGATATATGTTTCCATAAAGAAACAGAAATAATTTATGTTATATTTAATACATGTATATTGTATATATTTAGTCGAACCAGATCAATTAAATGTATTGTTATTCATAATTTATTTACTTCTTTGTCAAACAAAACAAATCGAACAAAAATAAATAAAATCAAATGTTACTTATATATAAGTATATAGTGTATAGAAGCTTTATTTGTTTTATATACAAACACATATGTAAAAGTAATCTTTGATAAAGTTAGTGTCATAGTCTCACTCACTGTTCGTTTCTCATCTGAGAAGCAACCGTGTAAATTTATGAATCTTTTTTTTTCTGCAACGATCTGATATGACAATATGAAACGACATACACATCAACAATAACACTTTGATCTATTTCTAATATGTATCTTAGATGCATATTGTAGCCTAATAAATACCAGCAAGAAACATTCTTTATTTAGTTGTTAACATTTATTTATAAGGATCACATCAATGAGCATGACCATCGGCGTGTCACTTTGAAAGAGGCGCAAGAGCATATGTATAATTCAGACTCTTTGGTTGACCAGTTTCACGGAATTGCTTATGCAAGGATTCTATTAAACAAAGCAGCAGGATACATTAACTGGCAAATATGTGAGAGTACCTCTTTCAGTGATGGACTATTTAGCATGCTTGATGAAGATGCGACTACTTTTCTTGAAAAAGTGAAAACATTTTGCGAGGAACAGAAAGCAGCAGGGGCAAGGTATTTTATCAGCTATCAATTATCAATGTTATAATGTTATAATCCATATATAACAAATTGCAAGTTGCTAGTTATTTTTTTGTATTGACAAAAACATGATTTTTAAATTTAACATCATCGACTGTCAAGCGATACTGAATAGTATTTAGGGTTATGAAATCCGAAAGCGTTGAATTTCTCTTATGCGCTGTGTAATGAATACTATTAATTTTAAAATAAAATTAAAATTGCAAATGAATAGATTTTAGTCCGATTATCCAACACAGTCATTTAATAGTAAGAATGTATCGGTATAAACAGGTAGAAACTCAATATTTTGATTATATTTCGTTCCAGAAAATATCTTTTGAGATATTTGTATAGAACTTTTGGATTTGACATCCTTAGAGCAGCATTTCAGAGCAACGATACCTCAGTGAATTGGGTATATAGTGACGAATTTAAGACAAAGGTAACAACTTACTTATTTCTATTTCTGAAAAAAAAATACATAGATATACAATTTATAGTTGAGGTCAATGTACATCAAACTGTTATCAAATGTGATTGAAATGAAGACAATGCAAAGAGCTATCGTTGTATCATATTCTATGAGGTTATTGACTATTTAAACGCAAACGAAATGCATGTTATTTACCGCAATATAGTCCTTCGTAAATTTGATATTTGCAGCTAAATCAAAATTTACTAATACGAAGTTTTTATTTGAAAATTAATTGTTGATGCCACTATCAACGATCATAGCTACTAGTATTTTGTAAATTTTGAAGGAAATCTTCATTTTGCTAAATCTCTACATTCTCTGTACTCTACTTAAGGCTCTTTGTGCACGTTTGTACCATCGAAAATTAAAATATAAAATGGAACATACTAAAATCAGCTGGTCGGTAGGTAGTCTCTTTTACTCCATACATGTGAAATGTTATGCAAATTCCATCTGCTACAGTGCTACATGCTGATTTTTGTCTTATATTTAGAGTTGTTTTCTTCGAAACACATCTACATTGTAAGATTATAGACGAGTTTTTGGATACCTGTCCTACATACAGCAGTAATTGCTTTGTTACCTTTTTGCAATTCAACAAGTACGACATGGATTGGATATTAAAGTATATGCGTGTATGTTACTTCATCATAAAGTGCGTAAAAAGTAACCGTGCACAAACTGTGTTACGATAAAAATCCAGTATAACAGCTCAGCCTAAATACCTTCATTCATGGCATAAGAAAATGAAAATATTTTTAGAGCGGTGTAAATTGAATGTCCGATTTCTGTACATGAATTTCTGTATGATGAGCTTTAATGTTGAGAATTACTAGCTTTTGTCTATGCTAAGATTGTCGTTAGTAATCGTAAGTAATAGCGCATCGTAAAACAAATTAGAATTAAAATCAAGACTTTTTGACGAATAATGTCATTTTTGAAAAATATGCATTTGGTATTCTTTCATACTTATAGATGGATAAGTTAAATAGAAAGAAAAAGATATGAAATCATCATTGTTATAATTATAAGTTTAGTTCTGGAGCTTTTTTTGATTTTTGTTTATTCAGTTTTAGCAAATTCAAACTAGTACAATGTATATCAAAATTAAACTTCATATTACAAACAAACAAAGAAGAGCGAGGCGATACAATTGAAGTTCTATAAATGAAATGTAAGCAGTCTGAAAACCAACGTTTAAAATCAATTTTCATTAGTGTGGTTAAGATATTATTCTCAAATGTCACCAGAACTAGTTTAACCCATTACTTCATGAGCATTTTGTGAAAAATGACTGTATTCATTGAAAAGTCTCCCGTTACAAGTTCAAATTGCCATAAAACAATAAAAACTGCTTCAATACTAATCAAACTTGGTATAAATGTTGACTGGACCATTGCCTTTGTAACAACATGCTCAGGCTTAATTTCCTGTTACCATGGCAACGAGGGGTCATCTCAAAATTTCCATAAATCATTATTTTGCGTTGATTTTTTCCATCAAAATTATTTTAAGGTGCTGCAACTTCTCAATGGATTGAGATAGTCAAATGATTTTCAGCATTGGTTACACGTTACCTTATAATCGATCTGAGGTCATTTTAGCCTCTCACAAGTCCAAAATTTTCTTTGCGATAAGGGGGACTGCCGCCACCCTTCAAACCCCCCAAACAGAAGGGGGCACATCCCTTTTCTGGCAACCCTCTGATGTATCATTTGGATTTGGCCGCGCTGAAAAGGTGGTATCTTTTTTATATGCCCGAAAGAATTTCGGACATATTATGTTATACCCCCTGACGTCCGTCCGTCTGTCCGTTCGTCAGTTAGCAATTTGGTTTCCGGAGCATAACTTAAGTTCCATTTGGCCCACAATATTCAAACTCCATAGGATGATTGTCCATATCGGGTAGAAGACCCCTATTGATTTTGGGGTCATAAGGTCAAAGGTCAAGGTCACTATGACCTTAAAACTGAAAACAGTTTCCGGAGCATAAATTTAGTTTCATTTGACCTACAGTGATCACACTTCATAGGATGATTGTCCATATTGGGTAGAAGACCCCTATTGATTTTGGGGTCACAAGGTCAAAGGTCAAGGTGACTATGACCTTAAAACTGAAAACAGTTTCTGGAGCATAACTTAAGTTCCATTTGACCTACAGTGATCACACTTCATAGAATGATTGTCCATATTGGGTAGAAGACCCCTATTGATTTTGGGGTCACAAGGTCAAAGGTCAAGGTGACTATGACCTTAAAACTGAAAACAGTTTCCGGAGCATAACTTAAGTTCCATTTGGCCCACAGTGTTCAAACTTCATACTTTGTCCGTAGATAGGCAATGTCCAATATCCTACAATCTGTATTTAATCGATAAAGTTATAATAATGCATTAACTTCTAGGAACCTGATCGAGTTGACAGATTCATGGCATGTGGAGACATGTACGTTCGTATAAAAGATTATTTGAAAATTCCAAATGAAAAACCACAAGCAGACGATGTGATTCAGTTTGTTAAGGTAATTATTTTAAGATATCTTTTCCTTTTTATTGAATAACAGAACCTTTTGATTTATAATGAAAGCTTTGACGATTTCATCATAAACTAATAAACGAATTGACATGGATCACATTTGTATGTATTTGCATTTTATATTCAAATGGACACTGAATGCAAAGGTATTTGTTACCGTTTCTTTGTACTTCTGTATTCAACGTTAGAATTTACCGGAAAAAGTATATTGTATAATTTGGAAATAGATATGTTTGCTATACCTACATTATTTAATTTGAATTTCTGTCTGATTACTTTACGTTATAAAGTACTTGCTTTCAGAATACCAACCAGACATCTCTGCATGGATTTATCTACCTTCAAATGGCGATATATTGGGAATTGACGGTATCAAAATGTAAACGACATGCCGATACGGTAATATAGAATATTCGTTATAGCTTAGTTTTTATATTAAAAATGCTGAAAAAGTGACGTCCTATTTGATGTTGTGTCTACCTTTTAAACCAGTCTTTGTGATAATGGTAGAAGTGATAAGAAAGTTTATAAACTTGCATGCATGCACTTAAACTAGATTGCTCTTTTTGTATGATCAATAACTTACCAAAACATAAATGGGGATAATAAACATGCATAATGTCTTAAACAATCTTTTACAGTATATATTTATTCAATCGCTACATTTCTTTTTATTTGGGGTGTGTGAATCAATTGGATACATTTTAAGTACAATGTAAGTTATTGGATTTTTTTTTAATTATATCGTATTTATCTTTTGGTGAGGAAAACATAATCATTATTCAAGTAAACATAATTTTATATATATAGGTGCGACGCATTCTTGTAGCGCTGAGTAACACAAATAAAAACTTTGGAAACATGGTAAAGTTTTTGTACATATATATATTATTTATAGTCCCGAATAGTCTTTAAATAATTATAAATTTAATACCTTCTTGAGCATTTTTGAAGAATATCCTCAAGAGATCAATTTTGACGAAAAGATCGTATAAAAATTCATACTAACCGCTTGTTGTCCAACATCATATAAGTATATTTTAAATGTACTCGTTCTTATATCATATATGAATGGTCTAATGACAAAATAATCTAACTGGCTATACTAATTATTAACATGCCACAATGAACTGATTATAATTAAACTTTGTATACATAATTTTGTTGTGCTGATATTTTTATTTTAATATTGATATACCTTTTAGTTTACTATTTGTTATTGCAGGCTATTTTACACGCAATGTGCATCAATGACTTAAAGCAATTCAATCTAGATATTCAATCTGAAACTACAGAAAAGGACATCAATATAAAATGTCTTGTCTTCCAATGGATTTCCATTTTGTTCAGCGTCAAACAACAACCATCATGTCCACTGTTTAACGTTTTAATCAATTTAGCCACGCAACCCAGCGACTTTAAGGTAAGGAAAGTTAAATTGTATCAATTGATTACAAGTACTAATAGATTCTGAAGGCAAAGGGAATCTTTATTTCAAATGCAAAGAGAATTTAGATACTCATTAACTTAAACTTTTAAGCAGCTCAAACATTATTGCAACAATCACGGTAGTGTTGTTATCATTTTGTTGTCCGGGATAAAGTAACTGAATGAATATCAACGATAATCATGTAAACAAAATAATGACATGAAATTTCAGATATGGAAACTTAACATGTCATGTTCTTTTTTTCAATATGTACAAGATGTTTAAATTTAAGGTCATTATGATATTTTGTTATTGCCTAGCTCTCCGGCTAACTCCTATTTAAACGAATCATACGATACTATTGTCCTATGCTCTGTTACTTGAAATATACTAAAAGTAAGTAAAATTCATTTTAAAGAAAAATATGGGAGTTCGATAAGTTTTATTATATTAATCCTAGACAAAATTATAAACTTTTGACTGGAACACTCTTAACACATAACATTATATTTCACTTGATATTGTCAGGCCGGTTCCGAGTCAGGATTATAACAATAGTCACAACAAATTTGTAAAATTAAATAATTCTTTTAATTTTTTATATCACTCAAATAATAAATTTATTTGACAGTCAATGATAAACAAATACATGTAATAAACAAATACATGTAATAAATAGAATAAATATTACTTAAAATACCTTAATATCTTTATCTTTCATTTCTAAGACTGTTATTCGATCTATAGCTTTTATCTTTCTGTTATCAATTTCAGTTATCAATTTCAGTTATCTTTTCCGTTATCATTTCCGTTATCATATCCGTTATCATATCCGAACCTTTAATTGAAATTCGGTCTATTTATATGCTTCTTTTGTTTACATTATGACGTCAAAATGAAAGTAGGATTTCCCGTAAAACTGGGTTAATGTGACGTCACAATACAATTACAGTTAACAAAATGGCGGACTAATTTCAGACAATATTTGATAATGAGGAAAAGTGACATATATTAGAATATATAAACAATCAATCATGACAGGATATAAATGTAAGTTAACTTTAATATGAGACAATAAAGTTATGCTTAAATGTTATCGCTGAATATCGTATCAGCATGGTAAACAAATGCGGTCATTGAAACGGAGTGGGTGGGGAACAGCCTAGCAATATTGCATAACACAGTGGTTCCAAAAATTTATGCTGTTTTGCAATTTTTCGATGTCCCGGATACGTTATTATGTATTCATAACTTTAGTTAATCGGGACTTTTGGCAGAAATTATGTGCCAATGCTTAAAACACTAGAAAATATGCAAAAACACCACAAAATGTGATTTTAATACCTTACACCATTCTCAAAAATATTCAAAATCGGTCTTTTTGCCCTGTCGCTAGCCCGTCTGTAGATTTTCCACAGTCTTTCTGGAAAAACTCTGGAAAATAACTGATTTTCCATGAATTTCCATGAATTTTCATGGAAACAAGCTTTTTTCCACAGTATTTACAGAGTACTCTGGAACAATTTTCATGGAGAACTCTGGAACTTGACTTTTTCATCAAAGAAATAACCATGAAACAGTTCTGGAAACTCTGGAAAGTTAACACTTAGACAATTTTCAAGGAGTTTTACTCTGGAAAACACTTAGTCATTTTTGAGAAAGTTTTGGACTTAGGAAATTTTCATTTTATTTCTGCATTTACATATACTTCACTTAATACATTTAACTTAAATATTTTTTCCTAAGTAGTCATAAATAATCTTTTTAATATAAGACAGTTTTCTGGTTTTAAGACATAATGAAAAAAAAAAGACAATTTAAAATATGGCATTACCACAATGTTGAACAGCAAGAACAAATGAATTTAATTACTTAGCATTGAGATTGGTCAACATGTGTACTCATTGTAATTAAAAGTAGCAGTTAGCAAAATAAACACTTATAGTTAAACAAAATGAAACCATCATAAGCCCCTCAAGAGCTCAACTGTTTCTTTTTTTATTGCAAAAAAAAAGCTTAAAAAAAACACATGCAACTCCATTGCCACACTTTGGCATAAATTTAGGTATTTTTTCATTTAACTCTCATTATTTTCAAGGTATCTCATATCAAGCCTCAGATGTGAGAGGTTCATTATTATATATTACCCTTAGTTGGAAAAAATAAATACACAATTAAAGAGAAACAATTAAATTTAAGAACAAATGTAATTGTTATGCACTTATGTTTCTTTATTAATTGATGATAAATTTATTATGTATCTCTATTGAAGTATATAATTATTTTATCTATATATTCATCTTGTGTAGAGGTAACTTATGTATAGTGATTAATTTCTGGAACATTCAAATCAGCATCAGCCACAATGTAAATATTTATGACCCCTCAAGTGGAACCAACTGTTTTCATAAACACCAAAGTTAAACTCACCTATCTGATATAAGAGAATAGAAAGAGGTAAAGTAGGTTTACAACCTACTATATTACACTGTAGTTCCCAAGTAACTTAATACCCTTGCAGAACAAATCACAGGTCAGAACACTCCTTCCAGGCGGGTCATTTGAACAGAAAGCATTGAAAAGTGACTAACTGCTTAAAAATTATAACTTGAAAAATTATGTTTGAGCATTGGATATTAGATCAAATGAGTTTAAACTGGACAAATTTACAAAAGTTTTCTGGAAATATGAACTTTTAAACATGTGTATTTCATGATTCAGTGAAAATGGAGGGAACTACATGTATATATCATTGTATATATAACCATTTCTAACAGTAAAAAGTAACAAATGTATTTTTATTTTTTAACACTTATTATTTTTAGTTTTTTTTTCAAATTTTCTTTGCAAGTATACACTGTTTTAGTGATTGTATTTCTACATACATGTAAACTTTACAATTTAATAGTTAAGAAAATCTTTTTCATTTTTGAATAATGGCGGGAAATTTTAAATCAGAGATTATAATTTTCCATTCAAAATATTTGTGATTGAAACAGATTCCATTATCAAGCAATGAATTTTCCAAATTCACATTTTATAAAATTCATATGCCTTAATTGTAATTTCTTGTTACTCATGTACATATGTTTATTTTTCAACAATATTAGGTTGCAAACTTTCAAGATCTTGGAGTCACATGTCTTGAGATGTTTCAACTCAAAGGATGTCAGATGAGGGAAAAGTGATATATGTACTGTTGAATACAGAATGCTTACAGAACTATCCTGGTAATAATTTAGTTTGTTTTGTTGAAAAAAGTCGAAGTAACATGTTGTCATATAAATGCATGCTATTTTCCAAACACTGAACAAAATGTTGCTCTTCATGTTTTATGCATATATTATTGTTATACTGACTCCACTGAACACATCTCAAACTTTCAGTGGTAATTAAGTACTTGTGAAGATCATTAAGTAATTTAAACTGCCATTACATAAAGTTGTCATGACATAGCTATAGGAAAAGCAGGGAAATAATTGACACAAGTTTATCATAATGTTGATTTTGACCAAATAAAATATTTTCATCAAAGCATGGTATTTACTCTGTGCTGATATTCTGCAAAAATCATTGAATTGAAAGTTTTCCATCTTAACTTTTTTCACCCTTTTGTGTTTTTTATCAATCCTGTTTAAACAATACTAATTATATTGACATTGTGCATATAACACAAGTACATGTATTTATATACAATTAATTCATATTTTTCAGTATCCATCAGAGAGGTCACACCACAAGTCAAGAAGATGTGTGCATCATGCGAAGTGAGGATATATACATGTGTTCTAGATGGATGTTTAAATTACATTTGTTTTGAATAAAACACTCTGACTTCAAAATAATTGTGAAATGTCAAATTACTATAAGTGTTTGAATTCTTGAC